GTGATATAGCTACACAAGGTACAGTAAAGTTTTACCTTCAATAAGTTTATTTCCAATTGTTCTCCCTGATGTATAGCTACACAAGGTACAGTAAAGTTTTACCTTCAATAAGTTTATTTTCAACTGTTCTCCTTGTGATATAGCTACACAAGGTACAGTAAAGTTTTACCTTTAATAAGATAATTTCCAGCTGTTCTCCCTGAGGTATAGTTACACAAGGAACAGGAAATATTTTACCTTTAATAAGTTAATTTCCATCTGTTCTCCTTGCGGTATAGCTAAAAGGGACAGTAAAGATTTAACCTTTAATAAGTTAACTTTCAATTTTTCTCAGAAGGTATACATGTAGCTACATAGGAGACAATCAAGATTTCACCTTAAATAAATTAACTTTTAACTGCTCTCCTTGTGGTATAGCTTCACAGGGAACAGTAAAAGATTTAACCTTTAATAACTTACTTTCCTACTGTTCTCCTTGTAGTATAGCTTCACAGGGAACAATAAAGTTTTAACCTTTAATAACTTGATTTCCAACTGTTTTCCCTGTTGTATAGCTATACAGGGAACAAGAAAGTTTTAACCTTTAATAAACTTAATTTCCAACTGTTTTCCCTGTTGTATAGGTTCACAAGGTACAGTAAAGTTTTACCATCAATAAGTTTATTTCCAACTGTTCTCCTTGTGATATATCTACACAAGGTACAGTAAAGTTTTACCATCCATAAGTTAATTTCCAAATGTTCTCCTTGTGACATAGCTACACAAGGTACAGTAAAGTTTTACCTTCAATAAGTTAATTTCCAACTGTTCTCCTTGTGACATAGCTACACAAGGTACAGTAAAGTTTTACCATCAATAAGTTTATTTCCAACTGTTCTCCTTGTGATATATCTACACAGTTACAGTAAATTTTTACCATCAATAAGTTTATTTCCAACTGTTCTCCTTGTGATATATCTACACAAGGGACAGTTTAGATTTTACCATCAATAAGTTTATTTTCAACTGTTCTCCTTGTGATATATCTACACAAGGGACAGTTTAGATTTTACCATCAATAAGTTTATTTTCAACTGTTCTCCTTGTGATATATCTACACAAGGGACAGTTTAGATTTTACCATCAATAAGTTTATTTTCAACTGTTCTCCTTGTGATATATCTACACAAGGGACAGTTTAGATTTTACCATCAATAAGTTTATTTTCAACTGTTCTCCTTGTGATATATCTACACAAGGGACAGTTTAGATTTTACCTTTAATAAGTTAATTTCCAACTGTTCTCCCTGATGTATAGCCACTGTATCTTCTGATAATATTTTCCCTACAAACATACAACATTTTGTTCTACAGATATTTCATATTTCAATGCAAAATTTGCTACCTAAATAAGTAATTGTTACAAAATTATTAATTCTAAATTCAGAAATGTTTAGTTCTAGCTATATAGATTATAGACTAGTACAATTTCTATTTGGGATGAACAGGATAAGTAAGTAACAATTTCCATAAATAATCTTACATCAAAGGATACGAAATTATAAAAAGTACAAAAAAAATGTAGGTCCCTCAAAACCAAACTTGATCAGGACTCAATCAAATAAATTTTCAACTGATTTTTATAGTTTGTTCTTATGTTGAACTGTTACACCACTGTCCCAGGTTAGGGGAGGGTTGGCGCCTTCAAATGAGTTTAACCCCACCACATTCTGTACGTGCCTGTCCCAATCAGGAGCCTGTAATTCAGTGGTTGTGGTTTGTTGCTGTGAAATATATTTGTTTTTTGTTCATTATTTTGTAAATAAATTAGGCCGTTAGTTTTCTCGTTTGAATTGTTTTACATTTGTTATTTCATGGCCTTTTACAGCTGACTATGCTGTATGGGCTATGCTCATTGTTGAAGGCTGTAAGGTGACCTATAGTTGTTAATTTCTGTGTCATTTGGTCTCTTTTGGAGAGTTGTCTCATTGGCAATCATACCACATCTTCTTTTTATATATAATTGCTTACATCCATTTTATTTAACCTTTGGTGGAAAGTTGTCTCATTGGCAATCATACCTCATCTCCTTATTTTTATATAAATCAAAAGTATAAACAAAAAATAAATGGAGAATGTGCCCCCATGGACACTGATGATCCCCCCGCTTGCATACAATATTTTAAAGGGACATAACTTAAAAACGATAAAAGTGATGATACCCATTGGGTTGAGGCAAACTTAAGTTAGAGAAAGGAAACTAGGAAACTAAAAATTTTTCAATTTTTCCATTTATAAAAGGGCATAACTCTAGAACGGTTAAAGTGACGCCACCAAAATTCAAACTTGATCTGTGTTTTGTGGTAATAAGCATTGTGTATAAGTTTCATAACATTTGGTTGAGGCAAACTTAAGTTAGAGAACAGAAACTAAATATTTTGCCATTTTTTCATTTATAAAGGGGCATAACTCTAGAACAGTTAAAGTGACGCCACCAAAATTCAAACATGATCTGTGTTTTGTGGTAATTAGCATTGTGTAAAAGTTTCATAACATTTAGTTGAGGCAAACTCAAGTTAGAGAATGGAAACCAATTTTGGGACGTACGTACAGACGGACAAGGGTAAAACTTAATGCCCCCTCCGCTAGGGCGGGGGCATAACAATATGGTCAACATCTGCATGATCTGCAGACAACACTGGAAAATAGTCTTTACAATTACAAACTTTTGTTAAATTTTCCTAAGTCAAAGGCTGTCATAAATTTAAAAGTATCAAGGCCAAGAAAACCCAATATTATCTATAGCTGATGCAGATGCTACCGCACACCGGTATAAGAGATATACTGAAAGAATGGCAAAAAAGTCAGGACAAAAGGCATAAAAATTGTTCAATAGTGTTTATAATGAGGATTTAATATGAGAAAAGAATGTCATATCTAGTAGAAAAGATACCTGCTACACATTAATAAAACTTACCTCCAGGTATATGTAGTTAGAACCAATGCAAATATGAATTAAGGGGATGTGGAGTATATACCATTAAGACATCAACCCATCAACAACACATCAATAAAGCATTTTAGAAAGGTAAGTTATACAAACCTTGTGTTCCCTGAGAGCCTTCTTTTTCTTCATATTTTATAACATTATACAGATTAATTTTGGTTCCACAGTAGCTCAGAAACTTATCACTATTATTTGGTGACCAAAGTACTTTGGTAAGACTCATGATTTGCCAGTTTTCTGTTTGCCTCTGAAATTATAAAGCACAATGGTATCTCAATGTGTGCCAAATGATAAAGTATGTTTTGTCTTATTAATATTTCTCATACATGGGTACATGTATAAATTAAATTATTAAAGTACATGTAATTAAGTGCTGGTTGATTACGATTTATTTGATTTTATTTAAAGGGATAAGGGTGCCATCATTATTATCAATTAAAGCTTATTGTACTATCTTTTTAATATATGGTTGAAGGGTAGGTTTAGGGTCATAGCACTAACATAAATCGTTCAAAAGGATTTCAGGACCAACAACAGATGTCTTCCATAACAGCCTCCAAACTATAGGTTTTAACTGTATATTATTACTCCGGTCTGGGAACAGTATATCTAACGGGAAATGAATCTGATTGGCTTTTCAGTGTAAAATTGATAAAATCTCGGGACTCCATGAGACTTTCCGAGATTTATGGATTTTGGTGGCGTCTGACTGAAAAACTATTGGAACTGCTCATTAAATTAACCACATAATTCTAATCGTTAATAGATACAAGTTTTATCATAAAGTAGATATATTTTGTCATATAAAATGACCAAAATAAGTGTGATTTATTTGATGTGAAGTGTTTTATAATGTTTTTGAATTTGGGAATGCAATCGGCGCCATTTTTTTTATTACCCTGTTTGCATTCTGTACCATTCTGTGATAAAATGAATGTGATTATAACAAATTTTAAGTGACACAATACAAGTTTGATACACTGGCATCACTGTAAAACTAGTTTGAATGACATTTTATTGATATTAACAGAAATTATTAGGATAATAGCGAGTATGTTTTTAACACGTCCGTTTCCGTATCGTATCTATATTACCTATGACCCGACAATAAAATCGGCTACAATTAGGTAGTGTCAAGTCCCGTCAATATATATATGTTCCTGCTCCGGTTTGAATTTTTGATTTGGATTTTTGGTGCTGTTTCCCGCAGAATGTAGCATCAACCTTGGGACAATGCGTCTGAGATGTGACACAGGTTATCTGAATACTATTTGTTTTACTGTTATTGTCATGTCAAATGTTTATGCCCTAATCCTGTTTGGTGTCCAAATCAGAAAATCACTACAGACACAGAATCACAAAACATTGCAAAAGGTATTAGTTTATGCTGGTCATTCTAAATATCTGCTAGAGTTTGGATAGTCCAAATAATTATGACGTCTTGCAAGGCTATTTTATTTTTTTTTGTGATGCAGGCGTCACAGAAAAAAAATTAAAATAGCCTTACAAGACGTCATAATTATTTGGACTAGAGTTTGGAGGTCTAAAAAATAATTTTTCTGTGTGAATAAAATATTGTTTATAAAGTGTTATTTTATTGATTTTAATCTTTTAAAGTCAATACAATATACAGTATAAGTTTCTTTTGCCTATCATGCCTATGGTGCCCTTCTGCCTTCATATCAATAAAATATATCCTTCTATATCATTTATTTTTGTATTCTGTTAAAGATTTGAGGAGTTTGTAACTTTTACCTGGGGCTGTTAATCATTGGTCCCAGCTTTTACCTAAAAACATCCTTGACTTTCTTTTTCCAAAAACGAAAGCAGAAGGAGTAGCCTCCCATGTAGTGTCGTAATATATTGTTTGCTTTGGCTTTACAATAGAATAACATATTTTAATTGTTTCTCGTAGATTAAGTATTCTTTGGTATCTCCTGTTGCTAATAACACACCTTTATTCAATATTATCATATATCATATCGTAACTGTTTGCCGTAAAAATGAACGGTATTTCCGGCGTCATGTTTCTGTGGTAGCCGTTTTGCCGTTTTGAATTTCTTACTTGTTTTCAACAGAAAAGTTGAACATGTTGCTTAATTTTAATTATGGATTCATCTCTTGCTCACCAAACACACTTTCTATATGAAAATTTTTCAAGTATTTTACTAGGACAAGACATGGCATCAAACACAAGGAATCCCAAAGAAATCAGAGAAATGGTTTCCGACAGCAACAAGGTGAAAAAAGTAAAAAAGAAACAATAATTGAATGTGTAGTGTTTATATTTGGTAACATATCTGTTTAGATGTAATGGTATTTGAAAACTTTTAAATGGAGCTACTGTTTGTAACAGTTTTCATTGGATCACACAAGGACCAAGTCAGATTATTTGCAGACATTGTTAGGGGGGGAGGGTGTGTGTGGTGTATTTGGACTAATTGCTATGTGATGGTTGTGAATAGTAAAAATATCCATCAGACGTGTCACCTTACCATAATTGAAGGATTTATAACCGTTTATCAGTAAGGTATCATTGACGAATTACTAAAATAATTCCAAATACATGAAAATATTAAATCAATTCCGTTAAAAAAAATTTATTCAAGGCGAAGTTATCATTAAAAATACAACAAACTGGTAATCACTGTGCCTATGTTGTTTCACCGAAAATGGTGTAAATAATGAATCTGGGTCTGTTTGCCCAAAATCATGTTCCCTCCCATTCTTGATCGCCCCCTTTCAAGTTTGCACCCCACACGTTCACACCCTTTTTAAAGTTTGTGTGTTGAATAAGTTTTTAATTGTTCTTTAGTTAGAGTATTGCTATAAAATATAGAAAATTCGTTTTTTTTATTGTTTAAAATTGTGAAATTCTAAAAACGTAAACCAGTTTTCTTTTGTGAATTATTTTCTAAAAAAAATGGATAATGAATATTGTCATGATGATCAAAGACTAAGTCATTCGTCTCTTAGGCTTGTGAAAGAAAGGCAGGAGATTCCAAACTATTCACAAACTGTTAAAAATAATTATCTTTCATTTTTTCATTAAAAATCTTCATTGTTTTTACTCCTACCAAGCTAACTACTTGTATTTTACTTTAAACCAAACACAACAATAATAACAAATTAGCTTTGTAAATACCAATTATATATAATTAACAGTAATCTTAAATAAATCACAATAAATAATTAATCATCTTATCACAAAAAAATATTTCATTAAAAAAATTATTTGTGAAAATATAAATATTTTGATATACAATGTATACATGTACATCTAAAAAACATCTCTTAATTCAACCGGTATTTGAATAAAAATAGGGTGCGAACAGACTCAAAGGGCTAAAGTGTGGGTTGCAAACCTGTAGGGTGCGAATGTGTTTTGGGAGCGAACGGACCCGATACCGTAAATAATAATTTAAACATGTTGAAATCACACAAATCTTAACAACATAAACAGCGGTAAATTTGAAAGCATCTGGCCCAATTTTCATTTCACCCGACGAAAAAGTCTGTGATAACTGAAAGGCGTTAATTATTACAGACATTATTTCTTTGTAAAATAACCGACGTGTTATTTCAACACAATTCATGACAGGAGGATATAACTCTGTCAGAATTCCCACAATAACAGTATACCTGTTATTTTCTGTAATAACTTGGAAGTTATACCCTTGACTGATATATATTTTCCATATTCTGGGTGGTGCTAGTTTGTAATTGTTACTGTGACTTGACTAAGTGTTGCTCTCAACCTATTGCAGATCATTCAAAATTTTGACCCAGTTGCAATTAAGTTTTATCAGAAGTTTTAACCAACTGCTGTAGAAAACCAGTCAAGCCATCAAAGTGCAAGTTGACAAAATAAAGCATACTTACAATCCTATAAAACTTTATTTCCACTTCATTGCTATTATGAAAATCTAGACACATATATATCATGTATATATTGTTATTGAAAAGAGTCATTTGAAAGGTAAGAGGTACATGTACATATAATAATTTTTGAATTGCTATCAAAATGTAAAAAATGACAAAATTGACATTGACAGTCTGTGCCAAACCTTGTTTGTCTGATTGTCCTGACCAACAAAAAAATTGACATTGAACCACCAACAGTGTTGTGTTGAGTTTCTTAATTGTTAAGAACAAAATCTGTGAAGGGTTCCATTGTCACTTGTAAATGTATAATGTTGACTATCAAAGACTAATTAGTCCATTTATCAGTAAAATACGGAATACTTTTTTGCTGCAGGAAGTTTCAATATTTCTGTGGTGTTAGGGACCTAAATGAATACAGATGATTTCAGATTTCTTGTACACTGTGACTAAATTTTGTATGCATTAGTACTTAAAGTTTTTAGCCTTTCATCATGACCATGCCTACATGTGTACATTTGTATATTGACCACTTTCAAAATGTACAGGAGTTAAAAAAATATATGACCAGATTTTTTTTATATGGTACATGTATGTATTGGCTTTGATTTACAGACAAAATCTTGTTATGGAAAATTTACTGTGAGTATTGATGTAACTTTTGGTTATGATTTTACAATCTCCATTCTTTCCTGCCTGACAATGATGCTGTTATATTAACTTGATTGATCAATAGGTGTGTCAAATTAACCTTTTTCTCTCTTTGTTCTTTTGAAAGATTTTGTGTTTTTTGTTTTCAGTTAACTGCATGCAAATGCTATTGTTATATGTATTAGAACATCAGCTTTTAGAAAAACATTTTCATACCTTCATATCATATATACATGTAAAACATACTTTACAAATAATTCATATCGCACTGATGACATTATGGCAGTTTATAACCCAGCAGTTATCACCAAAAGTATATGAACCAATGCAAAGCAAAAGTCCATCTACTTTTGGGAATATGACTGAATGGTCCTCAAACTGGTATTTGGCCAAAAATGATATGAATTATTTGTTGTGTTATGCTGAACAGTAAAATGTTCAGTTTACATTTTTACTGCAGATGCAATATATTTTTAAGCCATATTTATGGACTAAACAGGTATATGCTGTTTCCAGTGGTGCAGGGTGTCAGGATATGTTAAAGTTTGTGATTACATTGTAGGTCATTTTAAGGGAACCTACTAATGGTAAATTAATGATATTTAGTATGCAGTTGTATAAACATTGGCACATCTTATTTCCATTGAGATTAGTTGGCCTGTCCCCTCAGTCATTATCTTTGACTTTGAAGCTTTTGCATAGTTGTCATGTTAAAGTGTGTTATCAGGTCAGTTTAAGGGGAACTAATTAAAAATAAATGGTAAATTAAATTAATGATATTCTGTATGTAGTTGTATAAGCATTGGCACATCTCATTTCCATGTTTAGATTACATGTAGTTGGCCTTCACCCCTCAGTCATTATCTTTTGACTTTGAAACTTCTGCATAGTTTCCATGTTAAAGTTTGTGATTAGGTAAATTTTAGGGGAATCACTAATGATAAGTCAATGATATTTGATATGCAGTTGTATATATAGCATAAGCACATCTCATTTCAATAGAGGTTAGTTACCCCTACCCCTCAGTCATGGTCTATTGACTTTGCAACTTTAGCATAGTTGCCATGTTAAAGTTTGTGATTAGGTCAGTTAAGCAGAATCACTTATGATAAGTCAATGATATTTGGTATGTAGCTGTATGAGCTTTGCATTACAGTTTCTTTGAATCTTCAATCATATGTAGTTAGTTACATGTAGTTACATGTAGTTACATGTATTGATGAAAGTATTCATTCATTTCAGGATATGTCAGATATGCAGAGAAATTTGAGCAAGTTGAAATCTTTGTCAGAAGATGACAAAACAGAAACTGCTATGTTGCGGTCTCGTATAGATGAACAGTCACAACTCATAATGATATTAAAACAAAGAGCTGATGATGTGTCAAGAAAATCTCAAACTTTGGATAAAATTAACAAAGAAATGATGGACTTCAGAGAAAATGCACAGGAAATGTTGGATGGTGAAATAAGAAAATATAACATATTAAATGCAAGATTTGATGACCTAGCTTCTAATCATCAAGAACTAATTAAAATAAAGGATGAATACAAACGTTCAAATCAAGAGTTACGAATAGAAAATTCTCGTCTCAGGGAAGAAAATGAGAGAATATTTTCAGGTGCTATTTTGGAAAAAGACAAACAAATTGCAGAAATGGATAGAAAGTTATCAAGTTTTAAAGAGCAGTATAATATGCTGGAACAAAAGCACAGGTAATCTGGTTATGTTGAGCTAAAGTCCATACATATTCTTGTAATTCTCATTAGTGAATTTTGTTCTGTTTGAAATAATGTTTTGCTATTGATAGTCATTTGGAAAATAACATAAAAAACATCTCTAATGTATTATGAGCTTGAAAGTCAATAATTCAACCTCATTTGAATCTGTATTCATGCAACCTTTAATTTAACCTGTAGCACATGCTTATAAATATAAGGAGATGTGGTATGATTGCCAATGAGACAACTATCCACCAAAGTTCAAATAAAGTGGATGTAAGCAATTAAAGGCAACCGTACTGCCTTCAACAATGAGAAAAAACCATACCATATTATTAGTCTGCTATAAAAGGCCTCGACATGAAAAATATGAAACAATTCACTTGAGAATACTAACGGCCTAATTTATAACAAAACAATTTACGAAAAACAAATATGACAGACATGAACTAACGACAACAACTGAACTGTAGGCTCCTGACTTGGGACAGGCACATATAGAATGTGGCGGGGTTAATAGAAATAAGAAGATTAAACATGTTTGTGAGCGCTTAACCCTCCCGCTAACAAGGGACAGTGGTGAAACAGAACAACATAAGAACAAACTATAAAAATCAGTTGAAAAAGGCTTTACTCATCAGATCTATACAAAGCAGAAAAACATCAAACAAAAACACAGAATGGACGTGGCAGGGTATTTATCCATCCCTCATCCTTAACAATAAAAGAGACACTAAGTACAGATCTGAGAGTACTCACAGTTATTGACAGCTTGTTCAAAGCCAATAACAACTAATAAAAAAAAATCAAGTATCTAAGACTAAAATATCAATCAGTACTACACATTCAACATCCTAAGGATTTCATGTAAAGACGTCATCAACAGTCTGAGGAAAACATGACCTTGTGTAATGCCAAAATAAAGGTATCGACAGGTTGTAGAACTGTTAAAGTTCATATGTGTATAACAATACTATTTAGTATGATTTTAATTGACTGATAACAAAATCAATATTTATACCAATATAAACAATACTCAAAGATCTAATTATAGTGTTGCATTGGCCATGGTAACCTTTTAGAATAAGTTTATTTAAAGGATTGGTAAGTTTACCTGGATCGTATATAAATTTCCGGGCTCAGTAAACAACATCACTGTAAAATTTAGGATGTGCTTTTCTGGCTGAAATAAGTTTTTTAACATGTTTACAGGTACAGCCAAACTTGCAAACCAAATCTTTGTATCTATGGAAGAATTTAGTAAAGGTTTTAAGTAATTTGTGGTAACAAAATCCCTGACCTTATAATTTACCAGTAAAACATAGATTACGCTCATTGAAATGAAAAATGTCTTGTCTATTTATATTAAAGATTTAAATCAGTCATACATGTATGGCCATCTGCAGTCTTCAGAGGTTATCTCTGTAATCATTGTAATGGTTATTAGATGGCATCTAGTCTAAAACAAGCATGAAATCCAATGAGTTCGTGCATTGTTGATTGATTCTTTTGGACTTTTTTTTAATTTGGATTAATCTTGATATAAATAAAATATGAGAATTTGAGTCAAATCAATGAAAAAGAATTTGGCAGCAAATGGCCCATTAAGGAATTGAAAAATATATATATATATATAAGCATTTTTATTTTGATGGACATACTGGTGGTTTACTTCACATCTATCTTTTTACACATCAAACATAGTAGATATTAGATAGCTATAAGTATACTTGAGAGAAAATCCCAAATATATGAAGTAGCTACTTTATCTTATAACTGTATCTTATAATCTTGTACAATACAGAGAACTCTCCAAAGTCCAAGGATGCTGAGTCTGAAGATAATATATACAGACCACGAATCTATCTATAATAGCAAATACCAAAACTACAACAAAATATAACAGACACCCTCTGAACATGTTCAGATGATATGCAGACCTTAATTGCTTGCATTCAGCATGTTAAGTTTTAATAATTTCCCCTGTATCAAATCAAAAGTTTGTTATAATTAATCATAAATACTCATTATATACATGATATATCAATGTAATTAATGGGCCTATAATTACATAGTCATATTTTTATTACAATTTCTTTTATATAATTTTCAGACAGCTACAACAAGACATGAAAGGTAAAGAAGACGGTTTACGAAATGAGATAAAAACCGTCCAGGAAAACTACAGAACTGAAGTCAAAATGTTACAGAGCAAGTTACAAGATTCAGAGGAAAGATTGAAGGGTACTTAAGACTTAATGATAAGCTTACAGGGATGAAATAATGACAAACTGGACATTTCTATTCCTTATAGTATAGATACATAAATAAATTATTAGTTCACCTAAGTGAAGTTGAAGGGGACTATTGGACTACCCCTGACACCAACTTATGCATGTTACAACTTTATATTTATTGAAATACCTCATTATTTGAAAGTTTTAATGCATAGAAGATTTTGGGAGTATGGTTTGATAAGATGTATTGATTAAAGTTTTCAGATTTGTAATGATATTTCTGTAAATTTGAGAAGATTCTCTGATACAGAATTGACCAACCTATTTTATTTTTTTTTATTATGAGAATATAAGAATTACATGTAAGGTAAAATTTAGAAAAAAGAAATATATACTTTTCTGGTTTTATATATTGTGTGTTACACGCAACATATATTTGATCAAAAATAGAGATAAACAGATATATCTAATACAATATTTCAATTAAAGAAAGATATTAATTGAAACTGATGTATTTTATTAAAGGTGCTAATTACAAACTGCAGAATCAGATTGAGGGAAGAAAATCCTTAGATGTGGAGTCTCAACATAGAATACAGCAACTTACCAAAGAAAAGGATGAACTGTTAGATCTTGCTATGCAGAGAGGAAAGATAGTTCAGGTATTTCAATTGATAAACAATCTTATAAGTGACATGCATCATATATTTAGAAAAGATATGGGGTACGTGTCAATGAGACTGCAACTCAATGGTACAAAAATAACTAAACTAGTAATTGGCAAATTATGATTACCAATTTAATGAAGGAAACCTTTTTTCCTTTTGTTCATACAAATAAAAATTATTTTTTTAGAGAGAACAAACAGAGAATAAGAAATTACAAAGAAGGATTGAAGACATGGAAAAAGCTGTTCAAACAATGGAAGAAAAATTTGAGTAAGTTGAATCTTGCAGTGAAAAAAACCCCAGTGTTTGTTATAACTGACAGCTAAGTAGAAAGTTAGAAAATCAATTAAATTATTATGAAAAATTTTAGGTGGTCATATTTGAATAGCTATAACTGTGTGATTTTAAAAAGATATAAAGACAACTGATGTGTCATAATGATATTAAAGGAGAGATAAGGACTAAGCATTTCAAAAGAGTTGATAAACTACCATTACCTGCACATTGTAAATGATCATATTTGGAGGAAAATAAAAAAAATAATTCCATCATTCTTCTAAATAAGCATTGTCATCTTCAGACATACTACATGTATGTTTATTTCATTCTTAAAGAGCATGGAATTACTGCTAACATGTGTATAAGATTGTGGATGTAAGCCAGTAAGGCCTACTTAAAAGTTAAGTTGATATTGAGTACTTGTGATGTATTAGGTCATTAGAACTAAATAGATCCATCCATTATTCCATATTAGGACATGCTATTACTAATCTGAACATGATGATTTCAACAAGAAGAAGATACAAAAAATATTCAAATTTTCTCAAATTACGGCATCTTTTTAATATTTCCTTATTTGTATTATGATAAACATTGTGTTTAATCAGTAGCTCATTGATTTTTCTTTCTTTTAGTATCTCCTCTGTCTTTGTATATCAACAGATGAAAAAGATATAGCACTCTAAACATACACAGTTGTATTTAAAAAAAATAGACTGTTGTGCTATCTTATAGATACACTATTTTGAATGAATTTTTAATATGACTGTCATTGTATGTTTATTGACCTTGAATTAAAATATGAAACAACAAAAAAAGTAAATCATTCTTTTTTTATTTGCTAGAAACATAACATTTTCATTGTGGTCATAAACTATATTCAAGAAGATTTATTATCTTTATATTAATTGATGTGAACATAGTAAGTTATTGACTTCCATGAAGTGGTCTTCCTTACAGTGACAAATGATGTTTCCTTTAGTGTTATGGCTTTGTTATGGTCTTTAATTTCTAAAGTGACTTGCCTTTTTTTTCAATTGTTTTTATCATTTTATATATCAAAATTGTATTGCAGAAGAGAGGCCACAGCTGTTAATGCTAACCTTCAGGTAAGACGGCTGAGAGAAGAGGCTTCTGATGCAGGTCATAAATATACTGAAGTTGTCAAAGTAAGTAATATGTATTGATGATGTTCTTCCTTTTTTATACGACCGCAAAAAAATTTTGCGGTCGTATATTGGTATGACATTGGCGTCGTCGTTGTTGTCCAAAGACACATTGGTTTTCGCACTCTAACTTTAGTTTAAGTGAATGGATCTCTATGAAATTTTACAAGAAGGTTCCATACCACAAAAGGAAGGTGGGGATTGATTTTGGGGGTTATGGTACCAACAGTTAAGGAATTAGGGGCCAAAAAGGGGCCACAAATAAGCATTTTTGTAACTTCCAGACATAACTTGTGTGTTAGTATATGGATCTCTCTGATATTGTACCACAAGGTTCCATATCACAAAGGGAATGCTGGGATTGATTTTGGTGGTAATTGCCTCCAAATTTTAGGAATTAGGGGCCAAAAAGGGGCAAAAAAACAAGCATTTTTCTAGTTTCATGACAATAACTTGTGTGTAAGTGTATGGATCTCTCTGACATTGTACCACAAGGTTCCATATCACAAAGGGAATGCTGGGATTGATTTTGGGGGTAATTGCCTCAAAATTTTAGGAATTAGCAGACAAAAAGGAGCAAAAAACAAGCAGTTTTCTAGTTTCTAGACAATAACTTGTGTGTAAGTGTATGGATCTTTCTGAAATTGTATTACCAGGTTCCATATCACAAAGGGAAAGCTGGAATTGAGTTTGGGGGTAATTGCCCAAAACGTTTAGGAATAAGGGGCCAAAAAGGGGCCAAAAATAAGCATTTTTCTAGTTTCCAGACAATTACTTGTGTTCAAGGGTATGGATCTCTCTGAAATTGTACTGCAGAGTACCATACCACAAAGGGAAGGCTGGGATTGATTTTGGGGGTAATTGCCTCAAAATTTTAAGAATTAGGGGCCATAAAAGGGAAAAAAACAAGCATTTTTCTAGTTTCAGGACAATAACTTGTGTGTAAGTGGTTCTTTATGAAATTGTACTACAAGGTTCCATATCACAAAGGGAAAGCTGGGTTTGAGTTTGGGGGTAATTGCCCTAAATGTTTAGGAATTTGGGGCCAAAAAGGGGCCAAAAAACAAGCATTTTTCTTGTTTCCAGACAATAACTTGTGTTCAAGTGTATGGATCTCTCTGAAATTGTACTGCAAGGTACCATACCACAAAGGGAAGGCTGGGATTGAGTTTGGGGGTGATGAATCATAAGGGGGTTCAAAAAATTTGGGGGGGGGATTTTTTTTTCCTTTTTTTTCTTTAAAATTCTCTTATTTTAAATTGGTTATTTCTGATTTATATATAAAAGCAAATAATAATGATATGGTTTAAAAGGTAAATTAAAAATTTTTAAGTTCTTAGACCACATTCATTCTGTGTCAGAAACCTATGCTGTGTCAAGTATTTAATTACAATCCAAATTCAGTGCTGTATCAAGCTTGAATGTTGTGACCATACTTGCCCCAACTGTTCAGTGTTCGACCTCTGCGGTCGTATCAAGCTGCGCCCCAGCGGAGCATTTTATTGTATCTTATAATTACTAATATTTTACAAATGCATTATAATATTTTTTTTTATTTTTATATTTTTTTTTAATTTTTTTTTACTTAAGGTATAAGGGGAGGTGACTCAGAAATTGTGTCATTTTTTCACATGAATCACATCAAGCTCAATGACCTATCCTTTTTATCATGTCTTTGAACATATCACAATATGTACTTCATTTTGGCAAAGTATGAACTACCGGTATTCTATCATTTTTTCTTTATACACCTACACCACATTAAATGGTTTATATTTAACAAGGTCTAGAGAAGTACTAGTATGTCAACTCTTTCCAACACCAAGGCCAACATTTAAAAAAAAATGTGTGCAGTCAACAAAACACTGCAAAAGAAAACTAAAGAATGATCTATTCCAATATGTTAATTTTATTCCTACTGATAAAATTTGTAATAAATTGCAGTAGTTAGACTTAAAAATTGCTCTCAAAATTAAATTATTTTTGTCAAAGACTGCATCTATCAACAATTTATCATTAAAACGAAATGAATAAAAAAACACAGCCACTCCCCTGGTGTGTTTGATAAGAAAATTCATTAAAAATCATGGAAAATAATTGCTTATTATATAGTTATCAAAAGATAATACTATAGAAAGAAATATTTTCTATATTTTTGAATATTCAATGTCCTATTGACATTATAATGAATTGAAAGCTCATATTTTGGGTTCAGAATGTGAAAGCTAATAGTATGGAATTTTAGCTCTTTATTCATAAATACATTTTCGTCTGATTTCAGTTGCAAAAAAAAATAGAATATACACAGTGATGTTTTTATTGACTGTCATATAAAATCAAATCAAATTATTTTTTTTCTCTCCTTGGTCATCTTGTAAACAAGGTTGGTGACTTATACATTTTACACAGCAATTCTTAACAGAATAAAAGTGGTAAAAACATTTAGGGTTAATTTAAGGAACAGTAACTGGGCTATGCCACAGATTTTGGAAAAATTTTGCATACAACTTTGGCTTGTTGAATTATATCTGAAAATAGAAAAAATAATGCCTTTATCTCTTTTATTTTCTGAAACATTACTGATTGAATTCTTTCAAAAAAGGTGAACATTTGTATAGAAAGCACATAAAAACGGAGAAAAACATTCTTAAATTTGTTTTAAATCATCAAATCTCCAATTTCAAATCCATAGATTTTTCTTCAAAAACTGTATGTTGTTGATACATACATTTCTGTTGTAATGATATGAAATAATCATATGGTCATCAACTTGGTTTTTGGTGTATTAACCAATCTGTTACTTTTTTGATGGAGGAAAGTCAAAAAATGACATTTTACGGCATACAAGGCAATGTCGTTTTGTGGTATTTTTTCACCTAGTACACCACTTTGAATGATGTATACTGTAAAAACAAAGTAGGTGACCCAATTAATTTTTTACATCATTCAAACGGAACTTTTTGTACCAACAACATATAATATTTAAGAAAAATCTATGGGTTATAAATTGGAAATTTGATGATTTTAAGACAAATTTTTAAATTTTTTCACCAATTTTATGTGCTTTCTATATAAGTGATCACCTAGTTTTATAGAAGAATTCAATCAGTAATATGTCACAAAATAAAAAAAAATTAAATGCATTATTTTTTCGATTTTCAGTTAAAATTCAATGAGCCAAAGTTGTATGCAAAATTTTAAGAAAATCTGTGACGTATCCCATTTACTAAACTTGACCTTGATAAATGAAGGAAATCTCAAAGTGGTTTAAAATGGTGGATATGCCCTTAAACTTTGTCTGTTATGCAAATTAAACATTTGATTTTATTTTACAGGAATTTGAAGCATACAGAAAGCACTCTCAGACATTGTTACAAAGAGAAAAAGATCTGAATGAGAGATTAAGACATCTAGCAGGATAGCTTGTACCTAGGAGATTATTGCTGAGATTGAATTGTAGTGTAACAGTATGATACAAATTATATACATATGATGTACCCGTAATGGATGGATAAAAATGAGAAGTTAATCAACCATATTTACTTAATCAGAAAAAGAAGATATTGATATTATGAAATGCATCATCTATATATTTGTTAAAATCAAAGATAAGGAATAATTTAAACCAAACAACACAATTAGAATGTTAAAAATAGTGAAATACTGATAAAGGGAGTATATCAGTCCATCACTATCTTAAGTCAGAAATAACAACAAATGATAGGGCCAGATTATTAATGAAATATTGTAAGCTAAGAACAAGGTATGATTTGGGGTCAATACATTTCAAGCTATATGAACTTATAACAAAACAATGCCTTTTTTAGTTATAAACATACCCTTTTCATGATTTTGACAGCCATGAAATGACAGTAAATCCTGTAAAATGGTGAATACATTGTATTTAGAAAAAAAATAACTATTTGTTTTGTACATGGTAAGAAATATTATAGAGCACAACCATTGCCCCAAAAATATATTTAAACAGTAACTGTTGTTTATCTGTTCACTGGCAAAAAGTTTATTTTTGGGTGACGCTTGTAGTCAATGATAATTTAGCCAAAATATTCCTTTAATTAGTCCCTATTGTAGCTAAATATGTGACAAATATGGGTTATGATGTCACAGTCAAATTGTGTAATAAAGGCTTGGCTAATATTTACATTTTTTAACAAGTGTTTCTTAGGATGCTTAAAAATTACTTCAGTAGAAGTAAAATTTTTCTTTTTGGTAATTTACAGGTCACAATAAGCCCCGAATTGTACCTTGTCCTATGGATGCAGGAATGCAATTCAAGTGTGAGGCTTTTTTATAATAACAACAACAAATACGGTATATGTTTTGAATGATGAGAATTTTAAAATCTTTTGTAAGGGGAGATAACTCAGATAGTTTTATAGTATAAAGTAATGTACAATTCAATATGAAGTATGAACAGATTCTCTAATTTTTTACTACTCCAATCTACTTTTAAACTGATTGTAAAGTGATTGTATTTGATATTTTTGAGTGTACTAGTACAATGTTGCACATTGAAATAAGAAAGCATTATATATGTACACCAGAGCCTTATCTTATTAATTTCCTGACCTCAGAATATAATTAGAGATATATGATCTAGCTTTTCTGCGTCAATATTGAAGATTAAGTTTCTTACAAATGCATGAAAAATCCTTTCTTTTTTGTCTGGTGCACATACAAACAAGACCCAACAACATGAGTGGACAATATCTCAAATAAATTAACGGGTAATTATAAAACTTGCCATGTATCTCAAAGACTTAATTTGTTACTTGATATTATTATACATTGTAGTTGTAACAACAAACAAATTACTGTGTTTGGTAGGACATTTTTACATAGGTGTTTGGTAGGACATTTTAACATGTGTATCACCTGATCTGATTCTTACTTGTTATGGTGATTTTTCATCGAATACGACCATTGATTCTTTTATTTTCTGCAGATTTCAAAACTGTCAAAGAAACAAAAACTAAATTTTAAGTTAGGTTAAGTTAGTTATTTTATAAGTTTTAACATTATTGATTTTTTTTAAATGAATATTTAATTATTGATCATGTTTATGGATATTTAATTCATGTGTATTTTCATCACTTAAGTTTGATTACCAAATCTTCCACCTCCATTAATGTCAACCACTTTATAGAATACTGTAAAGATTGTCAATTTACATCCAATATGTTCTCCTTGTGTACACTATTTACTGAATATGTAATAGAAAACTTGGCAAACTTAAGAGGAATGTATTGAGAATTGAAACTGTTTATGTGTAGAATTTGCACAAATAATACCCTTGTGAAGATATTTTTACTTGCAGAATTTGTTTTTTTTATTGTATCACTTTGAAATACTGCGATTTTATGATTTTTGGGAGAGGGGCGCACAAGAAATCATTAGGTGATGGAAAGTTTGATTTGTACTCAAATTTGAAGAAAAAACCTTCATTTTTTGCAGAAATTTAATTAATCTGTTTTTAATACCCCTGAAAGGTCTAATAGAATTATGGTATTAACTTTATTATACCCCTGCTTAGGGAAGCAAGGTTTAGTGATCATTTTGTCTGTTGTTTCATTCATTCGTTAGTATGTTCATTCATCTGTTTGCTCGATTTTGTACTGTGACTCTTCGTTAAAGAATGACTGGGTTCGTATGAAACACGAGTCCATCAAGTATCTTATGTCATACTGCACCTCATATTATTTCATCAATTGTCTTCCTGTATTAAACAGATACCTTATGAAAATCTCTGCCTGTTAATTTCAATTAGATTTTACCTTTCTGAAACTGCTTCTGACAAAAAAGAAAACTGTGGTCAGGATATTATTATGTTGGTTACACTATCTTATAATAAATATACACTCTTCTTACCATGTTTAAGTTTTGTATTTTGATGGTAAAGTCATGTTTGCAAGAAAAATATATGTTATTTATATATTTTCTGCCTATGATATTGTTATATTTTTAATGTAATGTCCATCCATGAAATTGTAAAACCTTTGTTATATTTATTTTAGAATGTCTGTGATATCCTTATGCCTCGGTTAGATTTGTTATAGAATGTCCGTCCACAAAATTCTTATTATTTCTTTATATGTATAATCATAGAATGTATATTGAAGATACTCTTAGCAGCCCTTAATTGTCTTTTATATTAAACCCCAATCAATTACCTTGTCCGTCTGTTCGTTCGTTTGCCCAATATTTTTGGTACTACTGAACAATGACTTCATATTTGGTCAGATGTTTGATGTTGATGAGTTGTAATATGTGAGCATAGAAGACAGGATGTATTATGGTATACCATTGTGTGTCCATCCATCCGTCTGTGTGTCAACACTTTGTATGATAACTCAAATTTGCTCTAACCAATTTTTATAAAACTTTTACACAACATTAGAATTGACGGAAGAAAGCTCACTTTCAATACAAGGTTTTTTTTCACAAAGTGTGCACTTACTCCACTATTCCTGAATTGATTTCCTCCAAACTTTACATTTTTGTAGGGATTGATGAAAAGGAGCTCTCTAATTTCCATAGTTACAGAACTTTAACTGTTACATATAAGGCAATTTTTCACAAATTGCGCACTAACTTCAGTATTCTTGGATTGATTTCCTCCAAACTTTGTGGGGATTGATGAAAAAAGCACTATTTTGATTTTTAAAATTTTCCGGTTTGTCAATCCAGAGTTAAGGGAATTTAATTGTCAGATTTTAGTAAATTTTTCACATATTGTACTATAACTTGAGTTTGCTTGGATTGATTTAGTGGAGTCTTTACATAATTGTTGGAATTGGTAAACATAAAAAACTGTTCAATTTAAAAAACGGTAGCCTCAGGCATGTTGATCTACAGAGCTATGTTATTTGCTTATGATTAAATGCCTGTGAAATTACCCATTTTATTCTTGCAACAATTTCAATATGCACAATAAAGGTGTATCATGTGCTCTTGGCGCAGCTGTTTATTTGGATGTGTCGGAAACCAAATTCCAGTTTGTTGACTTATTTTCTATGTGTAGAATGATCTTAATATTTTCGTCATACATTTCTTAGGTGCTTCTGATCATAATGACTTTATACTTAGTGAGCAACTTAGCGGTAATGAGAGTGCTTTTTGTATCTGTCAGAAACCTATCTGCTTCTTGTTTTCTGATACTCTGAATTACAATAGAGCTATAACTAACGCAACTAAATTTGCAACCTCTTGTTTATTTTTATATCGTTTAATGTTTGTACATGAAATCTGTTACATTTGTCACAGAGTGACTGCCCATGATTATATGTGTTTCATAACTTAGTTGATATACAAGATGTTTTATAGATATATGTTGATTTCTGTGATATACATTATTAACTGCTGAACATCATACTGCTGAATATACTTAATGTATGACCTTGGTTAAATCAAGGGTTAATAGATATTAATGTGTAATTAAACTATAAAAACAAAGAGCAGAGGGACCATATCAAAATGCTTTAGATGAAAACATACTCTGCTTTTACCTAAAAAGGGAAAACCTATAGGTATTCATTTTATGATTTTCATACTCACAATGTTTGGAGTGTGGTATTCAAGCTTCTTTTGATGACTTTCTAGATGTGTTTTCCAGAGTTACAGAACTTTGATTGTCAAGAAATCTTTGTGATTCTTTTATTTTCATTGGTACCAATTTTCTTTGATTTAAAAAAAAAACGAATCCTCCTAGATAGTTGATTTTGTAGTTTTTCAAAATTCTGCAAACAAGGTTAGGAAATTTGTTCTTCATTGAACATTTGCATTTCTGGTTAACATAAATCATAAAATCAAAAAAAATAGTACTCCAAGATTGATGTCATACTTTTATTTTAATATGTTTAGTATTGTAATTGTGGATTTCAGTTGTAGTGCTCTAAACAAATATTTCAATAATCTTTTGTTTTTGTGTCAATAATACTAATTATATATATATATATATATATATATAATGAAACATGTTAAAAACATATTTCTCATTCTCTTATTAATCCAACTGATAGAAAATTGGTTTAACCTTAAATGTACAGTCAGACCCAAAGTGATATGTATATTGTAAACAATATTTTACTGTTAGACTAATGAATGTGATATATTTTCTATAATATTTATTTTATTTGTTGCTCTAAATGATTAAAAAAAATTTAAATAAACTATTTATAATAAATAATATTTGTAAAATAAATTTGATTTTATGTTTTACTAGTATATTGATTTATACAACAGCTACAAAAGTAAGGATGAAAGAAGGACACAAAATTATTGTAAAGATGAAATAAAAACTAATAAAAATGAGCAGTTAAAGAATAACAAATACTGCAACACATACAACGAAATAGCCAGTAAAAACGTCACAAAAACACAATCAACAAAATCATCCACAAAACCTAACACTACTATAGCCAGTAAAAACAGGACAAAAAACAAGACAAAAACACAATCATCTACAAGACTCTACACTACTATAGCCAGTAAAAACAAGACAAAAACATAATCATCCACAAGACTCCATAGAGTCTATACTACTATAGCCAGTAAAAACAAGACAAAAACACAATCATCTACAAGACTCTATACTACTATAGCCAGTAAAAACAAGACAAAAACATAATCATCTACAAGACTCTACACTACTATAGCCAGTAAAAACAAGACAAAAACATAATCATCCACAAGACTCCATAGAGTCTATACTACTATAGCCAGTAAAAACAAGACAAAAACACAATCATCTACAAGACTCTATACTACTATAGCCAGTAAAAACAAGACAAAAACATAATCATCTACAAGACTCTATACTACTATAGCCAGTAAAAACAAGACAAAAACATAATCATCCACAAGACTCTATACTACTATAGCCAGTAAAAACAAGACAAAAACATAATCATCCACAAGACTCTATACTACTATAGCCAGTAAAAACAAGACAAAAACATAATCATCTACAAGACTTTATACTGCAAACTCAAGATTGACAAACACAAATTTTGCTAGGTCAACCATGTCATTTTGGTATTCATAAAAGTTTTGATGACATGACTTCCCCTTGATCATTAAGACCCCTTGGTTTGGTTTTGCTTTTCAGTTGATGAATTTAGAAATGTTTATGGTACTAAGGTTCCAACTTACTTCAGGCTAAGTCGACCTTAGATGAATTTAGCCATTTTTTTTTTAAGATCATTTTTAGTCAGATAGCCCTCCTGTACTCAGGTATTTATACATCATTTGCTTTCAAATTATTGGTTTTGAACATTCCTGATGTAGGTAAATCCAGTAAAGTGCTTTGGATGCACCAAATTAAAAATGTATTAATATTTTCATTTCCTTGTAATTAGGTACTTTTTATTAAGGAAATCATTTAAGCATTATCATTTTATATTGAAAGATAAAGAAACAAATGGCACTTTCTGTAACTACAGTAACTTTATATCATTTATAAAGCTAACAAGTTAATAAATTGTCCTTTTTATCTTTCTTTTAAGCATAATATATATTCACTTATGATAAAGGCTATTGCTGTCATTTTTGTTGAGCTTGCAACTTTTATGTCGCGAAAGCAAGACATAGCGAGCCTAGATTTTGTTGGCAATGTCTGCGGCTTCTTCTGTGGTTAAATTTTTTTTAGACATCAATAACTTTGTCAAACCTTCATGGAATTTTACGATATTTAGACAGAAGCTTGTTTATGACCAAACGACAGTTTCCAGAGCTAAATTTGAAATATATTTTAATATTTTCATTTTTCCGTATTTTACTGATAAATGGACTTAGTTTTTTGTCGAGCCTGCGACTTTTGTTGCAGAAAGCTCGATATAGGGATAGTGATCCGGCGGCGGCGTTAGCTAACTTCTTAAAAGCTTTATATTTTAGAAGCTAGAAGACCTGGATGCTTCATACTTTGTATATAGATGCCTTATGTTACGAAGTTTCCGTCTGTCATATGTCCATTGTCCTTGACCTCATTTTCATGGTTCAGTGACTACTTAAAAAATAAGTCAACATTTTTTGTAATATTAATTTCTTTCTTATTATGAGTAATAGGATAACTATATTTAGTATGTGCGTACCTTGCAAGGTCCTCATGCCCATCAGACAATTTTCATTTGACCTCGACCTCATTTCATGGATCAGTGAACAAGGTTAAGTTTTCGTGGTCAAGTCCATATATCAGATACTATAAGCAGTAGGTCTACTATATTTGGTATATGGAATGATTGTAAGGTGTACATGTTCAACTGGTAGGTGTCCTCTGACCTTGACCTCATTTCATTTTCAGTGGTCAAAGTTAAGTTTTTGAGTTTTGGTCTTTTTTTCTAATACTATATGCAATAGATCAACTATATTTGTTGTATGGAAGGATTGTAAGGTGTATATCTGGCAGGTATCATCTGACCTTGACCTCATTTTCATGGTTCATTGGTCAATGTTAAGTTTTCATGGTTAAGTTTGTTTCTTAGATACTATAAGCAATAGGTCAACTATGTTTGGTTTATTGAATGATTGTAAGGTGTACATGTATTTCTCGTTTGGTTTATCTGACCTTGACCTCATTTTCTTGGATCATGTTAAGTTTATGTGTTACTTGTAGTAAAGCTTTATATTTAGGACTATCAACATAAAATCAATGGTTAGTAAAGAAAGCAAGACATTTCAGTGTGTGCACTCTTGTTTGTAGTTAACATTCAGATTTAGTCTGAGGTTAAAGTTTTTCAGTCATCAATAACTTTGTCAAACCTTCATGGAATTTTATGATATTTACACAGAAGCTTGTTTAAATGACCCAAATACAGAATCCAGAGCAAAATTTTGAAAATATTTATTTTCATTTTTCTGTATTTTACTGATAAATGGACTTAGTTTCTTTTTACAGTTAACAAGGAGATGCAGTTTGGGGTTAGAGTTTGTTACACATCAATTGCTTTGTCAAACCTTCATAGAATTTTTATGAAACTTTGTCAGAAGCTTTTTTTATGATTAATAGTATGTCTGAAGCAAACTTTTGAAAATACATTTTTTTCATTTTCAGTATTTTTCTGATAGATGGACTTAGTTTTTTTACAATTAACATTTACAGATAGTCTGGGATTAGTTTTTTTTTTTTTACATGATAAATTTATAAACCTTCATGAATTATAAAATTTATAAACCTTCATGGATTGTTATGAAACTTGAACAGAAGCTGATCTTCAAGACTGAGAAATAGCATCTAAAGAAAAAGTTAGAATTTTTTTTTTAAATTCTGTATTTTACTCATAAATAAACTCACTTTTTAAGTCAGCATTACACTTATACACTGACAGCAGCAATCGCAGGCAAGACACAGGGTTCCATGGAATCCCTGAAAATTTTTGTCTGTTGTTGGGGATGAACAACTTGCTAATTTATAGTTTAAAACAAGACAAAAATGTTTATGCTTAATTTTCAAAAGAGAATTTCTGTACAAGTTTGTTCTGGGCATTTCAACAAGATAGTGGGTTCCTGTTTATGATGTTGCTGTCCTTTGAGCTTGCCATCATTTATAGCTGCATGCCACTTTACCTAGCTGGCTTTTGTCTTATCTTAAAGTCAATTTTTTTTATTTGGAAAATTAGGTGTTGATGGTATATCTTTAACAATCTCTGTCAAATATATTGAAATTGTCTTACTACTCTGATGATTTAAGGTGGACTCATTGGTATATATTTCCTCAGATAAAATTTTTCTTATACTTTGCCAGAATGTAGATTTTTCCATGCTTTTAAAAAAATAATAAAAAATATGGGTCACCGTGCTATTTTTCAAGTCACAAGACATGCAGAATTGCCCAAATTTGCAGATTGTTCATGAAAAAACACATTTTTGTGAATAAAGAGAAATCTATACGATAGAATTTTGAAATAAAATATGAGAAGATAGGTTTTAAAATATGCTTTAAGAAAATAAAAATAAAAATGGTGCCACTGACCTTGTTTTCTTGCTACAAGTAAAAATTGAAAATTTCTCTATCATTCCTTCACAAAAAATTTACTATTTGAGTTATCTCCCCTTAAATGGCTAAGTTAACAATTAAATTCGAACAAACACAAATATTAGGTATTTGATAAATCAGTCTGTCTTAATAATGCAATGAATCATTTATTTTTCTTTATTCCAATAAACAGCCTAACCCATTAATTACCAATATGCCTCAAAATTTGCAGATTTAAGCCAAGAACTAGACCTATTGTGAACTGCTATTTTACAATCCAAGATGGATATACAGTTAATCTACCTTAAGGGCATGGCATTTTGTAAAGACACCACTCTGTTTGTAAATGCCAAATGTTTACTAAAAATAGTAAGCATAGACTATTGTCAAATTGTTCTAAATATTTGTTTTTCGTTCATTATTTTGTACATAAATCAGGCCCTTACAAAATTTAGTTTTCTCGTTTGAATTATTTACATTTTACATTTGTGATTTCGGAGCCTTTAATAGCTGACTATGCGGTATGGGTTTTGCTCTTTGTTGAAGACCGTACGGTGCAGGCTACGGTGACCTATAGTTGTTAACTTCTATGTTAGTTGGTCTCTGGTGCAGAGTTGTCTCATTGGCAATTATACCACATCCTTTTATTTTTATAGTTTTTTGTTCAAGCCCATATGATCTTGTGTTCTTGGGTTGCTGTCTAATTGATAAATACCCTATTTTTCCTTTTTGTACTTTTAGATCTTTTTGTGTTGTTCACTTGCTGTCTCATTGCCATATACCCCACATGATCTTTTATTCTTGGTGAAGTTTACTGGTCAAGTCAATTTTTTTTAGAAATGAATTCTGCTTTATATCAATAATGAAAGAAGGAAAGTGATGTTACCAAAATAGTAAATAAAGTTGATGCAAGACTTACTAAAACCAGTAACACAGAGAAACAGGCAAAAAAATGCATATAAACAAGAAAGAAACTTAAAAGCATTGGAAAGTATGAAGGTAGAAAACATTTGATTTTTTAGAAGAGATGTTGTGGAAAATTTGTTCATAAAAATTTAAAAGAGCTTACTTTTAAGAGGACTGATAGATGACAGTATATTTATGTGTATGTTTGGGTACAATGAACTTTTTTTCAAAGACTTATGGATCAATGATCCTTATGATCTATTTTGATATAGATTAGTTACTTAAATTCTATTAAATATTATTAACATTGTCAATGCCTCTCATTTCCCACACTTCATCCTGGTATACCTACCTTGCAAATGCTACTTAAGTCACTTAATAGTTAATTTGTTCCCTTCCTGAATGTGCATGGAATATTTGCCACTAGACATTATGTAAGCAACAATTAATCATTGCCTCATTCTGCAAAATAGTTCAATAAAATTCATATGTCATATCTTGTAAAAATATGTTTTCTAAAATCATACAATTACAAGGTTTCAGGAAAAATTAGATGGAATTATTTTTTTCTAGGCCATTCTTGTGCGCTGCATTATATAAATTCAATTTGGTCATTGGTTATACTTTTTCGGGTGTCTCAGGAGTTTTCGTATTATTTTAGCAAGAAAGCATTTTTTGCCTTTGTTTATGTTGTTCCCGTACTTTATTTTTAAACATAATTTTTTTTATTACAATAAGGTATGTACTCTTAGAATTTGATATGACAGGATTATCTTTGTTGTTCTGATCATGCCACTATTGAGTTCTTATATATTGGGGGTTTTATTTATAGAAACATTTATGATTTTCGGATGGCAAACATTGAAATCGTTCGTAATTGTGTCCAGTCGTAATTGCGTCCGGTGGGTACCAGTCTTTACCATACCACAGAGATCATTTAATTCTAAAATACATGTACCTGGCAGTCATCCTAATAGAAAAATCAAATGACTTTCAATTTTAACCCAGAAGTTAGAACCTGAATCAATCGTGTATCCATGTGTCACATGTGATTATCGAGTTATACAGCAAGAAAGAGAAGACACGTGCAATCAGTGGAACCATGTCTCTAATCCAAATAATTTTGACATCTTGAAAGGAAGGTATCACGGCAAAAAATTAAAATAGCCTTTCAAGACGTCGTAATTATTTGGATTGCCATGTCTCATGCCATTATATATCACAGTAAATCATACATTTATATACAAATGAACCCTGAGGGCCGCCAAATCTGAAAATGCGACAAAAACAAAGCCAATAACAACTTTTATATAAATGATATCTTGTCATGCTTGTCCCCATGTCAATTGCAAAGTATCAATCAGTACACATCCAATGGATTTAGTGTAAAGACGGCATAAACAATCTGAGAAAAGCATAACCTTGTGCAATGCCAAAATATAAGTACATAAAATCTACAGGGTTTACGACTATAACTTTAAATACATGTAGAACAATACATTTTAATGCACTCGCCGTAGGTGACTGGGGCATTAAGTGTTACGCTTGACTGGCTGTCTTTCCATCCATCCCATTTTCATTCCTGAACTCTTACTTAAGTTTGCCTCATGCAAATATAAAAGAAACCCATAGACAATGCTAAGAACCACAACACACAGACAATGTTCACATTTGGGCAGTGAGTCATTACTGTTCTAGAGTTATGCCGTTTTTAACTTGGAAAATTGCAAAGCTTGATCAGGGGCATTCATATCCTCAGGCACATTCTTCTTTTATTATTTATATTTTAATTTATCATAAGACATGTAAGATATATATATACCGGTACACATATATATATAATTATTATTGATAAAAACATATTCAAAGATCTTACAAAGAGTTAAAATGGTATTCTTTAATAATAAGTTTTATGAAAGGATCAGTAGATAATAAAATCAAATGAAAATTGATGATATTTAAATTGATGTGCGTTAAAAGTAATATTACCATAAAAATTAGGATGTGATGTCCTGATTTTTACATGAATTCCACATGTACAGATACAGCCAAAGTTCAAAACCAAATCTTTGTATCAGTGAAAAAAATTAGTAAAAGTTTTAAATAATTTATGGTAATGATTTCTCTGACATAATAGTTTATCAGTTATACATACATGTAGATTACATTTGATTTGCTTATATTGTAGATTGCTGTTTACCCAACATCTTTTATTCTTATGTAAAAAAAATGAAAAATGTAAAATGATAGAACTGACCTCTTCATATATATTTCATTGTGTATTTACAGGTATGGATTATGGATCAGGGGCAGGTAATTTGTCTGGTTTGAAGCTTGGATTTGAAGGCTTTGATGATGATGTGTCTAAAGAAAGTACAGATTTAACTGTTGATGCCTCGTAAGTTAAAAGCATGTTTTCAAATTTTAGTAGGAACTTTTGTTGTTTCTGTACACTTCAAACTGGTCTGACAAAATGTAGAATATGTACAACTTAGATTTCAACTTAACACAATATACCAACTCATTGTTACATGTTCATGTTCACATCTAACTTAACACAATATACCAACTCATTGTTACATGTTCATGTTCACATCTAACTTAACACAATATACCAACTCATTGTTACATGTTCATGTTCACACTCAACTTAATACAATATACCAACTCATTGTTACATGTTCATGTTCACATCTAACTTAACACAATATACCAACTCATTGTTACATGTTCATGTTCACATCTAACTTAACACAATATACCAACTCATTGTTACATGTTCATGTTCACACTCAACTTAATACAATATACCAACTCATTGTTACATGTTCATGTTCACATCTAACTTAACACAATATACCAACTCATTGTTACATGTTTTTAGAAATAAGAAGCTGTGGTATGAGTTCCAATGAGACAACTTTCCATCCAAGTCACAATGTGTAAAAAGTATGTTCACATTTAACTTAACACAATATACCAACTCATTGTTACGTGTTCATGTTCACACCAAAGGTTATTTGTCATGTTAGTTGAGTCCATGTTACATTCAAATATGATATCAGTTGTAAACATGATTTTGACTAAAATCATTAAACTGATATATTGTTTTCCCTTGTATAAAAAATTACAAAAGGGAACATACTTTTAATAAGTGCATTGTGAAAGTTACTGGTCTACTGTTTAATTTAGTAAGATAACTAAGAAACTGATGAAGGCCAATGGCTGAAACTTTCTATAAATGGTTTAGTTACTACAATAATGATATATTATAATTGGAAGGTGAATGTTAAATTCAATGACCATGACTGCATGGATGATCTTGCACTATAGATGAGGTTCCAATTTCTATTTTATGAATGAATTGCCCTGGTTGACATGGAGTCATTCAGGTAAAATAAAAACGTGTCATAGGACATTGTGACATGAAGATATTTGCTTTACATGCTTTATGACATCCAATTTTTGCGGGAAAAGGCATCAGTTGGAACATCATATATTATGCTTGCCCCTAGCTTTTAGAGAAATAACAAAGATGTTTGGCTAGATGTCAGTATAACATGTTTGTGTAGGATGACATGCTAGCACATTAAAAATCTGGCCTTTTCATTTTGATCTGGTACAAATCAGAGTTCATGATCACACATTATAGTGCTATTGTTCTGAAGATGCAATACATTAGATAATAGTGACCATTGAGCACTAATAGTAAGTTTTATTGAATTGATTATATTGAGAAATTAATGAAATTCTCTTATTTTTTTTGTACATGTATGATGTAATAGAAATGAGAACATTTTGTTAGATGTAAAGACCAGTGTAATGTTTGAAATCATTATATTTTTTGTTAAAGGTATGCAAATAATAAGATTTTGCTAGCTTGAAGGATTTATATTTTTTTCTTTTAGTTTTGCCACACAAGATGGCAGTTTTCTTCCAAACCAACAGCTTGGAGATTTACAACAAGGTAAATGTTTCCGGACTTGTTATACAACATATGATCATATTGTTATATATAGGGTGACATAAAATTTAATAGCAATAGGTTACAAAAGAGAGAAGTATGATGGTCACATAGGTACAGCTAGGTTTTGGTTCTATCATTCCTCTTTTAATTGAGTTTTTTGACATTCCATACACATCATATCTCTGATTTTCATGTTTCTAAACATTGTCTTTTGAGTGGTAAATCATTATTTGATTAGATTTGGATATTCAATTGCTCTTAAATAAAAGATCAAAATCTCAGAAAATATATTTTTTTGAGAAAAATAAATTTTTAATTGTGTACCAAATTTTTTATTAGTAATTGATATGAATGAGGAAATAAAAAAATTAGTCTTTAAGTGACTAGGTCAATGCATTCATGGTCAAGGTTGCAGCAGTTATAAATGTACTGAAATTTTAAGGAAAAACTAGTTTACAGATACGTCTGATCTTTATCAGATTTTGATGCATGATGGCCACTAGGGGAAAAGACCTTTAGTTATTTTCATATAAGGTTCCCTTTTACAAGGTCAAGGCAAAAGTCAGCTGTAAATAGACAGAAATTTGGGACTTTTATACTACCATATACAGTCTTGAAAACTTTTGGTATTTGCAATCATTATAAACAATAAAACATAAAAGGACTCTATACCAACAAAGATACGTTTATGTCACAGCAGCAATAAATGCAGAAATTGAAGGCATCATCTTTGAATCATGGTCTTGGTCAAACTTTCCAAAAGATCTATGTCTTGAATGAGCATCACAGACAATATAATGGTTGTGGACACAATTGGCTGAACCTACTACTACTAGTAAAATGTATTCTTAAAGTGTTCTCATTTGTAATATGCATTAAGCAAACAACAAACAATCAATCTTTATAATTGTACTTAAGCAATATTATAAATGTATTTTCAGTGTCCAACATACCAGCATCAGAAAACGAAACACAGTCAGAGGTAAGACTTATATTCTTTGTTTCTCATTTCCTGCAAACTGATATCAGTTGATGGGATTAAACATGCCATCTAAGAATTTGTACAATTTTATGATTGCTGACAGTTTAATTACGGGTGGTGAGAGAGGATTATTTACTCAGTAACAGACCCCATCAAAAGATGATATGTAAATTACACCAACCATGTTTAACAAATGACTGAAGCATGATGCAAGCCTCTACTGTAATTGTGATATTTTAAAGTGACCTGTACTTGTAGATGTCAATAAACTACTCACAACTTCAAATGTAGTATGAGAGGCCTTGGGTTTAATATCCAGCCTAGTAATTACATATACAAAAGACTTTATCTTTTTTGCTGTAGCATTCATGATTAAAAAAAAGACTAGTTAACTCAGAGACAAGAGTAATATGTCCTAGTATGGTGACATTTCTTCATGTTACTTTTTGAGGTAAAACATATAAAATCTTATTCAGCATGCATATGCCAGTCTAGTATAAAGCAATGTATGTTCATATAACATTAAAATATTATTGTTTTTCTTGTAATATTTTACACTGGACATTGGGTATCCATGCATTAAATTAATTGTATGATTGTTGCTATTTGCCAGATTTGATTTTTTTTTTTTGTTCAGAAAACAAAAAAAGGAGGATGGCCAAAAGGGAAAAAAAGAAAGAAACTAAAAGACCGTAATGCCCCTAAACCAGCATTATCTGGATATATACGGTTCCTGAATGAGAAAAGAGAAGTGATGAGAAAAGAAAATCCAAACCTGTCTTTCTCAGAATTAACAAGACTGCTAGGAAGTGAATGGAGCAAACTTCAACAGCATGAAAAACAAGTAAAACTGATATCTTTATCTAAGTTTAAATACAACAGCATAAAAAACAAGTAAAACTGATATCTTTATCTAAGTTTAAATACAACAGCATGAAAAACAAGTAAAACTGATATCTTTTTCTAAGTATAAATACAACAGCATGAAAAACAAGTAAAACTGATATCTTTATCTAAGTTTAAATACAACAGCATGAAAAAAACAAGTAATACTGATATCTTTATTTAAGTTTAAATACAAAGGCATGAAAAACAAGTAAGACTGATATCTTTATCTAAGTTTAAATACAACAGCATGAAAAAAACAAGTAATACTGATATCTTTAAGTTTAAATACCAAGGCATGAAAAACTAGTAATACTGATATCATAATCTAAGTTTATATACAAAGGCATAAAAAACAAGTAATACTGATATCTTTATTTAAGTTTGAATACAAAGGTATGAAAAACTAGAAATACTGATATCTTAATCTAAGTTTATATACAAAGGCATGAAAAACTAGTAATTCTGATATCTTTTTCTAAGTATAAATACAACAGCATGAAAAACAAGTAAAACTGATATCTATGTCTAAGTTTGAAATATAACAACATGAAAGATAAGTAGTACTGATATCTTTATTTTAGTTTGAATAATAGCCCAGAGGACATAGTTTCATAAACTTTAATTATAACATGAAAAACAGATAAATACCAGTCCTATGATTAAGATGCCTTATTGGAGTAAATCAGTGAATAAGTATAGAGTTATCTCCCATTTAACACTAAGCCATAACAAGTGAAATGCAAAGATAGGATCATACCCCAGAATGTTAATTATATTAATAACAATTATGTATATATAATAGGAGATTAAAATAAAATGTAAAGCAACTTCTAGTTTTAAACATTTATTTTTTAATGTTTCCAGACCTAAATGGTAAAATTTTGGAACTTTTATAAAAGTATAGATTCTTAATTATTGAATATTTTACATTTTTTAACATTTAGTTAATATACCAGATAGCTTGTTTTTACTCCTGTAAGACATAGAAAATGCAATGTTTTAATAAAGTACTGATTATCTTTTTTAAATTGGAATGTGATAATATGTGTTTTCATATTAGTCCTCTATCCACAGTCCTCAGAAAAGATGGTTTGAATGAAAAGTAAATGCTTTTATCATAACTAGATGTATGTCACAAATAAGTACATGTAAATATTTCTGTAGCAAACTCTACCAAGTGTTTTGAAAATTTACAAACTGACGATTATTTAGCTTATGAAATTAAATGTATATACTAGATATTTTTATTTACTTCTTAGTCATATTAAAAATATGTCCCTCTGGTATTTGAAGTTTTTAAAGACTGTGTAAACATATAAATGCAAGATGAAGGTATACATCATTTGCCTTTAATTGATGATTTTATTTTCAAAAAGGAACCGATTTAGTACATGTTACTTTGGACACTATTAATTGATGTTTCATTTTATTTTTAGAATTCTGTCACTTAAATGAATATATGAAAAAGAACCTAAATTCCACAATTTTTTTTCAGAGATATCTTGATGAAGCAGAAAAGGACAAAGAAAGATACTGGAAAGAAATGGAGGCTTATCAGAAAACAGAAGCATTTAAACAATTCAAAATACTTAGAGAGAAAAGGATGAAAGGTACTTTAACTATCTGTTGTAAGAAACTTTGATTTGGTCATGTAAATTCTTTAAACAAAAGTTTTCTGTCACTGTTGAAATGACATTACATACATGGCCATCTGCAGTATATTCACAGCCAATTTTCTGTATCACACAAGATGTTGAAAAAAGTAGAGTAATGAATGTAGCCTAGTTATTAATCCACAAACCATCTTTAATCAGATGAAATTCCATATTTTTCAAAAGTAGGAAATTAAAATTGTGTGTTAAAACCAGAAACAAATTCAATTGGGGCCATGAAAATATCTGGTATTCATTCATTTTAAAAACAATATTACTTGAAAAGTTAGACAGTGCCATAATTATAGCAAAAAATGTTTAAAATCATCAAAATTGTAAGGATTTAAATCTTTAAGTAAACAACAGTAGCTACCTAAAACAGAAAATCTAAACAACAACTGATCAAGCTTTTGACTTTATATGCAAGTATTCCTACAATTGACAAGCAAGTGATTTAAAAAATTAAGGTCCTATGTACTTTGTGAAAAAATATTGTGACCAACGTATTTGGTGTTATAGTGTACATACATTTTGTTTATATTACAGAGGACGTGAGTGATGATAGTTACAACAATACAGTTGAGGTGAGGATTAATTATTGAGAATACCAGTTCTGGAAAAATTTCATATTTGTAATGTCACATTTTGCAAACTTGGTTGAATAGAAAAAGAATTGATTTAATACCAAAAACTATTATGGATTTGTAGTTTACCGAGTGTTAGATCACATGAAATATTGTTTAAGCATCTGAAAATGGCACCATTTGATAAAAGAACTTTTACGTAATGTAGCAACAAGAGATGTTGTACAATTACATATATTCACTGTAACAATGTAATGCATTGGCTGTATGAGAATAAAGATATATGTAATAAATATTTGACGCTTGCCAAGTTTGAAAGGATGTTTGCACATGCTTTGTAAATAAGATTGGCTCTGACAGACAATAGATCAGCAGAGTTTCAGTCTGAATGCAGTATTCCAAGATTTGATTGGATACTGAATACTGTATATCAAGATTTGATTGGATGCTGAATACAGTATGCCCAGATTTGATTGGATGATGACAAACAATGTAATGTATTTCCAATTTATGATTCATACTTATACTTTATAGGGTTTTTTCCCCATTTTATTAGAATAACTCCTACTTTGTTTGTTTTTTAAACTGTGTTGCTGTTGAAACATTCACTCTAAAAATAAGTTTTGCAGAAAAAATTGCTAATTGGCCCATTGGAACATAATGGAAATTTATACAAAGAATGCTTTTATATTTATAGATTAAAGATGAAACAGAGCCAGGAACATTTGATATCCCAATATTTACAGAGGATTTTCTTGATTATAATAAATGTAGGTAAAAAAAAAGATTTTGTCAAATTTGATGATGATGATGATGATGATGATAGATGGCTAATTAACATCCAGCGGCAAATTAATTTCAGGACGAGAACGTGTTCATGTAATATGAATACTAACCCTGCTTTGTACTAGACCAACACGCTGAGCTGGGTTTTTAATGTTCTAGTTCACAGGTAACAGTCTGCAGGAAAACATGTCACCTTACCCAAAAGCATTATTCTGACGCCAAGCCGACCAGTCTTTGCTCTTACTTCTTAATGCCGGGTGCTTTGCGGAGAAGCAGCAAATTCCAATTTTAATCTCTTTGGTTGGTTGACCCGGGCAGTTTTCGAACTCACGACCTCCCGCACTCGAGGCAAACACGCTACCATGAGACCACCGAGGCGATTTTGTCAAATTTGTGTTAATTCATTTATCAACAAAATTTCACAAAATTTCACACATAACAAAGTGGTTAGTATTTTACCAGTCCATCCGTTATTCAGTCAGGCCCTTGGTTCATCAGTCATTTGGGTTTCTGTTTTGCTGTAAAAAATACTTTATATCCGATTGCAAGCTTACTTGTATATATGGTAATATAAAAGAGGAAAAGCCCTATTGATTTTGAGGTCACTGCATTTAAGGTCAAGGTCATAGTAAATAAAAATAGACTGAAGTTTTGCAGGAGACAGGTTTACATATGATAAATCAAATATTAAAAATGGGATTGGTAAAACACATTGGATATATTGTCACATACCATGAGAGGTAGATCCCTATTGGTTTTTTTTAGACCTGGCATTGTGACAATGTCATAGTACTAAAAATAGTCCCAAACTACACAAGTCAGAGTAACACCATGAGGAAATATCAATTCAGATTTTCATTCAGATTGTAACAAATTCAGTATTTTATTAATTGAAAAAGATCACTGAAACTTTACAAATTTATGACACTTGGTTATAAGTACATTTATTTTCATACAGATAAAACACCAACATGATCAGCTGTAAGAATGCTTTGTTTAGTAATTTATTTAATTTGTCCAAATTTTAGCAAGAGAAGGAGAACTACGACAGTTTAGAAAACAAGCGACAGAACTGGAGGAACAAAATGCCATCCTCAGCAAACATATAGAAAATATGAAACAAGCCATTGATAAGTTAGAAATAGATGCTGTACAACAGAGAAGTTCTAATTGTGCATTACAACAACATCTTGATTCATTACGGTCGACATTATCTACACATTTTGCTGCCATTCCAATACCAGGTATATCTCTCATTCCAATGTTATAAAAAAAAAATTATATGTGATAGATGTGAAAAGTTAGTTTAAAACCTGTTCACAAAAGAATATTAAAATTTCATGTTCTTTTACACTGTTCAAAATTTATTTGTTATAAAAAACCAAGTCATATAAATATTTATAGGATACTTGTTACTGTTAAGGGCATACAGTACAGTTACAAGGAAGGTAATGATGTCGCTAACATGACATTTTTTTTTCCCAACGTCAAAATGTGATATATTGGGAAAAGATGCATTTTTTGACTGCTTTTAATCATTAGCTTGAGAACGAATACATGGACTCCTCTTTTTTAAAATGACATTTGGTTTGATTATGTATGAAGTTTATTTGTACCAATTTTATTAAATCACTGATAAATTGTCTTTAAATAAGATAAATATACTGCAAAAAATGCATTTAATATTCTAAAACTATGAAAATTTCTTAAAAATGAATTATTTTCAAAGAATTTTTACCCAAATTAAGAGCATAATCATGTAGAGAAGATATTTCAGATGCTTTTACAAAAATCCACTTTAGTTGATCTTTTAAAGCAAAAAAGTTACGTATGTCTGTACAGTGGATTGTAATGTCCAAGATACTGAAATTTTGAGTAAACATCTAAACTTTCAATCCCATTTATCTCTAAAAGTAGCACATGAATTTAATAGGTGAAAAATAGCTTGTTTGCAAATTTTTTATAATATGCCCATAAATTGTATCAGAAGTAATAGGAACTTTAGCACCTATCAGAATTGATATTTTTGTTGCAAATAAAGGAGTTGCTAACTTTTACATCATTTGGTGTCTGGTGGAAAGGTGTCTCATTGGCAATCATACCGATTTTTTTTTATATATATAAATGTTAACAGCACAAAATTAATTTTCTAAGAAAAAGCAACCCATGAAAAATGGTAACAACGAGAAAAATTCATCCTATTTATTTTCAGGTTCAAATGAGCTTCCATCAGTAGAAACTGTAGATTCCTACATGGCCAAGCTGCATAACATAATAGTAGAAAGTCCACAAGAACATCAAAGTCTTATAATAACTATAAGGGATATTGTTAATCGCCTTAATTTAGATGGGTGAGTTTATAGACTCTTATTTTAGATATGTAAGTTTTAGGTTTATTAAGTGATTGATATACTTTAATAGATTCATTCATATTTAGAATGTTCAAAGGCCATCCATCATCATCCTACATATTGAGAATGTTCAAAGTCCATCCATCATCATCCTACATATTGAGAATGTTCAAAGGCCATCCATCACCATCCTACATATTGAGAATGTTCAAAGGCCATCCATCATCATTCTACATATTGAGAATGTTCAAAGGCCATCCATCATCATCCTACATATTGAGAATGTTCAAAGACCATCCATCATCATCCTACATATTGAGAATGTTCAAAGGCCATCTATCATCATCCTTCATATTGAGAATGTTCAAAGGCCATCCATCATCATCCTACATATTTAGGAAATCATTTGTTGTATTTGCCATTTATCATTCAGAGGTTGCATTTGAAAGAATGCATTACTGTAGATGAATCAAAATTTCACAAAAACAGAGTATACATTTAATCTCATTGTATAAAGAATTATCAATGAAGGAATGCAATATTGAAAATCTCTACAGTATCATTTCATCAAAGATTTTTATGCCCCTGTCGTAGCGGAGGGGGCATTAAGTTTTACCCTTGTCCGTCTGTACACCCGTCCGTACGTCCCAAAATTGGTTTCCATTCTCTAACTTCAGTTTGCCTCAACCAAATGTTATGAATCTTATACACAATGCTTATTACCACAAAAAACACAGATCAAATTTGAAATTTGGTGGCGTCACTTTAACCATTCTAGAGTTATGCCCCTTTACAAATGGAAAAATTGCTGAACTTTTGCTTCCATTCTCTAACTTTAGTTTGCCTCAACCAAATGTTATGAAACTTATACACAATGCTTATTACCACAAAACACAGATCAAGTTTGAATTTGGGTGGCGTCACTTTTACCTTTCTAGAGTTATACTATACCCCTTTACAAATGGAAAAATTGCATAATTTTTCGTTTCCATTCTCTAACCTAAGTTTGCCTCAACCAAATGTTATGAAACTTACACACAATGCTTATTACCACAAAACTCAGATCAAGTACGAATTTGGGTAGCTTCACGTTTACCATTCTTGAATTATGTCCTTTTATAACATTATATGCAAGCAGGGGCATCATCTGTGTCCCATGGACACATTCCCCATTTATGTTAGTTTATCATAAAGAAATAATATAGCCTTCTCATTGACAACAGAAAAAAATGCAATGATTGGTTATAGCTTGTTTACTGCCCAGTGGCAAATATTTCATGCAAATTCAGGATTTTAGTTTACTTGATAATGCACATGACTATTATTTTTCAGAATTTAATAAGAATATTTTGTTATTTTTGATATATTTCTTTTTCAGAGAAAAGCTGTGATAACAACACCATACACATATACAGGAACATCCAAAGGTTCTGAAGAGATCTTAAAATAAAACTTAACAGCAGCTGACAGTTGTCCAGCAAACTATCAAATGAAAACCTAAAACTATTTACCATATATAATGTTGTAAATTCTTTGAACATCAATGTATTTGAAAGACAGATGTATGTTTATCTGAATCTTTTATGTTGTACCTACTTTTGTTTGTTGAACTGTACAATTAGAAAAAAAAAGCTGTCTGGCCAAATAAGTAGTCATCATCTATCTGTTCATTTAATCCTGGTTTGCCACGCTCCGGAAGGGTAAGCAGATCCTGCTCCACATGTGGCACCCACTGTATGAAAATTCTCCATAGAAATTTTGGTGAATAATTCTCTGGTAGAATATAGAAGTGTGTTTGACCCTTTTTGTATTTCATTCGTTTATGTTACAGCAAAATGCCATGAGTGTGTAGTTAAAGGTAGTATCTTTGGCTAGCTTGCTTGTTAGCTGAACCGTAAAATCACCATAAGGTTAACTATACTACCTCCTTTTGGAGTAGTCTAGTCTTACAGACAGATAGATTGGTTATATGTCGGACTAGTCTACTCTTAAAGGAGGATAGTATACCTTACCTTATAATGACTTCACAGTTCAGCTAGCAAGCAAGCTAACCAAGGATATTACCTTTACCTACACACGCAAGGCATTTTGCTGTAATCCTCCAGAAGATCTCTGGTTTACAAATTTCTTAGTGATGTGTTTGATTTATGACATTTTTTATCTTAAAATGTCAGTGTGAGCTTTTTGCAGCATAGGCAATTTTGTCAGTATATAATCGGTTTACTTTTAAGATTACCTGACTAGTATAAGCTTTTTTATGACTTGGTGAACATACAAATAAAATACTTTAAATACTTTCATACCACATCTTCTTATTTTTATATTTAAAAGTTGATGGAAACGCAATCGCTTATATTTCTATTATAGCAACTTTCAATTAATAAGCGATTTTCAATGTTAAGTTTTTGCTAAGTTGGTTTGATAGGAACAACTTGTGAAAGATCAATGATATTTTCTATATAGTTGCATTACTAGCAGTAAATATCAGTTTGAAGACTATTTCTAGGCGCTGCCCCCTAGGTCATGATCCAGTGACTTTGAATTAATAAGAAATTTTCAATGTTCTGCTTAAGTCAGTTTGATAGGAACTACATTAGTTCATTATTATCAGTACATCTCAGTTTATTGACCACTTAGAGGCCCTACCTCCTTGTTCATGATCCAGAGACATATCTTTGTGTCAACAGTTTATTGAAGATAAAAGCAAAGAATCCAAAAATAGAGTAAACATTGTCTTATAAGGGCAATAGCTTCCTTTAGCAGTCGATTGAAGTTTCAGTATTGTTGACTTAGATTTGCTGATCATTTTAATCTTGCCTGCCACTTCTGAAAGTGAGACATAGGGAAAGTGGTCAGGCGGTGGTGTTAACTATTTAGTTACAAGCTTAATATTTCAGAAGGTAGAAGACATGGATGCTTCATACTTTGTATATAGAAACCTTATGTTATGAAGTCCCCATCTGCCATGTGTTCATTGTCCTTGACCTCATTTTCATGGTTCAGTGAAAAAGGTCCTCATGCCTGTCAGACAGTTTTCACTTGACCTCAACCTCATTTCATGGATCAGTGAACAAGGTTAAGTTTTCGTGGTCCAGTCCATATCTCGGATACTATTCCCAATAGGTCTACTTTATTCCGTGTATTTAATGATTATAAGGTGTACATGTCCAACTGGTTGGTATCATCCGACCTTGACCTAATTTTCATGGTTCATTGGTCAACGTTAAGTTTTTGTGTTTTGGTCTGTTTTTTAATTACCATAAGCAATAGGTCAACTTTATTTGGTGTATGGAATAATTGTAAGGTGAACATGTCTATCTGACAGGATTTATCTGGACTTGACCTCCTTGTCATGGATCTTTTTGAATGTTAATTTTATGTGATACTTGTAGTAAAACCTTTATCTTTAAGACTTTCAACAGAAAATCAATGGTCTGTCAAACAGGTAAGATGCAATTTCTTCTTATTATAGTTTCACACTCTAACTTTAGTTTAAGTGAATGGATCTCTATGAAATTTTACCATAAGGTTCAATACCACAAAAGGAAGGTTGGGATTGATTTTGGGGGTTATGGTACCAACAGTTAAGGAATTAGGGGCCAAAAATAAGCATTTTTGTAACTTCCAGACATAACTTGTGTGTTAGTGTATGGATCTCTCTGACATTGTACCACAAGGTTCCATATCACACAGGGAATGCTGGGATTGATTTTAGGGGTAATTGCCTCAAAATATTAGGAATTGGGGGCCAAAAAAGGGGCAAAAAACAAGCATTTTTCTAGTTTCATGACAATAACTTGTGTGTAAGTGTATGGATCTTTCTGAAATTGTACTACAAGGTTCCATATCACAAAGGGAAAGCTGGAATTGAGTTTGGGGGTAATTGCCCAAAACGTTTAGGAATAAGGGGCCAAAAATAAGCATTTTTTTAGTTTACAGACAATAACTTGTGTTCAAGTGTATGGATCTCTCTGAAATTGTACTGCAAGGTACCATACCACAAAGGGAAGGCTGGGATTGAGTTTGGGGGTGATGAATCATAAGGGGGTTCAAAAAATTTTGGGGTGGGGGGTGTTTTATTTTTTCCTTTTTTTTTCTTTTAAAATTTTCCATTTTAAGTTGGTTATTTCTGTTTTATATTTAAAAGCAAATAATAATGATATGGTAGGAGATACACACCAAACAGGATGTGTAAATTATTATATAATAAGTATTGTGCAATAGCAAGAAATCTTCAATTGCACAGTATTGTGCAATAGGAAGAAATATCCAATAGCACAATATTGCGCAATAGCAAGAAATTGTCAATTGTACAGTATTGCGCAATAGCAAGAAATATTCAATTGAACAGTATTGCGCAAAAGAAGATACTTCGTATAAATTGCTTATTTCTTGACCAATTTCAATGGGGTTTTATTCTTGAATTCTTGGGGTTCTTTAATATGCTGATTCTAACCTTGTATTAAGTTTTTGGATTTTAGGCCCCGTTTTTAAATTGGTCCACATTGAGGTCCAAAGGGTCCAAAATTAAACTTTGTTTGATTTCATCAGAAATTGAATTATTGGGGTTCTTTGATATGCCGAATCTAACCGTGTATTTAGATTCTTAATTTTTGGTTCCGTTTTCAATTTGGTCTACATTAAGGTCCAAAGGGTCCAAAATTAAACTTAGTTTGATTTTAACAAAAATTGAATTCTTAGGGTTCTTTGATATGCTGAATCTAAACATGTATTTAGATTTTTGATTATGGGCCCAGTTTTCAAGTTGGTCCAAATCGGGGTCCAAAATTAAACTTCGTTTGATTTCAACAAAAATTGAATATATGGGGTTCTTTGATATGCTGAATCTAAACATGTATTTAGATTTTTGATTTTTGGGCCCTATTATCAACTTTGTCCACATTGAGGTCAAAGGGTCCAAAATTAAACTTTGTTTGATTTCATCAAAAATTGAATTCTTGGGGTTCTTTGATATGCTGAATCTAACCATTTATTTAGATTTTGGATATTGGACCATAATAGGTGAATGTCCAATTTAAAATTTTTAAGTTCTTAGAACACATTCATCCTGTGTCAGAATCCTATGCTGTGTCAAATAATTAATCACAATCCAAATTCAGAGCTGTATCAAGCTTGAATGTTGTGTCCATACTTGCCCCAACTGTTCAGGGTTTCGACCTCTGCGGTCGTATCAAGCTGTGCCCTGCGGAGCATTTTATTTTGTTTGAGTTACTTTACTTTACATTTCACAGTCTTTTTTAGCTTGCTCTGAGGCATGGGTCTTGCTTATTGTTGAAGGCTGTGCAGCAACCTATAGTTGCTATCTTTAATGTGACTTGCTGGTGGAGAGTTGTCATACCACATCTTTATTTTTATATTAATTGTCAATTAAGGAAAATAACTCCAATAGTGTGTAATATGGTTTATGGACTATGTCAGGTTTTTGTACACCCGTTTACGGGACGTATTATGGTATACTGTAGTCTGTCATCAACATGTTGGACAATAACTCGAAAACGCTTTAACCAGTTTTCATGAAACTTTGGTGAGTAATGTTTATATGATGTAAGGTCCCTTTCTACTTTTATAAATTTCAGATTTTAGGTTCCCAAGTTATGGGATTTTATTCATAAAAAATTAGGGATTTTCCAGTTTTATGACGAACTCAAAAATGCTTTGAACAATTTTCATGAAACTTTGGTTAATTGTTATACATATTGACTTAAGTTCTCTTTCGATTTTTAAAATTTCTGATTTTTACATTTTGGAGTATTGGGACTTTATTCATAAAAAAGTTGTTTTTTTTCCAGTTTTCCGATAGTAATAGATAATATAAGCAATAGGCCATCTATATTTGATGCATGGAATGATTTTAAGGTAACATGTCTGTCTGGCAGGGTTCATCTGACCATGACTTCATTTTCATGGTTCATTGGTCAATATAGAATTTCCATGGTTTGTTGTGTTTCTTTTATACTATAAGCAATAGTCAACTTCTTAGGAAGAAAGATAAGAAGTTAGCAATTTTCTTTAACTTTACGTTCCGCTATATAGATGATGTTCTCTCACTAAATAATACAAAATTTGGTGACTTATAATAATGTTGAACGAATCTATCCCATCGAACTAGAGATAAAGGATACTACAGATACAGTTAAGTCTGCCTCATATCTTGACTTACATCTAAAAATTGACAATGAGGGTCGGTTGAAAACAAAACTTTACTACAAAAGAGATGATTTCAGCTTCCCAATTGTGAACTTTCCATTTCTATGTAGCAACATGCCAGCAGCGCGTGCATACAGAGTATATATCTCCCAATTGATACGATATTACTGGGCTTGTATTTCCTATCATGATTTCCCTGATAGAGGATTGCTGCTCACAAGGAAGCAATTAAACCAAGAGTTCCAAATGGTGAAGTTGAAATCATCTCTTCGTAAATTTTATGGACGCCATCACGAGTTGGTTGACAGTTGTGGAATAACCGTTTCACAGATGATATCGGATATGTTCCTTATGTCGTAACTACAATACCCTTCCCTTTTCACGAATGTGACCTACCGAATTAGACTATTTACCGGATTTGTAATAACATAAGCAACACGACGGGTGCCTCATGTGGAGCAGGATCTGCATACCCTTCTGGAGCACCTGAGATCACCCCCAGTTTTTGGCTGGGTTCAATTTGCTTAGTCTTTAGTTTTCTATGTTGTGTCATCTGTACCATTATTTGTCTGTTTGTCTTTTTATTTTTGGCCATGGCGTTGTCAGTTTGATTTCGATCTATGAGTTTGACTGTCCCTCTGGTATCTTTCGTCCCTCTTTTCATCTATATTCTGTGTATGGAATGATTGTATTGAAGGTGTTAATTCATGTATTTCCGGTTGATTTATCTGACCTTGACCTCATTTTCTTGGATCATAAATGTTAATGTGATACTTGTAGTAAAACTTTATATGTAGGACTATCAACATAAAATCAGTGGTCAGTTATAGGCGAGACATTTCAGCATGTGCACTTTTGTACATTTTTCTGTATTTTACTGTAAGATAGATTTTGTTTTTTGCAGTTAACATTTGAATACATGTATAGTCTTGGATTAAATTTTGTAGGAATTAATAACTTTGTAAAACCTTCATGGAATGTTTATGAAATTTAGACAGAAAATGATTAAGAAATCATCTTCTGAAGGAAAAAAATCTAAATTCCACCCCTTGACATAACTGATAAATGGACTTAGGTTTGGCAGTCAAAATATACACTTTCACTTTAATAGCAGCAATAGCAGATAAACAAGACACAGGGTTCTGTGGAACCCTTTTTGAATTTTAAGCCAGTCAGATATGAGCTAAACAAATTTTAATCAAGATGCCATAAGGATGATTGCAGCCAAGTCTGGTCCAGATTTGTCCAAGGATTTCCAAAGAAAGGTTTTGGGAAAAAATTATGACAATTAATTATGTATCCAATATATATATGACCATCCTTAGGGAGCTACCATTTGATTTTGATGGGGGGGGCGGGGGGGGGGGGGGGGGGGGGGGGGGGGGGGGCTAGGATGAAATTTGAAAAAAGGCAGGACAGGAGTTTTGAGTAAAAAAAAAAGGCAGGATGAGCAACTTGGCAAAAAAAAAAAGGCAGGATGACAATTTATGTAAAAAAAGTCAGGATAAACTAATAAAAAAAAGGCAGGACCGAATAGAGTGAAAAATAAAAAGGCAGGACAGAGATTACAACTAAAAAAAAATGCAGGACAAAATTTTTCATCCTAGCCCCCCCCATAAAAATCAAATGGTAGCTCCCTTATAAAAATAAGGAGATGTGGTATGATTGCCAATGAGACAATGATATCCACCAAAGTTCAATTGAAGTGGATACTGGAAATGTTTTACAAAATCAAGTTAAATTAAGAAGGAAATATTTTGTGAAAGGAATCTATATAGCGATCACCTTTCCATATTTTTTATTTATTTGAAGTTTGCCAAATTGCGGATACCCGACATTTCCTTACCGACACGAGTCTAAACTTAGTCTTGCTATTGACTGGTATCTTCTTTTTTATTTGCTACGATCACACGAATACATCCAAACCAGAAACCAGCTATTACAATAACCCGGGAAAATCGACACACGTGTGCAACTTCAACTTGTACTGTGTGTTGTGTTAAGTCTTAAAACCTGAAGGTAGCAAATAGTACAGGAATAAACCTTTTGCTTGTAGATATACGTAAAACCAATCTGTACAAATTATAGGGGGAGGATCCAGGCTTTTGCTGATATTGATAAGGGGGCGTGACAAAAGACGAGGGGGTTTGGGGACAGTTTAAAGCTAGCGTTACGGGAAAGATTTTTACATGTTTATATTTTCTTTTTAACGGGTTGGGACCAGTCGACATACCAGAATAAATATATTTTTTGTAAACAAATATTCGAATGTTACTTGTTAGATGAATGCAAATGATTTATCTAAAGGCACTGCCACTGGCAAGGTCCGCAAGTTGTCAAAAAATATAAGGACTTAGAGCTACGGTTCCGCAGCTGCTGGCAAATTAACTTTGTTGACAAGTTTACTTGATACTTGTACCTTTCTACTTTTACCACTGAGTGACCACCACCATCAGGTTGACTATTCTATCACTTTTGTGTGTGTCTGTATGAATAATTTATTATCAGAATAGTCGCATGCGTCGGGCGCCTTAGACGAACTTCAATTTGCTCCTGATATTTTCTGAGTTTAAAGGCTTTAAGTTGCACATACATTATTTTGATTTTTTGATTTTGTTTCTTTTTATTTTTCTTGCTACAATGTAAATTATAAAATTTTATAGTCGACGCCCGGCGAATAATCTTCAATAATTGAAGGATCGCTAGAAACTTAAAGAAGAAGGTGCTATACATACATCAAATGGTGTAGGTTAAATAAAAAAATAAAACAATGGAAATGGGGAATGTGTCAAAGAGACAACAACCCGACCCAAAGAGCAGAAAACAGCCCAAGTCCACCAATGATCACCAATGGGTTTTCAACACGGTGAGAAATTCCTTTACCCGGAGGTGGGCTTCAGCTGGGCTTCAGCTGGCACCTAAACAATAATGTATACTAGTACAGCAAAAATGGACATCACACCAAACTCCGAAACATGAATAAAAAAAAAAAAAAAGACTAACAAAGGCTAAAGGTTCCTGACTTGGGACACGCAGTAAAATTTGGTGGGGTTCAACATGTTTTGTGAGATCCCAACCCTCTCCTATACCTCTAGCCAATGTGGAATAAACAAACGCACATCAATACACACAGTAAAACTCAGTTTAAAAGAAGTCCAAGTCCAATGTTAGAATAGGTAACAGAAGAAACTAAGACAATGATCAACATAAATTAACAAAGGACTACTAGCAGTTTCTGACATGCCTGCTCCAGACCTCAATTAAACTGATTGAAAGATTATGTCTACCTGTATTACTGTGGCGATCTTTAAATTTAAAACCTTTTTTGCCGCCTCATGTTCAAACTCAAGTCGATTATTATCATATATTATTATTTAACTACAAGCGTTGTACATAGTAAGGATATTTTATTTTCCCATTCTGTATTTAAATTGAATCAATTAACAGATTCACATTAAAAGTTAAGATAGCCACTATTTTTCATCTATGTAGGATTAAACTTCTTTCCATTCCAGTTTTCCTGGTTAAAACAATTTTAAAGAAGTGAACAGATTATCCCAATAATCAAAATAATAACCATTGACTTCAATCTAATAACTTTCCTTACAACAAGCTAACAAGCTAGTTCAAAGCCCAATTCCAACTTGGAAATAAACCATTTAATTCCTTAACTAAAATATCAGTTAGTGTCGATATACCATAAGCATTCTGAGAAAAGCATGAACTTGGGTTTGCCAACATTTAGGTACCAACATGATGCAGTACCACAAGTTTTGATAACTAAATAGCATATGAGAGCCTCTTGTTTGTCAACTAACATTAACAATTTTGTATCAGCCATAAGCAGATCTCAAATGGTAACTATTTTCAGGAAGAAAGATGTTTAATTTAGTCCATTTCAAGACCTTTAATATATAATTTTTAGATCTGGATATTGTGGTATTTACAGATTTACCCTGCATTTAATATTTATGTGTAGGGAAAAGATTAAAAGAAATGGTCTGGACTGGAAGTTTTCTTGAAAATTTCAATAATATGACCACAAACATTTATATAACTCCAAATATTATTAAGGCTGAAAAAAACAGCCATCTGTTATTTTAATTCATAATATCAAGGACATGACCACAACCATTTACAACATGTTCCCTCACTCTATAAAGGTCAATAGTCATGTCAGGAAAGCAGTGCTCATCATTTAAAGTAGTCCCAAGGACAAATTAATGTGTTGTTTAGGCTACTTAAAACTATATATGCCATTTATTTTGTTTGTTCAGACAACTGTTAAAAATGATTGTCTTCATTATAACACGATTCTGTATTCTACCTTTTTAGATACAGGTAGTCCACAATCATAACTACATATAAATGGCTAATTCCTAATAACATTGAGCAACCTGTGATAAATCTGTTTTCTCCCAGGATAATTTAGATACAAAATCATACTTTTGAGAATGGATAGGGCCTGTGGCATAATGATGATATGCTTGTCCAAAACTCACACCTTTCCCCATATGGATAGATAGAACTAGTCCAAACAATCCAGCCATCATGCCCTGTAAGGATGCTCTTGTAATACTTGGATCACAACTAGGATGGCAGTGGTCCACAAGTTATAATGACCATTGCCTCCAGTCTTATCGCTTTCCTTACAACAATTGTTTTCAGTTATTTCTTTTTAAAATAATTAAAATGAATTATGGTGTGAAAATATGAACCATTTCCTCCATTTAATTATTTAATCATTTAATAGAATTAATATCTGTAATGACAATCATGTCGCTTCTATCATGCCTTGAGGGAGTTAATATTTTAGGCAAATTAACGTTAGACTCTTGTTTAAGAATACCGACTGTAGGGTATGGTGACCTATAGTTGCTTAAATAAACTTCATTTGGATCGAATATTTTTATACAACAACCAGTATAACTATATAAGTATTAGATTCTGCTATAAAATTCTTCAATTCAGTTATTCTTATTTCTATTATAGACAAGTATAGTTGGTAAATTGGACCACTATGGCTACAAGTGAATATGAAGAATTACGACATCGTAACTTGGAAGACAACAGAGTTATGGTAAATATTTTATTTATTTTTTATTTTTAAGATGAGCTATGAGGGTCACTTCACCAAAAAATGGTACTGTAAATTTATAAAATTAATTATTGTGTGCATTTATTATAGCGATTTTTCAAGAATGGACAAAAATGCGAGTTTAATTATTTCGATTTCGAAAAAATCTGCACACAGGTACCAGTCTTGCATTAAAACTCCAGTTTCAGGTGCATGTCAAAACATGGAGTGAAATAAATATTTTTTTTTTTTTCTGAATTTTTTTCTGGACTCTATTTTTTCTGTTTGATTAAAAGTTTATGCTGAATTGAAACATATAGTTAGATTTTTAAAAAATATTGCATCATTTTTGGGATATCAAACCAGGAAAGTGGAAGGATATGTTTACTGGAAGTGGTGCGGCCTAGTAAAAACAGCAAACAGAAGGTAGAAAAAAATTAGTTTTGACCTCAGGGTTTCATAGCTTTTTATTCTTCGTGGCATGAGGCACTTTTTTTTCTCGATTAAATCACAATTTCACATTACTACATACATGATATGTACATGAAAAAAATTTTCTATGTAGCATTTTATTTTAAAAAAATTTCAAAGATCAGCTGTTTTGCATGTAAGCCTATGGAGCAGTCAATTACAAGACTGCAACCTACAGTTATCAGATTGCGAGTTCTTATTATTGCGATACTCACCCAGTCGCATTATTCGCATTTATATAAACCTTGCAATAATTTCTGAATTAACAGTACATTAATATACCACAGAAGAATACATAGGTTATTGTTTTGTACAAAAAGTAATACTTATACACATGATACAGTAGTATTTTTTTTTGTAATTCATAATTTGAATTTGAAATCCAGCATTTCTTGTCTGTCGCCCTTAGGATTTTTTCAGATGAGACGGGGACTATTTCATTATTTGTAATGCCAGGTAAGTCAAAAGTTCTAAATATCAACAATTGTTTTGCTTCAATTCATTAGATATATGATGTCTGGTTAAAAGAAAATGAGCGTAAAAGTATATATGTCAGATTTGCATTACTATTTCAACTCTTGTAATGATTGAAAATGACTGGACATTGCAGATAAAAGTTAGATTTAAATAAGAAGATGTGGTATGAGTGCCAATGAGACAACTATCCATCCAAGTCACAATGTGTAAAAAGTAAACATTTATAGGTCAAATAGATATAGGAAGATGTGGTATGAGTGCCAATGAGACAACTCACCATCCAAGTTACAATTTATAAAAGTAAACCATTATAGGTCAAGGTACGGTCTTCAACACGGAGCATTGGCTCACACCGAACAGAAAGCTATAAAGGGCCCCAAAAAATTACTAGTGAAAAACCATTTAAACGGAAAAACCAACGGTCTAATCTATATAAAAACGAGAAACACGTATGAACTACATAAACAGACGACAACTACTGTAATCAGATTCCTGACTTAGGACAGGTGCAAACATTTGCAGCGGGATTAAACGTTTTAATGGTACCAAACCTTCTCCCTTTTCTGAAACAATAGTATAACATCACAACATAGAAAAACACAGTATAAAATATCAATTGGAAGGCTTAACTCAATCAAAAAATTGTAAATTAACACACAAATGAACAAATAAATTTGACCTGTGACACCTGAATGCAAATACACTGTTACTAAAAAATTACAAGGGATAAATAATTAAAGTCAAAAGTAAATAAACAGGTTTAAACAAAGTTAAAGTATGATATCACTGTGAAATGTCAAACAATTTTTAGAAAATAATCACTTTTGAAGAAACTTGCGTCATATTATACACAGGTAAATGAAAATAATTTGTTGTTAAGTATACTTCTTCTTCTGTGTGTATAAAATCTTCCGTTTAGGAATACCAAGAAATTTCTTTAATATCAATAAAACTAATCTAACACTTGGTACATATGGGGTGAATATCAACAATAAAAGTATACAATTAGTGCTAGATAAAACTTCCTGTACAGGTCAAAGAACAGCATATAAGGAAAAATGAAATAATTTTGATGTTCATAGTACGAAGAAGTGAAAATTTGTAGTAATACCAAATAATCAAAGCTGGTATATAGACAAGATCCATGTTAAAATTAAATAACAAAAGTACGGCCTTCAACACAGAGCCTTGGCTCACACCGAACAGCAAGCTATAAAGGGCCCCAAAATGACTAGTGTAAAACAATTCAAACATGAAAACCAACGGTCTAATCTATATAAAAAAACGAGAAACACTTATGAACCACACCAACAAACGACAACCACTGAACAACAGGCTCCTTTTAGAGCTGTTTTCCTAATGCTTGTAGTTTAAAGATTTGGTTGGCTTGCTTGCTTTGTTTGTATAAATGTTTGCTCAAGCCTTTGTAATTAAGATTGACATCTACAATCAATAGATAGGCAGGGCTTCAGCTTGTATACATTATACTTAAATGTTATTGGATGTTAATTATAATGCAGAGTATAATGTATACAAGCAAACATTTATACAAACAAAGCAAGCAAGTCAACCAAACCTTTAAACTGCAAGCATTAGAAAAATAGCTCTAACAAACGAGTTCAGAAATGATGATTCCGATCTGATTTCCATTGGATGAACTTGTTCTTTACTTTAGATTTGCTCTGAAGATGATGATTTTTGTTTTAGTTGGAAAAGTTGATGGCTGACTTAAAAAATCAGATGCAAGTACCAGGAAGGATCAAGCCAGTTAAGGTATGATTAGTAAATGAATAAATAGAAATTTATGTGATACTTGTAGTAAAACCTTCATATTATACACTTTCAACATAAATTTAATCATGATAGATAAAGCAGACAAGACATTTCAGTGTGTGCACTCTGGTTTATGATAAGTTTTGTTTCTCCACCTTTGTTATACCCCACGCAACGAGTTGCGGAGGGTATAATGTTTTTGACCCGTCCGTCTGTTCGTCAGTCTGTCAGTCCTGTTTCTTGTCATCGCAACTCCTCTCAAACCACACAACAGAATTTCACGAAACCTTTTTTGAATAATAAGGACATACTATGTACAAATGTAGTTGTGCATATCAACAGGAAATTGCGATTCAATTTTTTTTTTAGGATGTCCCTTTGAACTTATTTACTTTAATGTACTACTGCAACAGTTTGTCATCGCAACTCCTCTGATACCACACAACAGAATTTCATGAAACCTTTTTAGATAATAAGGACATACTATGTAGATGTGCATATCGACTGGAAATTACGGTTCAATTTTTTTTCTAGGAGTTACGCCCCTTTGAACTTATTTGCTTCAATGTACTACTGCAACAGTTTGTCATCGCAACTCCTCTGATACCACACAACAGAATTTCATGAAACCTTTTTAGATAATAAGGACATACTATGTAGATGTGCATATCGACAGGAAATTACGGTTCAATTTTTTTTCTAGGAGTTACGCCCCTTTGAACTTATTTGCTTCAATGTACTACTGCAACAGTTTGTCATCGCAACTCCCCTGATACCACACAACAGAATTTCATGAAACCTTTTTAGATAATAAGGACATACTATGTAGATGTGCATATCGACTGGAAATTACGGTTCATTTTTTTTTAATAATAAGGACATACTATGTAGTTGTGCATATCGACAGGAAATTGCGATTCAATTTTTTTTTTAGGAGTTATGCCCCTTTGAACTTATTTACTTTAATGTACTACTGCAACAGTTTGTCATCGCAACTCCTCTGATACCACACAACAGAATTTCATGAAACCTTTTTAGATAATAAGGACATACTATGTAGATGTGCATATCGACAGGAAATTACGGTTCAATTTTTTTTCTAGGAGTTACGCCCCTTTGAACTTATTTGCTTCAATGTACTACTGCAACAGTTTGTCATCGCAACTCCCCTGATACCACACAACAGAATTCGTGAAACCTTTTTAGATAATAAGGACATACTATGTAGATGTGCATATCGACTGGAAATTACGGTTCATTTTTTTTGAATAATAAGGACATACTATGTAGTTGTGCATATCGACAGGAAATTGCGATTCAATTTTTTTTTTAGGAGTTATGCCCCTTTGAACTTATTTACTTTAATGTACTACTGCAACAGTTTGTCATCGCAACTCCTCTGATACCACACAACAGAATTTCATGAAACCTTTTTAGATAATAAGGACATACTATGTAGATGTGCATATCGACAGGAAATTACGGTTCAATTTTTTTTCTAGGAGTTACGCCCCTTTGAACTTATTTGCTTCAATGTACTACTGCAACAGTTTGTCATCGCAACTCCCCTGATACCACACAACAGAATTCGTGAAACCTTTTTAGATAATAAGGACATACTATGTAGATGTGCATATCGACTGGAAATTACGGTTCATTTTTGTCGAGCCTTCGACTTTTGTCGAAAAAGCGAGACATAGCGATCCTACATTCCGTCGGCGTCGGTGTCGTCGTCGTCGTCGTCGTCGGCGGCATCCACAAATATTCACTTTGTGGTTAAAGTTTTTGAAATTTTAATAACTTTCTTAAACTAACCTGGATTTCTACCAAACTTGGACAGAAGCGTGTTTATGATCATAAGATAATATTCAAAAGTAAATTTTGTAAAAAAAAAATTCCATTTTTTCCGTATTTTACTTATAAATGGACTTAGTTTTTCTGCCAAGAAACATTACATTCACTCTGTGGTTAAAGTTTTTGAAATTTTAATAACTTTCTTAAACTATCCTGGATTTCTACCAAACTTGGAAAGAAGCTTGTTTATGATCATAAGATAGTATCCAGAAGTAAATTTTGTAAAAAAAAAAATCCATTTTTTCCCATATTTTACTTATAATTGGACTTAGTTTTTCTGCCAGTTAACATTACATTCACTCTGTGGTTAAAGTTTTTAGAATTTTAACAACTTTCTTAAACTATCCTGGATTTGTACCAAACTTGGACAGAAGCTTGTTTATGATTAAAAGCTAGTATCTAGAAGAAAATTTTGTTAAAATTTTGTTCGATTTTTTCCGTATTTTTCTTATAAATGGACTTTGTTTTTCTTCCAGTTAACATTACATACAGTCTGCAGTTTAAGTTTTTAAAACATTTATTAGATTCATAAACTATCCTGGATTTTTACCAAACTTGGACAGAAGCTACTTACAATCAAAAGATAGTATAGAGAGGAATATTTTTATTAATTTTTTTCCTCATTTTTGTTGAGTCTGCGATTAACAGCAAAAGTAGGCGAGACACTGGGTTCCGCGGAACCCTTACGAATTTTTTTTGAATAATAAGGACATACTATGTAGTTGTGCATATCGACAGGAAATTGCGATTCAATTTTTTTTTTTAGGAGTTATGCCCCTTTGAACTTATTTACTTTAATGTACTACTGCAACAGTTTGTCATCGCAACTCCTCTAATACCACACAACAGAATTTCATGAAACCTTTTTAGATAATAAGGACATACTATGTAGATGTGCATATCGACAGGAAATTACGGTTCAATTTTTTTTCTAGGAGTTACGCCCCTTTGAACTTATTTGCTTCAATGTACTACTGCAACAGTTTGTCATTGCAACTCCTCTGATACCACACAACAGAATTTCATGAAACCTTTTTAGATAATAAGGACATACTATGTAGATGTGCATATTGACAGGAAATTATGATTCAATTTTTTTTTCTTACACATATTTTATTTCTCCAATGACAATGTGGGGACGTGGGGTATGTGATGTGCTCACTAAGGTTCTTTAATTTTGTGTATTGTATTGTTTTGATTGTATTTAGTGACCTCCTTTCATGGATACTTAATATGCCCATTGTCTATACTTATTTTAGTGCCCATGATCTCTCCTGTCTTTCAAGGGCTCTCAAATGTACATTTCTTGTCATATTTTAATGAAATTTATGTCAAAGGTTTATATCGGCAATGTTGCAAACTAGTTTGAAAATCAATGCTGATCATCTTTTTAAAAAGAGTTACATCCCTTGGATATATAATTATATGGAAAATTGCATTGAAAGCTCTCTCAAGCATTCATTTCTTTTAGAATTTGTTTCAAAGTTATTTAAAAGCAATGTCTGGGGTGGGTACAAAATCAGGGCTGATAAATTTATTTTTACAGGCTCTTGGAAATGTAAATTCTATGGAAATTGCATTGTAAGTGCTCTTAAGCCAACATTTTTTGTCAAATTTTTTTTATTGATTTAGTGAGCTGGAATTAATTCAGGTTTATCCTGCCTTGACGGAATCAGAAAAGGAGACTTAGGTATGCAATTTCCGTTGATGGAGGCGTCAACAATTTGTTTTACTATACTTTGAAATTTTGCTAAATTTACATGTTAAAGTTAGTGATTAGGTCAGTTTAAGGGGAACTACTTGTTATAAGTCAATTAAATTTGGTATGTAGTTGTATATAAGCATTGGCACATCTCATTTCCATAGGGGAAGGACTTATGATAACAAAATGATTTTTGATATGCAGTTGTATTAGCATTGGCACATCTTCATAGACTTTCAGTGTTTTGCATAATTGCATGTTATTTTAATTTCAACGTTTGCATTTTTAAACTATCAATATTACATATTAGGCAAGACATATCATTGTGTCAACAGTTTATTAATTCAAAACACATAATGATACACCAAACTGCACCCTTTAAAAATGGGAATGATGTGATTATGGATGTTTATCATTTCATCCCTTACTGGATGAGTGTAATGATGCTATTTAATGCTCTGCCTAAGATAGTATAGGTGCATTGTCTTTTCTGGTCTCTTCCATATCAGGTAAGTTTTTGATGCTATTTTATGCTCTGCCTAAGATAGTACAGGTGCATTGTCTTTTCTGGTCTCTGTTCCATATCAGGTAAGTTTTTGATGCTATTTTATGCTCTGCCTTAGATAGTACAGGTGCATTGTCTTTTCTGGTCTCTGTTCCATATCAGGTAAGTTTTTGATGCTATTTTATGCTTTGCCTTAGATAGTATAGGTGCATTGTCTTTTCTGGTCTCTGTTCCGTATCAGGTAAGTTTTTGATGCTATTTTATGCTCTGCCTAAGATAGTACAGGTGCATTGTCTTTTCTGGTCTCTGTTCCGTATCAGGTAAGTTTTTGATGCTATTTTATGCTCTGCCTAAGATAGTATAGGTGCATTGTCTTTTCTGGTCTCTGTTCCGTATCAGGTAAGTTTTTGATGCTATTTTATGCTCTGCCTAAGATAGTACAGGTGCATTGTCTTTTCTGGTCTCTGTTCCACATCAAGTAAGTTTTTGATGCTATTTTATGCTCTGCCTTAGATAGTATAGGTGCATTGTCTTTTCTGGTCTCTGTTCCGTATCAGGTAAGTTTTTGATGCTATTTTATGCTCTGCCTAAGAAAGTATAGGTGCATTGTCTTTTCTGGTCTCTTCCATATCAGGTAAGTTTTTGATGCTATTTTATGCTCTGCCTAAGATAGTATAGGTGCATTGTCTTTTCTGGTCTCTGTTCCATATCAGGTAAGTTTTTGATGCTATTTTATGCTCTGCCTAAGATAGTATAGGTGTATTGTCTTTTCTGGTCTCTGTCCCGTATCAGTTAAGTTTTTGATGCTATTTCATGCTCTGCCTAAGATAGTATAGGTGCATTGTCTTTTCTGGTCTCTGTTCCATATCAGGTAATTTTTTCATTTATGTTGTTTACCATCAAGTTGTGGTCACATTATAAACTTAAAACATAGTATGCATGTTTTTGAATTATATGCCATATTACTTAGTTGACCCTTGATTTCATTGGTCACTGAACATGGGAATGTGATAATTTGAATCAGTACATTCTAAGGTTAAAGATATCGTTAAGGTAGTTTACCACGAGGTTGTGCTCACATCCAATTGAAACTTAGCACACATTTTCATTATAGTATGAACTATATAAATAACTTGCCAAAGTAGGTGTTTGACCCCAATTTGATGGTTCATTGAACATAGAAATATAATGTGAGGAAAGCATGTTCAGTTTTCATGATAAATCTTTGTAGCCACACTGCCACAGGCCTGATGCTTATTTCTTAGACGGTTTGTATAGATTCAATAGGTCTGTAGTAGAAATTCTTACAGGATTAAGAGAAATTTTATTAGCCTAGTCTGATGGGCCTGTTGCCAAGGGCATAGACTGGACATAGTCTTATTGGCCTGTAGCCAAGGGCATAGATTGGACATCATAGTCTGATGGGCTTGTGGCCAGGGCCATAGACTGGAAATAGTCTACTGGGCCTATGGCCAAGAGCATAGACTGGACATCATAGTCAGATGGGCTTGTGGCCAAGGGGAAAGACTGGGCATAGAGTGGACATAGTCTGATGGGTCTGTGGCCAGGGGCATAGACTGGACATAGTCTACTGGGCCTGTGGCCAAGGGCATAGACTGGACATCATAGTCTGTAGGGCCTGTGGCCAAGGGCATAGACTGGACATAGTCTGATGGGCCTGTGGCCAAGGGCATAGACTGGACATAGTCTGATGGGCCTGTGGCCAAGGGCATAGACTGGACATCATAGTCTGATAGGCCTGTGGCCAAGGGCATTGACTGGACATAGTCTGATGGGCCTGTGGCCAAGGGCATATACTGGACATCATAGTCTGATGGGCCTTTGGCCAGGGCATAGACTGGACAAAGTCTGATGGGCCTGTAGCCAAGGGCATAGACTGGACATAGTCTGATGGGCCTGTGGCCAAGGGGATTGACTGGACATAAGTCTGGTGGGCCTGTGGCCAGGGGCATAGATTGGACGTAGTCTGATGGGCCTGTAGCCAAGGTCATAGACTGGACATAGTCTGATGGGCCTTTGGCCAAGGGCATAGACTGGACATAGTCTGATGGGCCTGTGGCCAGGGGCATAGACTGGACATAGTCTGGTGGGTCTGTGGTCAAGGGCATAGACTGGACATAGTCTGATGGGCCTGTGGCCAAGGCAATAGACTGGACTCTGACTCTTTTTTAGCTTGTCAATTAGATTTAAGTTAAGGGGAAAGATTTTACAGACCAATTATGTATGACATCGCCTCTGAGATATCAGTGCAGAAAAAAACAAAAATACATAACTTCTCAACATGACAACATATAAAAAGGTTTCAGCAGCATTTAGTAGTTATGTATGACTACTTCTGTATTTAATATATAGTTATAGTTTAGTGTTGTGAAAATGTATTGATTTTTTATTAACAAATAATAAGTTAAAAATCACTGTAGAAATTGACTGATTAGAATGTCATCGGTCTGTCTTCAGATGTAACATCCTGTCAACATGGTTAATAGAAAATATGTTATTTAAGATAAAAATCAGTAAGGATTACATGATATTATAAGCGGACATGTACATCATGTATCCTGGTGATATTTGCAAACATTCCTTTTGTACATATTACACAATGTGTAAAGATCGGGCTGTTTAATTTAATACATATTTATACAAAATGTAATATAAATGAATTAAATTTCTGAGAAATAAATTTATAATGAATAAATGTCTTTTAAATCTGACAGCAAAAAAAAAAAATAGGTGTGTTTCCGGTTGCATGTCCCCAAAAAAAATAGTATGTTGGAATTTTTTTTTCTTCAAGTGATCTCATCATAAAGTTCTTTGAACTGTTGTTTGAATGTTTTTGAGTGTTAAACTGTCAAAAGAAGAGCTTTTTTTCCGATCGCACCGAAAATTACCAACTTTTAATTATTTTTTTCTCTGAAAAAAAGTTAGGGCCTGGGCCTATAAATTAGGATTGGTCGGGCCACCGGAAACACACCCTATTTTTTGTTTGGTCTGTGAAAAGTGATATTCTACATTTTTTCCCCAGAAACCCAGAGACATAAAATCAAGGTCAATAGATAGCACTGACTATGAACCACGTAGAAATCCTTCACGAAATGGAAGATACAGCCAAATTACGTACAGTCCACCAAGGACTAGAGGAAGACGTGGTTCTCTGTCGTCCACTGCTTCATCGTTTTCTTCAGACTCTTCATCAGAATCAGCCAGTGTAAGTGTAAATATAGTTAAGTCAATGAAAGACAATAGAACTCATTGGACTGCCACTGGAAAAAGGGATTGTTGGATAGGGACAGAAGTTGTTGTCTAAAATCAGACCACAGAGGACTTCAAAGAAAGATGGCAGGGTTCTTTTGTGTCTGGAAAGTGTGGCACTCACTCTACAAGAGGCATTATAATCAATGTCCTCATTCTGACTGATTGTGACTGTGTATTTATTCATCCCACATAGCAAACATATAGCCCACTTTAACCAGGATTTCACTGCCAGATGGAAGAAGTTTAGAAATGACTCTTGGGTGTAAACATTGTAGACATTTGCTAATTTCAAATGAGCTACTGAAATTAAATTAGCATTGCTAATTACATGTAATGAATTAATCCACTCAATGACTCTGAAAACAGGGAAATTAATAAAATGCAGGAATAGGTTTTATTTGAGTATCAAATATACAAGACATGCGAGAACAGATTTGATATTAAGATGATTAATACATATTGGCAGTGAATTTACCCATGGAGGGAAATGAAAATGGGCTATATTTTTGGGCCCTACCTAATTCACCTTTTTTTCCAGTCTGATTTTACCACCATATTCACATTACAGCTTCTACTAACTTATATAGTGTTGACTAGTTACACAACATTTATATACATGAAGGGTTTTCAATTTTGCTGTATTAGGTTAATGATATTGAATCACACAATCCAATAGTCCGTTAAAGTGTTCATGTTATGATTTTTTTTACATACAGTACATAGATTCTGACTTTAAAGAACTTTTTTTATATGATACTTTGCTGTTCAGTATTCATGAATTATATCCACATTGTTGTGATTAATTATTTTAGGTATTAGTCTGAATACACAAAGTGCGGTAACACAGCATTTTATATGATTTATCTGCTGGTTTAAAAAACAAGGACAAATGAATGCTTATATCACTACAGACCCTAGAATAAATAATTTTGAATAGATTCCTCTATTTCCAGTCACTGCAAGTTAGGTTTGGTTTTTTCAACAAAGGAAGAAATCAAGAGACCGGAGGAAACGATGAAAACAGCGATGAGGTAATTATCTAATGAAGAACAGAAGAAAGCATTCTTATTGTTAAGTGTTTACACACAAATATTTTGTATTTGTACAGATTGTAAATGTATCTTGGTTAACATATCAATTCCAATGAAAATTGATTGCAAGCTAAAAGATTTAAGTCTTATTTTTTTTTTAACATTCTTTTTGAATAAATTGTTGTCACATCGAAGGAGTCAGAGTATGTCTAATGGTTGAGATAAAATTGTTTTAATTAAAGTAAAAAAAATCTATTCATCAATATTTCATCTTTTTATATTTTCAGGAAAATGATTTGCCAAAGAGACAACATCGTGTTTATCGTGACAATCGGTCAGCTGATGAAATCACTGATGAGGATTTATCTAGAGTAGCATTGTTTGTCAGTGATAAAAGATATGATAGTTTTTATGTAAGTTTAGACTTTTCTGATATAATGAATTTAATAAATTTTAGAACGATAGACTAGTTGTAAACTTTTACGTTATTTGGTATCTGGTGGAGAGTTGTTTCAGTGGCAATAATACCACGTCTTATTTTTATAGTTTCAGCAAAGTCAAGGTTTCTGGAAATTATCTTTTGTTCCATTTTGTCCATTTTTTACCAAACTTGGCTGTTATAATGCCATGTGGAATGAAAGAGACCTTTCGTGATTTTGAGGTCACAGGCTCAAAGGTCAAGGGCACAGCATCAATTGTTCAACAGAAATTGGAAAGTGTTTTGGTTTTTATATGCCCGTCAAATTTTTGATGGGACGTATTATGGTATACAAATGTCCGGCGTCCGTCCGTCTGTCTGTCCGTCCGTCTGTCTGTCTGTCCGGCGTAAACATGTCGCACCGTAACTTGAGAATGACTTATCCAAATTTCATGAAACTTAAAATAGTTGTTTCTTATGATAGTTAAACGATCTGTATACTTTTTGGTGATAATAAGATTAAAACTTTTTGAGTTACGGGACTTAGTAACTAAAACAGGTGTGTGTTTTTTTTCACATGTCGCGCGGTATCTCAAAAACAATTTATGATTATTGCTTAAAACTTTACACACTTCTTAGTTATATTAATCTTAAGATCTGTATACTTTTTGGTGATGATTCAAAATTTCATTTTAGAGATATTGAGTATTTTGTTAAAAAAGGGGGAGGGGTTTTTCACATGTCGCGCCGTATCTCAAAAACAGTTTATGACTATTGCTTAAAACTTTACACACTTCTTAGTTATATTAACCTTAAGATCTGTATACTTTTTGGTGATGATTCAAAATTTTATTTTTGAGTTATTGAGTATTTTGTAAAAAAAGGGGGAGGGGTTTTTCACATGTCGTGCCGTATCTCAAAAACGATTTATGTTTATTGCTTAAAATTTTACACACTTCTTAGTTATATTAATCTAAAGATCTGTATACTTTTTGGTTTTGATTCAAAATTTTATTTCAGAGATATTGAGTTTTTTGTAAAAAAAAAAGGGGGGTTTTCGCATGTCACGCCGTATGTCAGTAACTATTTATGCTTATTGCATAAAAATTCACACACAAGACGATGGGCGTATCATGTGCTCATGGCGCAGCTGTTCATTGAGTTAATTTATTTAGAACCATATGTTATACATTTACCAAGCTATGGTTGAGAATACCCTTTTAAAGAACAAGGCCCCTGTAGATGTTTGGTTTGTAGGTCAAAGATCATAATACCTATTTTCCATCATTTAAAATTGTCAATAGAATTCACAGTCTGTCACCTAAATAAAAGAATAAAACCATGACTCAAAAATCTTTCTAATCAATCTGCATCAAATTTATAAAGATCGTGACTTTTTATGCAACCATGGGACACCTGAAAACTTTAAATATTACAGTTATAACAGAAAAAACATTATACTTCAATGACATTGACTGAATTTAGACTTTGTGCTGATCTCTACTTTTGTGCAAATTGAAAGTTAGATATTCAAAGAAGAATTTGGAATAAATTAACCTTGATTAATTATCTTGAACTGATTTTATAATATATTTGTTTTATTAACTGTAGGGTACAACCTGCCATCAATGTAGACAGAAAACTGATGATATGAAAACAATTTGTAGGAAAGGTCATTGCTATGGAGTTAGAGGTCAGGTAAGTGCAAAGCTTTTAAGAGAGATGTTGATAAGATTTTTTGTAAGAAAGGTAGGCCGTTTTGAGGAAAAGGTGACATGTTCCACAAGTTTTTTTTTTCATCATGTGAATATCTTTGACCTAATTTTCATGCTCCAGTTATTTATTATGTTTTGTAGTTTGAAATTTTACATTATTTTATGCTAAGTGGTGCTTATATGTTATGTTTAAAAGATATATGTCTATTTTTAACATTCGAATGTTTTTGAAACCTGCATGAAAATAAGTTAGATGACTTGTTCAATGAAAAGTTCTCCCAATTAGTAAATGCTGAAATGCTATATTACTACCTGATTTGTCATTATATGTGTTGCTGGTGACATTTTTTCTTTATTTATCAAGTTTTGTATACATTGCCCATTTGTTACTGTATTTCACAATGATGAGAGATAATTATTTTTCTCTTTGTCATCCAGTTTTGTGGACTATGCCCATTTTTAGCTCACCTGGCCCGGAGGGCCAAGTGAGCTTTTCTCATCACTTGGCGTCCGTCGTCCGTCGTCGTTAGCTTTTTACAAAAATCTTCTCCTCTGAAACCACTGGGCCAAATTTAACCAAACTTGGCCACAATCATAATTAGGGTATCTAGTTTAAAAAATGTGTCCGATGACCCAGCCAACCAACCAAGATGGCCGCCATGGCTAAAAATAGAACATAGGGGTAAAATGTAGATTTTGGCTTATATCTCTGAAACTAAAGCATTTAGAGTAAATCTGACAAGGATAAAACTGATTATCAGGTCAAGATCTATCTGCCCTGAAATTTTCAGACAAATCTGACAACCTGTTGTTGGGTTGCTGCCCCTGAATTGGTAATTTTAAGGAAATTTTGCAGTTTTTGGTTATTATCTTTGGTTATTATCTTGAATATTATTATAGATAGAGATAAACTGTAAACAGCAATAATGTTCAGCAAAGTAAGATCTACAAATAAGTTGAAATGACCAAAATTGTCAGTCGACCCCTTTAGGAGTTATTGCCCTTAATAGTCAATTTTTAACAATTTTTTGTAAATTTTTTTAAACTTTACAAAAATCTTCTTCTCTTAAACTACTGAAACAAATTTAACCATACTTGGCCATAATCATTATTAGGGTATCTAGTTTAAAAAATTTGTCAGATGACCCCACCTTCCAACCATCATGGCCGACTTGGTTAAAAATAGAACATAGGGGTAAAATGCAGTTTTTGGTTTATATCTCTGAAACTAAAGCATTTAGAGCAAATCTGACAGGTGGCAAAAATGTTCATCAGATTTAGATTTATCTGCCCTGAAATTTTCAGATGAATCTGACAACCCGTTGTCGGGTTGCTGCCCCTGAGTTAGTAATTTTACATAAATTTTGCAGTTTTTTAGCTCACCTGGCCGAAGGGCCAAGTGAGCTTTTCTCATCACTTGGCGTCCGTCGTCGGCGTCCGTCGTCGTTAGCTTTTTACAAAAATCTTCTCCTCTGAAACCACTGGGCCAAATTTAACCAAACTTGGCCACAATCATCATTAGGGTATCTAGTTTAAAAAATGTGTCCAATGACCCCGCCAACCAACCAAGATGGCCACCATGGCTAAAAATAGAACATAGGGGTAAAATGTACATTTTGGCTTATATCTCTGAAACCAAATTATTTAGAGTAAATCTGACAAAGGGTAAAACTGATTATCAGGTCAAGATCTATCTGCCCTGAAATTTTCAGACAAATCTGACAACCTGTTGTTGGGTTGCTGCCCCTGAATTGGTAATTTTAAGGAAATTTTGTAGTATTTGGTTATTATCTTGAATATTATTATAGATAGAGATAAACTGTAAACAGCAATTATGTTCAGCAAAGTAAGATCTACAAATAAGTTGCATGACCAAAATTGTCAGTCGACCCCTTTAGGAGTTATTGCCCTTAATAGTCAATTTTTAACAATTTTTTGTAAATTTTTGTAATCTTTTACAAAAATCTTCTTCTCTGAAACTACTGAGACAAATTTAACCATACTTGGTCATAATCATTATTAGGGTATCTAGTTTAAAAAATTTGTCCGATGACCCGGCCTTCCAACCATCATGGCCGACTTGGTTAAAAATAGAACATAGGAGTAAAATGCAGTTTTTGGTTTATATCTCTGAAATTAAAGCATTTAGTGCAAATCTAACTGGTGGCAAAAATGTTCATCAGATTTAGATTTATCTGCCCTGAAAATCTTTAGACGAATCCGACATCCCGTTGTCGGGTTGCTGCCCCTGAGTTAGTAATTTTACAAAACTTTTGCAGTTTTTTGTTTTTATCTTAGATATCATTATAATATCTAATATCTAATACTATTAATTATGATTTTAGCCTTATTTTACATGATTTCCTAAGCATCAGTAAATACAGGTGAGCGACACAGGCTCTTGAGAGCCTCTAGTTGTTATTATCTTAGATATCATTATAATATCTAATATCTAATACTATTAATTATGATTTTAACCTTATTTTACATGATTTCCAAAGCATCAGTAAATACAGGTGAGCGACACAGGCTCTTGAGAGCCTCTAGTTTTCTACTGTATTTGATGAGAAATAATTATATTTTATTATTTGTGTCCAGTTTTGTGGACCGTGCCTAAGAAACAGATATGGAGAAGATGCACAGGGAGCTCTCAAAGATCCTGTAAGTACTCTTAATGTAATTGTAATAGGGTTTAGTGGGCGGTAGAGTTATCGCTATTGATCGGGATAAAATAATCAAATATAAATGCCCAACCCATTGTTAAATGAAAACAAATCTAAGGCTGCCATGAATTATTTCTTAATTCAAATAAAACTGATAAAAGAGAGGCGAAAGATACCAGAGGGACATTCAAACTCATAATTCGAAAATAAACTGACCACTCCATGGCTAAAAAAGAAAAAGACCAAAGGACAACAGTATACAAAAGACAGATAATTAAACATGCAAAAAAAAAAAATTACAAAAATACTATTTTACAAATATCTAACAATGAATACCCCCAATGGACCAAAAGACACCCATTTTCATATGTCTATCACTTTTACTCTTTCACATAAAAATGGGTAAAAATTTTGGAAAAGGTAATAACATGAATAATAATGATCAAAAACCATACCGCATGGTCAGATGTCAGAGAAAACTAACAGCTTGATTTATGTACAAAATAATGAAAGAAAAACAAATATGATATACAGCAACAATCGACAACCACTGAATTACAGGCTCCTGACTTGGGACAGGCAAGCCTTGTAGAATCTGTAATTGTATATAATTTTTATTATTAGGACTGGATATGTCCACCTTGTAGAGGTATCTGTAATTGTATATAATTTTTATTATTAGGACTGGATATGTCCACCTTGTAGAGGTATCTGTAATTGTAGTTTCTGTAGGAAGAGAGCTGGTAAAGCATGTACTGGAATCCTTGTACATTTAGCCAGAGAGAATGGTTTTAGCGATGTCAATGCTTACTTACAGAATAGAAAGTCTAATGGTACACTGATTTATACTTATAAACAAATATGGCATTTATGGATTGTATTGCTATCAATAATGCCTTTCAGAGATTTTCAAAACGAATAAATCGAGGTGTAGCTATACATCAATGAGACAACAACACAATGACAAACTTTACTAGAAAACATTTAGAGGGCAACATAGTTCAACAATAGACAGGTGATATGTCAAGTTCAGAATTAAGCCCCAACAATCAAATTAGCTTGATGGTTACCAGCTCATTAAATTAATGGGTCAATCAACTTCTATTTGTCACTTTTTCAACTAATGATACAATCATTGTTGTGAATACTATTTTTGTTGGTGAATTGCTTGAATAATTAAAAGACTGAGCATTTGCATTTTTTTTATAAGCAATATTGACATTAAATTCCTTAATTTCTAATTCTTGCCGTTAATTAGCATTTTTTTACATTTATCAAAGTAAATGTATATGAAAAAACTTACTTGTAACTAATAGCTTTTACTGGATGCATTTCTATACAATAATTACCCTAGATAACTTGGTGTCTCTAATAATAGGGTGAAAGAATCAGAAAGATTCCTGGAGTCTATAGTTTATATCCATGGTTGTGAAAGCACATTTGCTGTACTCATATTTTGTAGTCAAACTGTTTGACTCATCACACTTACATTATACAGTATATGTTGATATAAGAAGATGTGGTATGAGTGCCAATGAGACAACTCTCCATCCAAGTCACAATTTGTGAAAGTAAACCATTATAGGTCAAAGTACGGTCTTCAACACGGAGCCTTGGCTCACACCGAACAGCAAGCTATAAAGGGCCCCAAAAATGACTAGTTTAAAACCATTCAAACCGGAAAACCAACGGTCTAATCTATATAAAAAACGAGAAACACTTATGAACCACATCAACAAATGACAACTACTGAACATCAGATTCCTGACTTAGGACAGGTGCAAACAAATGCAGCGGGTTTAAACGTTTTAATAGGTACCAACCTTCACCCTTATCTGAAACAATAGTGTAACATCACAACATAGAAAGATACACTATAAAATATCAATTGAAATGGCTTAACTCAATCAAAAGACATATTAACACAAGTGAACATACACTGAAAGAATAAATTTGATCTATGATACAATGTAAATACAAAATCAATAAAATAAGGGTGAATAAATAAAGGCAACAGTAGTATACCGCTGTGAGATGTTAAACAATTTAAAAAAAACACCAACAGCCTTGAACAAAAAGCCGCCAAATACAATAATATACACAGGTAAATGAAAATAATTTTGTTGTAAGGTATACAGTTTAAATGGAGAACAGAAATATTTTTTACAAAATAAATAATTTTGTTGTTCATAGTACGAAGAAGTGAAAATTTATAGTCATACCAAACACTTATCAAAGCTGGTATAGACGAGATATAACCCTGAATAAGTAAACATTAAATAACAAAAAAGCATTACAAATAGTATCAACAGGTCAAATTAATAAGAAAGTACGATTTTGAGAGTACTCGCAGTTACTGACAGCTAGTTAAAAGCCAAAAACAATTAATAATAAAAAATCATGCATCAGAGACTAAAATCAACTAAAACACATCCCAGGGATTTAGTATTTTAATGTCATGGACAGTCAAAGAAGACATGACTTGTGCAATGCCAAAAATAAATGTATCGACAGGCAGTACGATAGTTAGGAGTTAATCTCTTTATAGAAAAAAATGAACGTGGATGTGTCTTTATACATCCCGTTAGAAAAGAATACAAATTAAGTTATGTTTTAATTTGCTGATGACAAAATCGATATTTGTGCGAATGTAAACTATATTCATAGATTTAATTACAACATTGGTAAGAAAACCTTTACTAATAAGTTTGTTTAAAGGTTCGATCAGTTTACACAGATCGCTTTTTCCGCGCTTTTAGTACAATATTACCGTTCACACTTACATTATACAGTATATGCTATATTTTCATTTGTGGACTTATTCAAATGAGTGATGTATGTTTATGTTTAGTTTGCTCCACACAAGGGGTATTTAATGCTAATGGATATCCTCTTTTCGTCAGTTCCAGCTTCATGTGAGCATGCTTTACCATGTGATGAGATTTCACATTCATGAATATCAACTTCCTGTTTACCAAACTTTTATACTTACACATTATGGCCATGTATGAAACTTGCATCAAATTTCTCATGAACTACAAATACGAGCATCCTGAAATTTGATACCAAGCTTCATGTGAGCATGCTATATATAGTGTGATAGGTTTTCACATCCATTGCTAATCCACTTCCTGTTTACCAAAACTTGAAGCATGTGTATCATAGTGAGAAATAGATCACAGTTCATCTTGTTCTAGAAATTTCTCCATTAGATACGATATGTCTTTCCCTTGAATGCTTTCTTGTGATATTCTTTGTCAATAACTGCTAACCCTGAACAAGCTCCAGGTGATATGAATTGATCAACTTGCATGACATGAAAAGTAAGATACAAATAATTTACAATAGTCAGTTGCACCAACCCCCAATGGTGAAATAAAATTATGGTCACTTAGGGCTTCATCCGACCAGCAGTAAAACCTTTGCCAAAGTAGTGTCTCCAATTGGCTGATTGGGATGTACAAGTATGCAGCCAAGTCTGGTCAGAATGGGAACGTTGAATCCAATGCCTTGTGTAATGAAAGTGCCTCTTTCGTTACACGTTAAGAACCCTTGCAATAAGTCTTTGAAGGGTCCATTGGTGGCCTGTTGCAAGGCAAAATTTCTGTACCTATCCAATATATCTTCATTTTCCAGACCTTCATTTCGGACGGCCTCTTTTACAGGACCTACCTTTTGTATTTATTATTGTTCTCGTCCTGAACATGCATAAAATATTTGCCACTGGACATTAAGCAACCAACAATCAATCAGTCAATCAATTGCCCCTTGGTCTATAAAGTTAAAAGGTTTATTCAGAAAAGGTTTGATTGAATTATGTTGAGAGCTGTAAGGTAAATTTTGATTAATCATCTTTTTTGTTTTGCAGCTGTGCAGTATGATAGAGTAAAAAGAAGAAAGTCAGAAACTGTCAGTGAAGAGGAGGGCTCTGATGATTTGATAACACAGGCTCAAGACTCTGCTTCTGAACATGAAGAAACTGAGGAGAAAGAAGAAGATACAGAGGAACAAACAATAGAACCACCCAAACTAGCTGTCAAAATGTTTAAATCAGTAGCCAAATCAGGGTCAACTGAGGTCATGGCACCAGAAAAATCAGAGCTGAAGACCTTGAAATCACCAGAAAGGAAAACCTTTAAAAATATATTTCAAGAGAAACTAGTTGCAGAAAAGAGACAACATAAACCAAAGGTTTTCCTGGATGATATCAAGACATCTCCAGTAACTAAGAACAAAGAGGATAAAGCTTCATCAATAGTCCACTCTCCTCCTCAGATTACCAAGCCAATAGAATGGTCAATAGGGGATTGTCTGTGGTCAAAAGTATCTGGACATCCATGGTGGCCATGTATGGTAGCATTGGAGAAACAGGGTGGTGATTACACCAAAATGCAAGGCAAGTTTAATACGAATTTACTCATTTCCATAGTAACAGTTAATAAGATCAGCTTCAACTGAAGTCTTAGTGATTTTTTTTTATTCTGTTAGAAAGGGTTAATAAATAACAGATAATAGTGGAATAAGCTGCAGTACACATGATCTTTCAAAACCGGAGTTCTTAGTGTAAATATTATAAGGAGATGTGTTATGATTTCCAATGATACAACTATCCACCAGAGACCAAATATTGAAGATGTTAGAACTTTTCGTCATTTTGATTTATTCATTACAGGTAGATCTAGAATGTACCATGTACAGTATTTTGGTGATGCTTGTGAGACAGGATGGGTTTATGGTTCCTCAACAATGAAGTTTGAAGGCAAAAGAGCATTTGAAGAATATGTAATGGAAACCCTCCAATGTGCAAGGAAATCTGAAAAATCAAAGCTGGACAAATTATACAAAATCCCTTCCTGCAGAGCAGTATCATTGAATATTGCTATTGAGGAAGGTGAATCATCACTGCAGCTTGGCAGAGAGGCACGTTCACAAGAATATGCTTTTAATTATGAACCAAAGTCTAATCCCAAAAGGGAGAAGAAAAGAGTGTTCCTGACCAATAAGGATAAAACCAGCACAAAGAAGAGAAAAATTAGTATGGATAACAACTCTCCTGTTGAATCAAAGCATAAAAAGATAAAAATTTCAGGGAGTCAGTCTCTTAAAAATGTGAAGGAAAAGAGTCTTCAGCTAACAGAACAAACACAACAAGGTAAAGACTATCAAGCATTACGATGATAAACTTCCATAGATATGTTATTCATCTGCCAAGCAGTGTATTTATATTTTGATTGATTGTTGATCTTCAACGCCACTTTATGCACTCTTGGCTGTATTGTTGCGACCAGTTTTTATTGGGTAAAGATTGCATGAAATGCAATCAAAACTCTATGGTCATGATGGTACTGACTTGATATCTAAATCTGCTAAGGTTTATCACTACCTTTGATAGTTCAAACAAAATAGTGCAGTGCAGTGATCATTCTCTAGACCTATCCAGTCAATGTTATGCAATTTATTAATGATATGTTATACTTAGATATTCTGGTTACAATATGATGTGAATTTGAATTACTATGGATTCATTTATTTTCGTGGGTACCTATTTTTGTGGATTCAGGAAAAGTTACATTTTTGTGGATATTTAATTTCGTTGTTTTGGCAAATAAAATTGAGAATGGAAATGGGGAATGTGTCAAAGAGACAACAACCCGACCACAGAACAGACAACAGCAGAAGGCCACCAACAGGTCTTCAATGCAGCGAGAAATTCCCGCACCCGGAGGCGTCCTTCAGCTGGCCCCTAAACAAATATATATACTAGTTCAGTGATAATGAACGCCATACTAAACTCCAAATTGTACACAAGAAACTAAAATTAAAAATAATACAAGACTAACAAAGGCTAGAGGCTCCTGACTTGGGACAGGCGCAAAAATGCGGCGGGGTTAAACATGTTTATGAGATCTCAACCCTCCCCCTATACCTCTAGCCAATGTAGAAAAGTAAACGCATAACAATACGCACATTAAAATTCAGTTCAAGGGAAGTCCGAGTCTGATGTCAGAAGATGTAACCAAAGAAATTAAACAAAATGACAATAATACATAAATAACAACAGACTACTAGCAGTTAACTGACATGCCAGCTCCAGACTTCAATTAAACTGATTGAAAGATTATGTCTTCATCATATGAATATCAGGCACAATCCTTCCCGTTAGGGGTTTAGTATCATACCATCATAACATATATGAGAAGAACATAACCCGTGTTATTCAACCTTTTTAACAAAGTGAAGTCATCAAATACTTAGCAGGTGGCCTAGTGGTCTAAGTAGTACATCTACTGCATCACTAGCCTGTCAACACTGAAACATGAAAAATTTACCATTCTTCAGTTATGTCCCTTTATAACTATATGCTATGCAAGCGGGGGCATCATCTGTGTCCACATGTGGACACTATCCACATTTATTTAATTTTAGTTCATTTATATGTTTCGGAAGTTTAGTGTGACGTCCATTTTCACTGAACTAGTACACATTTTTGTTTTATGGGCAGGCTGAAGCTAGCCTCCTGGTGTGGGATTTTCTTGCTGTGTTGAAGACCCATTGGTGGCCTCGGGCTGTTTTATGATCTTTGGTCGGGTTGTTGTCTCTTTGACACATTCCACATTTCCATTCTCAATTTTATCAACTACAAATGTACAATGAAAAAGTCTGCATTTACCTTCCTTTAGAAAATTTGTGATTTGTTGAACATTTAAATTCGTGGTTCACCTGTACCCACGAAATACACATAAGGTATTCATGGTGTATAAATCTGTTATAAAAATAGGCTTTAATCTTTCAATCATTTTAATTGAGGTCTGGAGCTGGCATGTCAGTAACTGCTAGTAGTCCTTTGTTAATTTATGTATCATAGTCATTTTGCTTAGTTTCTTCTGTTACCTATTCTGACATCAGACTCAGACTTCTTTTAAACTGAGTTTTACTGTGTGTATTGCTGTGTGTTTGTTTATTCTACATTTGCTAGAGGTATAGGGGGAGGGTTGAGATCTCACAGAACTTGTTTAACCCTGCCGAATTTTTGCGCCTGTCCCAAGTAGGAGCCTCTGGCCTTTGTTAGTCTTGTATGTTTTTTTTTATGCCCCCACCGTAGCGGTGGGGGCATTAAGTTTTACCCTTGTCCGGCCGTACGTACGTACGTCCCAAAATTGGTTTCCATTCTCTAACTTGAGTTTGCCTCAACCAAATGTTATGAAACTTATACACAATGCTTATTACCACAAAACACAGATCGAGTTTGAATTTTGGTGGCATCACTTTAACCATTCTAGAGTTATGCCCTTTATAAATGGAAAAATTGCAAAATTTTATTTTCTTCTAAATATCAAGTAATTTTTAAAATTGGAGTTATCTTCCTTTGTCCATGATTATAGTTGAATCAACTACAATAAATGCTTTATACAATGCAATGTTTAATTTTGACTTCCACTGATAAAACACAGATCAAGTTGAATTTGGGTAGTCAGTGATCGGGAAGGACGTGCGCCTTGCCCCAATCGCGCTTATCGACCAGAAATGGCGCATAAAGTGACAAATGTAAGCGCCCGCGTGGCGCATGATATTTTTCACTTCGTTTTGAAACGTTGAGATATCGTCTAATGGCTTTCCGATCGTATTTCGTGCTGTCATGTGTGAGTACACAACTGTGTAGTGTTTACTCCAATGATAGGAGCACCTATATATTTTTGGGACGTCTCGGGTGTTTTCCTTAGGTAATAATAGCAACATGTGGTATGACTGATTACCCAAAAAACGTAATTAACCATCATTCATGATATAATTTTTTATAAACAACTTTAAATTTGTGAAAATTGGCTAGTATAGGCGAGAATTCTTCTCTAATTATAATCTTTTAAGTAAGCTTGCTATTATTTCGATTGAAAAACCCAAAAAGCCTTTTTATGAATAGTATAGTATTTGTCTCCATAAAAGGGGCTTAACTGTCCTTGTCATTTTTTTTGGTCTTTGGCTCGTTTTGACTTTTGTAAACATGCCTTCAGCGAATTGTTGTTGTGTCTTATCAATTAACTTTGCTCTTTACTGTTATTCTTGTCATCGTGATGAAGTAATAATAATACAAGTGCAGAGGAAATGCCAGAAACGTCCTCTAATACGGAACGTCTGGAATAAGTATGGTATCGACGAAGACCCAAATTTAATGTTAAAAAAACCCATGAACATGAACAAGGGAACAGTACCAGTTTTAACATTGTAAATAAAGGTTATCGTAAATATTGCCCGGTTTGGAAGAAGTTATTGTATATTCATTGAAATTGAAATTACAAAATCACAGGAACAATATCCATGATATTAATTAGAATCATACTTGTAAGTACAGTGAAATGTTCACTTTTTTAATTTTTTTTTATTGTAAACGAATGGCCCACTCATTTGACAACATGGCCCATTAATTCTAAAAATGGCCCATTGAATTTATTTTTGGGGAGCCCTGGGCCCATAGAGAAAAAATCCTTCCAGATCACTGGGTAGTGTCACTTTAACCATTATTGAGTTATGCCCTTTATAAATCGAAAGATTGCAATATTTTTATTTTTCCATTCTGTAACTTAAGTTTGCCCCAACCAAACATTATGAAACTTATACACAGTATTCATTACCTCAAAACTAAGATCAAGTACAAATTTTTTGTTTCCGTTTTCTACCTTTAGTTTGCCTCAACCAAATGTTATGAAACTTATACACAATGCTTATTACTACATAATACAGATTAAGTACGAAATTTGGTGAGAACACTTTTACCGTTCTTGAGTTATGTCCCTTTATAAACATAAAAATTGCTGAATTTTTTGTTTCCGTTCTCTAACTTTAGTTTGTCTCAACCAAATGTTATAAAACTTATACACAACCGTTCTAGAGTTATGCGTGTTTACAAATAGAAAAATTGCTGAATTTTTAGTTTCTGTTCTCTACTTAAGTTAGCCTCAACCAAATGTTATGAGACTTACACACAATGCTTATTACCACAAAACTCAGATCAAGTTCAAATTTTGGTAGTGTCACTTTTACCATTCTTCAGTTATGTCCCTTTATAACTATATGCTATGCAAGCGGGGGCATCATCTGTGTCCACATGTGGACACTATCCACATTTATTTAATTTTAGTTCATTTATATGTTTCGGAAGTTTAGTGTGACGTCCATTTTCACTGAACTAGTACACATTTTTGTTTTATGGGCGAGCTGAAGCTAGCCTCCTGGTGTGGGATTTTCTTGCTGTGTTGAAGACCCATTGGTGGCCTCGGGCTGTTTTATGATCTTTGGTCGGGTTGTTGTCTCTTTGACACATTCCACATTTCCATTCTCAATTTTATCAACTACAAATGTACAATCGTGGACAAAGTAAAATAACTCCAACTCATATTTATAATTTGCCAATCTATTTACAATTCAATGTTTTATTTTAATTCACGAAATTGCAAAATGAAAACAATATTTACCCTTTAGTGCTCACAAGCACTTTGATTGATGGAGGAAGCCGTAGAGAACCACAGACCTTTGGCAATCCTAATCAATTAAGATCCGAGTTTAACACACATGCCATGTGCTGGGTTCGAACTCACAATCTCAGTGTTGACAGGCTAGTGATGCAGTAGATGTACTACTTAGACCACTAGGCCACCTGCTAAGTATTTGATGACTTCACTTTGTTAAAAAGGTTGAATAAATCTTCTGTAGTATTAGAGGGAGTAAAACAACAGCAAAAAAATTATGATGTGTTAGAAAAACTGATCATCTTGCTTTTGTTACAATGATTTTGAATGCTGTTTACTCAGCAGGTGGAATATGACATAATCACACATATGTAATTTTTACATGAGAGTATACCTTATACTCAACATATATATGTTCTCTCAAAGAGCAACATACTACGGTTATAAAAAACTGGCATACAGAGTTCTTTAACTTTATTAGAATGGAAAAGATAAAGAAATATATGGGGAGCAATATAATCAGAATAAAAGTTTCTGTCAAATCAAAGAGACAAGACCAACCAGAAGCTTGATCATATCTAAATACAGGTCAGTAAAATTTGTGAGAAAATAATATTAGTGTATTTCATTTTGAGTTTCTTGGCAAATATAATTGTAGAAGCAGAAAGGTTAGAAGATAGCACATCATTGGGGACCAGAATGGAATCAGTAGAAAACAAAGACCAAGGACCAGTGAATGATGCATGTGTGGAGACAGACAAAGAAGATGTGGTCAAAAATTGTGCTGAAATTATTAAAACTGTTATAAAGGTATAGTGTTTCTTTCATGTTGTTTTATTCTTAGAAGTAACAATTCTTATTCTAGAATGTTTTTATTGTTCATCAATTTCTCATTTACTAATTTTGTTTTGGTTTTTCACTACTGTGACAAAGTTATTAAACAAGATTTGTATTGATTGAGCCATGTGATGCTGTGGGAGATTGACAGGAAAATAATTTTGATGGAATTACAAACTTGTGATGACATTAACATTATTATAGTAATAAAAGTTATTTAAGGGTGTTTTTGATGTATGAACGAGGTCAACCCAGTCTGATTCTGTTAAAACATCAGAGTACTTTGAGTTTACACAATGATAAACTCTGTAATCTTATCTTATCTTAAGACTTCAAATAAAAAATGTGCCCAGATAAAAAGATGTCATCAAGACTCACAGAAGTATTTTACCTGTTATAGAATTTATACACATGAAACAAGATTTATACATGTTTAAACTTTCTGGTTGCCAAGTTCACCAGGCTCACCATTGAAATTAGACAATACAGAACATTGGTTATATCAGTATAAACAAATCTAGGACAACCTTTGTGATAACACAATTTCTAGTGTTTTTGTTTTGGTTACAAAACATGTGGATTAGTGTTTTGTAAAGTATATTCAGAAAATTCATGTACAATATAATTGATGTAACCCCTCCCCCACCAAATAAAACAAACAAAAACTAATCTTATTTTGAAATCAGAAAGTTTTCCATTATGTTACAGATTGAACCAAAAGATAGTGACGACTACAATGAAGAAAATCAGGTATTTATTTTCTCTTATTTGATACCAAAAGAAGTATACATTTATTATCATTGAAGGCATCAGGGCAATATGATGGTCAAGACGTCAGCACACTATTTGAACTGATGGTGAAGGTATCAGGACCATAATACTGCTGATATCTTGACCATCAGATTATAAGCAACCATATGGCCCTCAACAATGAGAAAACCAATACAGTATAGTCGGCTGTAAAAGGCCCAAACATGAAAAATGTGTAATTATTCAAACAAGAAAAGTAACGGCTTGATTTATAACAAAACAATTTACTAAAAACAAATATAATGGACATGAACCAACGACAACCACTAAATTACAGACTCCTGTCTTGGTACAGGCACATAAAGAATTTTTGTGAGCTCTCAACCATCCCCCTAACCTGCAACAGTGGTGTAACAGTACAACATAAGAACAAACTATAAAAATCAGTAGCAATTGGCTTATCTCAAAAGATCTGTACAAGGCACACAAACAACTATCATAAAAAACAATGGACACAAAGCACTGATATAAGAGTTCTCACAGTTACTGAAAGCTTGTTCAAAGCAAATTACAACTAATATATAAATCATGTTCTGCCAGACTGAATTAGAACAGATGAACAGAACCATCTTGTAGTAGATGGTCAGGTTATAAGTACCATATTTGATTTTATTGTCAATTTATCTAGAACATATTTTTGTTGATTTTCATACTAGGACAAACAAATGGGATGACAGCAAGGGGGCAATAAAGGGGTCTATTGTTGTAAAGTTAATTTATCAATTGACCCTCACTGCCAATTTCTAGATTTAATTCAAGTTATTCAAATAGAGTCTTTATTTCAAGTGCAATGTGTTACATGCAATTAACATAAGTCACCAAACTTTCAATTATTCAGTCAAATGACATCATTCATATAGTAGAATGGGTTATATTGTAAGGCTAGCTTCTTTTTATTCTTCTCGAAAAGCCTGTGTTTGACTTCTGCCTCATAAAAATAATTATACAAGTCAATGAGAAGATGAGCACAATAAATTCCCATGGGAATACTTTTAAAAACAGGTCCACCAAACTTATATGTTGTCAACCAAAATAAAAAGCTTTTCCTTGGGTAATAAATATTCAAAAGTAGAAATTTTGCTAATATACTTATATACTGGTGAATATATTTATCATATTAGAAGAAAAAAATCATTGATATTGAAATTTAAATACTTATTTTACAATTTGAACTGTTGACAAGCATCAAGCCTGCCCCATGACGAAATCCCTGATAGTAACATGTTGCATAATAGTTTTTGTGATTGTATTTCAGTATGAAGATGAGAGGGGAGTGTAGATACAACAGGAATGTCACACAGCACCACTGTATAATTCAGTATATAATTTGATTTTACTTTTAACCATAGTTTAGCAATTATATCTTTGTTTTACTCACTCTTTGTAAGAGGGAAGGGTTTTAGAGAGATCTCTTATTGAGAATTTCTTTGTAAATATGTCTGAACTCTTTTATTTTAATGTAATTTTTATACCGTAAGAATTTTAATTGCGAAATTTATTTAAAAAAAAAAACTTTTTTCAAAAGCTGAAAGAACTATGCAATCTATAGTTTGAAGTATATGCCTTATTTAATGGAGATTTTCTGTGGTGTACTGAAGTTGTCCTTAATTTTATTTCTATGTTTCAGTCTCTTGTTCAAATCAACCACGTTATTAGGTCAGTTTAATAATAGATCAACTAGAATTGGTCTTTCTAATCATTTTAAGGTATACATGTCTGTATGAAGCAGTTTACATTACCTTTTCCTGATTTTTCATAATTCATTGATCAATAGTTAGTTTTTATGTGTAGGTCAGGTTCAAGGTCAATTATAGCAATAGTCTTGAGAACCATTAGAAGGTCCACATATCTGTTGGACAGGTCTCTGAGATCATATTAATGTCTTAGTTTCTATAAGTAATAGAACACCTATTGTTGGTTTACAACCTCTTTGTAAGGTGTACATCCATGCCCATGTAGTGAGGCAAAGGACAGTGTTTTAATTGCTGTTCTTCTTCTCACAGTGAGGCCTTCAACATGGAGCAAAAACTATCAGCCCACTACAAGTATAAGACAACCTTTATCGCAAATCTGAGTTGAATTTTTTTGCTAGATGTTGCTTAAGCTTCCTCTGTGCATTAAAGAATACAACTATAGGGTAAAATCAACAATGATAAATTATATCATGCAAAGAATTTAACAAATATTGTCATAAATTGACAATTCTTTCTGACAAGAATTATCCGACCTTGACCTCATTTTTCATGTTCATTGATGAAGGTTACTGTCTTTCTTATTGACAACTATTTGTGGTCATTGTAACGTTTACTAGTTACCCTTACACATGTTACAGTAATTGTATGACCTTACCCTTACACATGTTCCAGTAATTGTATGAACTTACCCTTATTTTTAATGAAATAGCTTTTTTTCCATCAAGATACACTCGACTTGAACCCCTTTTTCATGTTATTTATCATGTTTATCAAGATAAAGTCTGAAGGGATTTTGTTATTTTTTAGTTTTGTGTAAATAATGGGTCAACATACCTTCATTATTCTATTACTATATATTATGTCAATGATTCAGATTTAGTTTATTGATGTGGTCAATTATATATTAAACATAATATTAACAGTTATTATATGATTTCAATTTACCTTTTTTGTTGATTTTCAACAGACTACTTAGTAGATATTGAATAACATTTGCAAGGCATTTCTTATGTCTAGTCTTGTTTTACATAGCCTACTTATGCGTCTGTGTGCGTGGTATAATTCATTTGATTTCTGACTTATTAGTTAGTCATCTGTATGATAATAAATTTATCAAACCATAAATTAAATTGTAAGAGAATTATACCAGTAGCTTATAGAGAAAATGTAACCATTTATCATTTAAAAAATTATATTAGCAAATTTAAGCTCGTGAGCTGTTTGCCATTGCTTGGCGTCTGTGCATTTAAGTTTTGTTCAGACCTTTTCTTTAAAGTTACAGAAACAATTCAAATCAAGACAAGATTGATTCTTAGGGAGTTTAAAGTGAAGTTTGATCATTTTATTTTGGTTCGTAAGACAAATTTATGAAAAAGAACACAAGGGTAAAATGCAAGAAATTGTCTAATTTTTTGAACCCATAATATTTTTATTCTGGTTTGGATGATTCCTTGTGCCCTCTTTAAGACGTCCTGCCCGATTTTGTGAATTTTTACATGAAAAAATGATTGTTTCTGATTTTGAACTTTTCCCAAGGGAGACAATCGTGATCAGCCAATCAAAATTGTTGTTTCTCGTGATTATTGGGCATTGCAAACATGCTAAATTTTGAACTTAAAATTAAGAAAGGAAATAAGGAATGTGTCAAAGAGACAACAACCCAACCAAAGAGCAGAAAACAGCCCATGGCCACCAATGGGTCTTCAACACAGTGAGAAAATCCCACACCTGGAGGCACGCTTCAGCTGGCCCCTAAACAAAAATGTGTACTAATTGTTTGGATCATTTGAGTTGTATTCCTCTGTCTGTATGTCAGAATTGTACAAATCATGATCATGGCAGATGAATTTTTATCTGCAAGAAGGTTCTTACACAGCCTAAGAAGAAAAGCATGGCTGATTGACAAAATTCAAAGATGCAGTACTCCCATAAAACTTTTGTCTTATTTCTATATGTGTAGTCCCCCTGGGAAATGTAAAACATTGTAAAAATGACTTTCTGCTGGATAAGTCTTCTATTGATATAAAGTTAAAACATCCTTACTTCTCACTAGACAAGACTCCTGTCAGGTTTAATTCTTTTATATGTGGATGAAAAATTAAGTCACAAAAACATTAACTACGCAGCAATTGCTTTAACAGCCTTTAAGGCTTTGATTTGCATTGAAGTTGTTTGTTTCCTAATGTTGAACATTACATAGTTGTGAATCATTTTACAGAATGGAATAATTATAAGTATAAATATAAGTTGTCATAAAGATTCTTGATTTTTATATTAATTTAAGATAATTGCTTAAGACCGTGTAAGTCTAAAGTAACTGGCTTGCCTCAAATGCCAATGGATTGTTGTTTCTATCTCGAAAGATCAAACCTTAATAATCCAGTTTTGGAGACTGAGATTTTTAATGTCTTATCTTAATGTTCAACTTATTATTGTTTACAAATTAAAAACAATAGTGCTTCATTCAAAATAAGGTAATATGTATATCTCATATTCTTCACAATCTAAAATATGTTCTGTAGATTGTAGTGATATATATCCTTTGTATTAACTAAAAAATGCAGAATTGTAGACATTGTGTAATATGTTTATACAAATTTCTTATTGTGTAGTATACATGTAAATACATAATACAGAGAGACAGAGACTTTTATATTGCTTCATGAATAATGTTGACCAGTTGTGAGGAAAAAGAAACATTTTGAAAGCATCTGAAGAAAGAAAGTATTGTTTCCCATTTACAAACCTAAGATTAACTGGCACTTACTACAAATTTTACTGACATTTGGAATAGTTAAAACATAATATATATTGATTTTTAGTGTTTAATGTGATTGCCTGGAAAAAATTGCATACCATCCTCAAATTGTTGAGGGAAAAAAAACCACTTTAATTGTATATTTGTTGCTTAATGCAAAAAAAGTTTAGACAAATTTAAGCTTTTTCTCCCACAATATGACACTGTTATATAAAATGTTAATCAGCTGTTTTATGATAACCTCTGTTTTACTTAAGTTTTATATATTCGCTGTTCAAAATTTTATTCTTGATATGAATTTTACTCTCTGTTTAATTAGTTATAGATCTGTTAAATAAAAATATTCCTTAATTTGTATTCTGTATTGTGTGAAGAACTACTTCACATTCACAAAAATTATCTATGTTGTGTAAAATATGATGTATTGATGAATTCATAACTGGTATTTTAAATTCCCATAGCATAAGCTGAATGCAGCATATTCTAAAGATAGCAATAAATACTGTGGCATTTGTAGCTTACATGGGCCATGTTTTATCTTTTGCCATCACATTGCTTTGTTGTCATAATTTTTGTTGGCTTGCAATGAAAGTTGCAGTATGTGAGAAATAGGTATTATTATCCTGCGGCGGCGATGTCAACTGTTATATATTTCAGAAGGTAAAAGACCTTGAAGCATAATACCTTGTACGAAGATACCGTATGTTACAAAGTTTCCCTCTGTCATATGTCTATTGTTCTTTCATAGTTCAGCAACTGCTTGAAATAAATTACACTTTTTTTCTCATGTGAATTTCTCACTTATTATGAGTAATAGGAACTTATACATGTCTGTCAGACAAGGGTCACCAGACCTCGACCTCAATTCATGGATTAGTGATCAAGGTTAATGTTAGGTGATTATGTACGTTTCTGTAGGTTAACTATATGTGGTGTATGGAATGATTGTAAGGGTTACATGTTAGTCTGTCTGTTACAATCTGACCTTTACCTTATTTACATGGTTCATTGGTCAATGTTAAGTTTTTGTGTTTTGATCTGTTTTTTTAATACTATAATCAATAGGTCAACTTTATTTGGTATATGGAATTATTTTAGGTGTTCATGTCTGTCTTGCAAGTATCATCTGTCCTTGACCTCACTTTCATGGTTCACTGATCAATGTTAAGTTTTTGTGTTTTGATCCTTTTTTAGCTCACCGGGGCCCAAAGGGCCCCATGTGAGCTTATGCCATCACTTGGCGTCCGTCTGTTGTCGTCGTCTGTCGTCGTAAACTATTTAAAAAATCTTCTCCTCTGAAACTACTGGGCCAAATACCTTCAAACTTTAACTAAATGTTCCTTAGGGTATCTAGTTTATCAATTGTATCCGAAGTTTTGATCCATCGACAAACATGGCCGCCATGGCTAAAAATAGAACATAGGGGTCAAACGCAGTTTTTGGCTTATATCTCAAAAACTAAAGCTTTTAGAGCAAATCTGACATGGTGTATAATTGTTCAATTGGTCTAGATCTATCAGCTCTGACATTTTCAGACGAATCAAACAACCCATTGTTGGGTTGCTGCCACCGAATTGGTAGTTTTAACAAAATTTTGCAGTTTTTTGTTATTATTTTGAATATTATTATAGATATATATAAACTGTAAGCAGCAATAATGTTCAGCAAAGTAAGATCTTCAAAAAAGTTAATATGACCAAAATTGTCAATTGACCCCTTAAGGAGTTATTGCCCTTTAAAGACAATTTTACACAATTTGTTCATCAAGTTTGCTAACTTTTAAAAATCTTCTCCTCTGAAACTACTGGGCCAATTACCTACAAACTTTAACTAAATGTACCTTAGGGTATCTTGTTTATAATTTGTATCCATCGACAAACATGGCCGCCATGGCTAAAAATAGAACATAAGGGTCAAATGCAGTTTTTGGCTTATATCTCAAAAACTAAATCTTTTAGAGCAAATGTGACATGGGGTAAAATTGTTTAATTGGTCAATATCTATCGGCCCTGAAATTATCAGACGAATCGAACAACCCATTGTTGGGTTGCTGCCACTGAATTGGTAGTTTTAACAAAGTTTTGCAGTTTTTTGTTATTATTTTGAATATTATAATAGATATATATAAACTGTAAGCAGCAATAATGTTCAGCAAAGTAAGATCTACAAAAAAGTTAATATGACCAAAATTGTCAATTGTCCCCTTAAGGAGTTATTGCCCTTTAAAGACAATTTTACACAATTTGTTCATCAAGTTTGCTAACATTTAAAAATCTTCTCTGAAATACAGGTGAGCGATTCAGGCTCTTGAGAGCCTCTTGTTCTTATACTATAAGTAATAGGTCAACTATATGTGGTATATTGAATAATTGTTAGGTGTTCATGTCTGTCGGGCAGGTATCATCTGTCATTGAGTTAAATCTGTTTCTTAGATACTGAAAGCAATAATGTAAATTATGTTTGATGAAGGTATGATTGTAAGGTGTATATGTCTGTCTGGCTTGATTTATTTGACCTTGAACTCATTACCCTGGATCATTTGATGTTAAGTTTATGTGATACTTACAGTAAAACTTTATCTTTAGGACTAGCATCATGAAATCAATCCTGGTTAGTAAAGCAGTAATGCTATTTTTGTATCAAAATGCAAAAAGATTGAAACCATAATTGACTAATTATAGGAGTTATTATTGAATATTATGAATATTTTTTTATTTTTTGTCTTGCCTAATGTCTAATGCTAATGTGGTGATGGCAGCGCTAATTGTTTGTTTACAGCTGTCAATTTCAGAAAGTAGAATATCTGGATAATTCATTTCTTGTTTACAGATGCCTTCTGTTCTGAAGTTTCAGTCTGGCATATGTTCATTCTTCATGACTTCGTTTTCAAGATTACGCGACTGCAACAAACAAATTATCATGAATTTCTCACTTATGAGTTTTAAGATATTTGAAATATGAATTCCTTTGCAAGGTCTACATGTCCATCAGACAAGGCTACCCTGACCTTGACCTTATTTCATGGATCAGTAATCAATGTTAAGTTTTTGAGGTCAAGTTCATGTCGCGGATACTATTAGCAAAAGGTCAAATATACGGAATGGCTGTAGAATGAACTTGTCCGTCTAAAGGGGTTCAACTGACTGACCCCATTTTCATGGTTCATTGATCAACACTAAAGTTTTCTTGGTAAGCTCTACATCTTGAATACTAGGAGCAATATGTCAACTATATTTGGTGTATAGAATGATTGTAGTGTGTACCTATTCATCTGACCTTGAACTCATTTCCCTGGTTCATTATAGATTAATTATGAAAGTGAACTAAAAACTGCACTAACGAAGTGTACAATTTCCATAGTAAAAGAGCAAAAGAAAAAAAAATCATGAGTACTGTTGTTTGTCTAATTATCATAAATGAAAACAAAAGAAAAGAACTCTAAAAGCATTTTAAGTTGAAATTTCGTTATATAATGGTACACATATAGAAAAAAAAAAGGATGAAAAGGGTCAATTGTGTAAGTAAAATAATATTTTTATACGAGACTTAAAATCAATGTTTTCTTTTAAAGAAAGAATTACTGTTGATAAGAAAATCAAAAGAAGTTTTTGAAAATAGATATAATACATTCATCAATAAAAAAAGAATCCATCTGATGTTGAAACGATTGTAATCTTAAAATTTATTGATGAAATTTTGTCATAATTAAAAATTATACAATTTTAGAAAAGCTGATTTTAACAACATTGAGTGCTTTTTAAAATGAAGGAATATTAGATATATAAGTATTGAATTATACCTGAAGCAGAATAAATCTCCATTTTAAATAATTTATCCTTTTTTGTTGACACAAAACTATTTAATTGCTATTTCATTTCCATCTGTTGCAACAACGGTACAGGCAGACCGGATTTGTTGATTATCACCCATGACCAGATCAATATGTAGTGACAGCGCCACGTCAATAATTCAAGTCGCCGAATGGCATGGCAGACAGATTCACGCCATACAAGTTCCTGCCAAGCATCATCTTGCAGCACATTTGCTCGGAGGGAATCATTCTATCCAAGACGACTATTCGAGTCTGGAATGTCCTGCTCACTGATACTACCACGACCGTGAGTCTCGAATTATTCTCGAATTATTCAAGACTCAGTTGATTAAATATAAATCAGTTTGTTTTTACTTCCACAATTTGATCTGCACAGCATCATTTTTTGTCTGTTTGTGAATTATTAATAGTATATCAATTCCTTGTAATTAAGCGTTTGCAAATACCGTTTTTTGACCAAAAAAGACAGAATGATTAGAAATGATGGCGGCCACCAAATGGCAGAAGCAGAAGCATTGTTGAAGGCCGTACGGAAACCTATAATTGCTTACATCCACGTCATTTTGTTTCTCGGGGACTCATTGGTAATCATACCAAATCACCTTTTTTTGTATATGTCAACTAAATTTAAAAAGAAAATAAGGTACGAACAAACCCAGGCTAATGTGAGCACGACACGTGTTTCGGGAATAACCTTCAGACCGATAGTCTGAAATACCAATATGAAATCCAGAGCTAATACAGAAGATCAAAGATCGTCTAAGGTCAAATTTATCTGGAAGAGCACCATTACGTAAATTTGAACTGTGAATTTACATTTTCATGATGCACACGAATCGTGTTTCTGGGATGACCTCCGTGAGGTAACCTCTAAACCAAAACCGTCATGTGCACAATTTTGCATTGGACAGTGGTAACCTTAGTTTGACTAAATATTAGCAAGATCTGATGCCGGATATTAAAGGTTCTTTATAGAAATCCTCATTTTGTTTGGCTCTATCGAAATACAGAGGTGCTATATAATTTCTCCTTTCTGCACTCCGGTTTGTAATTGGCTTAATTAAGTAAAGACTTTAAAATAAACAAAACTTTATGCCTGAGATCCTCATGTTAAGAACTTTAGGTATATATTGCACATTTATAATGTTTTTCAGTCAGATTTAGAGGCATCCTTTACAAAATATGTTTCCCGTTGTTCTTTTTTTATAAACAGCATATAACAACCAGGCTGAGCAAATAAAGCAATATGACACTAAAGCTGGATACCCAAACATAGATGGGTCGGATATAAACATCACCATTACAAATTTGAGCATGTCCATCAATTTGTTGAGTGATGACTGAAAACCATTCACCAAACCTCTCTCTGTTTCTTCTACACTTTCTAAAAATAGTTGTGTTATAACTAAATCCGCAGTCCAGACACCTATGAATTCAAAGAAAACAGCTTTAAATACATATGTGCATGAATTTATTTGCGATTAAAATGCACCTTTCTTTGTGCATTTGATAGGGCTATTATCTGCAGGTAGTATGTCAGAAAGTGACACCCGGTATTAAGTTAATTAGTTACAGGTAACATTATAGAGGTAACAGTAGTGACACCCGGTATTAAGTTAATTAGTTACAGGTAACATTATAGAGGTAACAGTAGTTTACCGATGTTCAAAACTCGTTAGTTCAGTAAGAAGATACAAATCAAGGTAAAAAAAGTAAAACTGATGAAATCGAACAACCTCCAAAAGGAGACCGTGCATCGAAATGGATGGTAAGCGTCAAATATCATGCAGGCACCATCCGCCATGGGAATCCACACAAAAGAATCACAATCGGGAATAGTACACAATCGGTTAGTTTACAGTTCAGACGACGATTCTGTTATCTAAAGATCCAAGACCACAAAAGCATGTCGCTAGAGAGTTGAAACACACCGTATCGGTCAACCAAAGCCACGGCTGCCATTTGGTATATCGATCAAAAAATATCTTGAAAGAAAGAGTAACGTACATGGTCAAGTAATGTGGTAGGATCGTGTAAGATGTGGTATCGGTTCGTGAAGGAATTCACTGAATTATGAGGACAAATAAAACAAAAACTGTCCGTCCAAACGGTTGAACATTATAATCAGTATCAAAGTTTAGAAGATCACTTTTTTAACAAAACAACAAAAGGCAGATTGCTCTTCGATATTTCAATGACTAAAAAATGTAGACAAACTGGAGTTTTTCATTTTATGAAATGACTTAAGTTACTATTCTTCGAACAACATAGTTTTATATTAATGTTTCAAATGGTTCTTAAAATCATTTAGTATTACTTTAATCAGAACGAAGGAGAAAATTGGAATAATTAGATAAATTTGATGTTGAAGATTCACTTTTTTGTGATCGTGAGATATCCGGTATCGCATATTTGTCATTGCAAACATTAATGAAAGCATTTAAAGCATGCTGTAATTATATGAATACTTATCATTGTAAATGGTACCGCAATAGACTGGACTACCATGACTTTTCCGGTTGACATTTGTTGGGGAATAGACATGTTGGGCTATGATGGTTCAATGCCATTTATTCTGGGTTTTTTTTTTATAAGACCACACGGACTAGTCCGTTGTGCCCTATAGAGATTAATCTCTGTCTCTCCGCCAATCACCATTTGTATGTCATTTTATAAGTCAAAATGGCCTCATCTGATACCAATGATTTTTATGAACAGTATTTATATCTATAAGAGGAAGGAATTGACTATTCCTTTAGCTTTAAAACCAATAAATATCTGCAAATTAAGCGAGACTGGATGTTTCCAAATATGCGTTTTTTGCTACGCATGCATCATCAGGCAAGAGAATCCAGACTTGTTCGACTGGGAATAGAACGCAATCGCTGAATTTTAAAAAAAGCGAAGGAATGTATCCCTCCGCTGGTCTAGTCACGAATTGCTTTCACGATCGACATAATGCGTTGCCTGTTCTTTCACGATCAATTTGGATACAAAATAACTAACAAAATACTTCTTTGAAAAAACAAAACACTTTTCAAGGAAAACATCAATTCCATGTTACTGTACTTTCTAACACATAAGATTTGATTTAAAATATATCATGATTATCGGAGCTTAACTTCCATGAGTTTGTGTAATGTTGACATATATGTAATAACAAATGTACATGTTAGCATTTAATCATTCATTATGATAGCATGACAGACAAGCTGTGTGCTCTATATTTATTAGTTTGATTTCCTTTGAAATTAGCACTTCATACACCTCTGCGAGTTCTACCCTAAACCTATGTGTTGTTTACATAGACATTCTATAATTTCAAAGCTACATTACTCACCAAATCTTGCACCCAAAATTCCAGCAAAAAGAACAATTAGAGACGTTGACATTCCTGCAAAGCCTTTATCGGCGATACTGTCAAAACAGGATGTTTCATTGGCTGACAAGGTAGTGTTGATATACTGTTGAGTTGTACAAGAAACATTAACATGGGACATCTGAACGTCAGACGCTGGTCCGAATGTTCCACCCGGTAGCCATAGTGAGACAACACATAGCGCTAAACATGATATTTGACAAGTTAGGCCAATCAAACCAGTGTTCACCAGCCCAACATGTTTGCGTAAAAATGGATAGGCAACAGATGCAATAATACCAAAACAGGCTGATATTGCAACGATAATGCCTAAAATAGACTCGGTCATACCTTGACTATAGGCGTATCCTGCGAAAAGAAATGTATGTATATATCATTATAAATGCAGAATATGCGCAAGGTACTGCGTATATTATCGTACGTTTTTCTCTTTGTTTCTTAAATAAGACTACACATAACATTGGGCCATTAACAACAAAAACTTCGTGTTACACTTTGGATACTAAAATGGTTAAATACGCCTGCCAAAAGTTAACACAAGGGTTAAAATAGCTTAATTGTTGCATGTTTTGTGGTCTTTTCAATTTGCATTTGTTCCGTTCCAAATTATAAGCCATGTATATGTAATGAGTTTTTACAACCACTGGGTCGACGCACTGCTGATGAACGTTTCGTCACCAAAGGTATCACCAGCCCAGTAGTCAGAATTTTTGTACCCCGGGCAGATAGATGTAGCCGTATTTGGCACAATATTTCCTCGAAATTTTCGGTTTTCAAATGCCATTCAACTTTGAATTTAATTTTGGCATTCCGACTTTTTTTTTCGAGCGCCTTTGACGTGTCTTATGTAGATCAAACCAAACGCTCGTCTAGCGGCACTATCTATAAGCCTTTGATGTTTTTATTCTTTCATTCATCTTTACTTCCATCATAGTCATAGTTTTGGAAGTGATTGTGGAATCATACGTCTAGACTCTCGTATGAGCTTGTGTGCATTCAATATCATAGCTGCTACGTAGGGCTACGTAGATTTCGGCTACTGAACCAGTGACGGATCCAGAGGGGGGCGTATAGGGCGTACGCCCCCCCTTTGCCTGAACTTTTTTTTTTTTTTTTTTGTAAAATTATTAATCAGACTAGACTTGGTGAACTTTGCCATTTCCCGGCAGTGTATTTAATTGTTATGCGACAATTCTTTACTTATAAAGATATTTTTCGCTCGTATTTACTGTAATATATTATTGATTATGTTGAAGTCATGTGATTCGCTACGGTGGAGTTGATCAGTACGTCGAAAAAACGACACTCAGTCATGCACTTTGAAATTCAAATTACAGTAACACATTGCTTAGTCGGAAGACATGGAAGATGACAAGCATGACGCCTTCAAAGCGACAAAGGATTGAGCAAGAACGTATTGACTTCTATTTCACAATTCCACTCAACAGAAAGTAATATTCTATTACACTCTCATGAAAAAAAAAGTTCCAAAGCAATATTATTCACCTACGAAAATATGTGTAACCCCACACGCCCCAACCAATTAATAACATTGCTGAATAATGATCCCCAGTCAGTAAGCTCTAGATAGATTTAAAGTCTAAGGTACGGACCATTTGATTTGATAGGGCAGTCTGAGATATTTTAGAGAACAAATTTTGACCCTGATTTTTGCCTTAAACAAAAGTTCTGGCCGTATCTGTATTGAAAACAATTATCCCCTTTTTTGAAATAAGAAAAAAAAATCCAACAAAATTATTCAGCATTAAATGAACGTGGTGAACAAAAAACGGGCGTAATTTTTTTGGGGGGTTTGCATGTAAATCCCATATCTGACCGGAATGTCTGTTTCGCCGAACTGATATACTGAATACTTTTTCAACTACAACCTGCCTGCTGGGTGTGGCCTTTATGTCTCCATTTGTCGACCGTCATTCACAACTTCGTTGGCATTTGATTTTCAGACTCATTCGTAGCCTTTGGTTGATTTGGAACCCCTCACTTCCCTTGTTGGGTGAAACATTTCAACCAAACATTTGGATAAAAATTGCTTGTTTGTCTTTGTTCGTGTCGGTCGTATTATAAACTTCATTGAATAGCCGTATATCATGTTTACAACAAGAAATCTGTGAGGTTATGCTTATTAACCATACAACAAACGAGAATTTTCCATGTCCATTTTTTACTGACAAATCCGAAACATAAAATATATTAGTACATAGCTTTGGATCCTTTCAATCATTTTATATATAGACAATTAATGGGGAGAATGCGGAATCAAAAATGTCCTATAAAATATACATGCCCCACGTCAGGAATCGTTAAAAATGTGCATTTTACATTTATTTTATGTTTTTTATCCCAAAAAAGGTAAAAAAAAATTTCGCCTCGCTCCGCTCGGCGAACTTTACATACTACGCCCCCCTTTCCAAAATCCTGGATCCGCCCGTGTGAACGTATTGCTAGCCTAGCCGCTAAATAGATCTAGATAGCCTAAAAAATTATGCTATCTAGAAAATCCAAAATGGCGTCGGATAGGTTATTATTAATAGCCTAGCTACGTAGCATATATTATATCGTTCAACATATATAAATATGTAAGACATAGCAGCTATCTAGCTGCTATGACATTGAACGCAACCGTGTTCAGACAAAAATCTCAATAAACTGTCAACCTACTAGTTTGCTTATGTTTTTTTGTTACTAATTGCATCTTACATCACTTGTAATATTAAACTCACCAATAGTAATATTATCAAAACCGAGTACTGTGAAGTAAAGGAACGCTAAGGCAAGACCTGCAACTGCTACTTTATACTTAATATAATGGCGCCATCCTCTATATAATGCAATAAAACTGAAAAACAATTTCCCAACGAAAGACGAATCTGGTTTATCTACGTCACGTGACTTCACTGATTTCTGACTGCTTTCGTACTGGTTTTGATCTGTCCTTGGAACACTTTCGACAGCACTCTCATTTAGTTGTTTTTCTTGAGAAGATGCTTCTTTTTCCAGATGAACTTCAGATGGTTTCATCAATTCCTCTTTCTGTATGACATCAAGTTCTGTATTATGAAAGCAAATAACAAATATACACCATAACCACTACGAACACTTACTGATAACTTAGTCATTGTACAAATAAGACGTTTAAATTTTTGGTTGAATTAGTCTTAGTAAATTTATAAAATATGATTCGCATCCGATTGTTACTGACACAAACATTAACTATTGTTCTAGTATAGTTTTATAATGAAATTTCATCATGGAAGTATAAGATTGAAATTATCATCACCAAGTCAATTGGCAAAATTATCAATTTGTTTAAAATATTCCTATTCGTTTGTAATTTTGAGTTTTACAACAACCAATATTTTGATGATGAATCTGCTCAATGCGCTCATTTTACGCCGACCTAGTATTTTCTAAATGCCCATGTTAAATCCAAACACCGAGAAAACAGTTTTCTCCTCTAGAGACGCAACATATTTATGCAAAATTACTTTTCACATCAACTAAATCGTATCTCTCTTGAATGACACATTTCTATCCAGCTGCGAAATATTTTTAGGAAATCTTTCAACATATGCTTGAGTTAACCGGCGATAAGTTCATAATATTTGTATATTTGCAATAGAAATATGCTGTAAGGGGGATTATTCACAATATGAAATCTGTGGTTTGTCTTCAAAAAAATGTATTCATATAGTACCATATTTAGTTGAATCTTTGGAGTGCAGAGTCGGATTCGTTCTATAAACCATTCCAAGAAGCCAATACTCAATGAAGAAAGCACAGATGTTCCAAGAACCAATAAAAACAGCACCGTACATACTAGATACATATGTCATTAGCTGGCCTGTCAATAATGGTGCGAATGCTTTTGTTAATAAGTCGATGAAACGGAATGTGGCACTCATTGCTATAAAATGAACAGGTTCGGCTGTTAGTTTTATATAAAAAATAAATACATTTGTTCAATGTTTCTCACAATGAAAGAAAGACGAGGAACACGATTTAATCTTACATTTCAAAAGATATGTTTCAAAACATGTTAGCAAATCCTTGGTGCAAGGTCGTATAAAATTATTCTAGTAGGTCATAAATATGTTGAATGTAAAATGTTCAATCAATATAAAAGAATTTCAAATAGCTAAAATTCATTGAGATTTTAAGTCTTATCTAATTTTGTTATTGTCATTAGCAAAATAAATCAAAGTTAATGTCACTCCAAATGAGTCGGTCACTCCAAATGAGTCGCTCACTCCAAAATTTTGAAGACCTAAAAATAAATTAACCGCCACTCGCTGAGAATTTTCTGAATCCATTTAAATTAAATCAACATTATTTTAGAATGTCATCTCACGCCCAACAATTCACAGAAAATTACAATTATTGTGGTGGTAAGAAATAGTTTCGCTCCTAAAAACAAGTTTTGCAGATTTTCCTTCCTGTCATAAAATTTTAGGTGTCGCTTGCTAAAATATTCGCTTCGCTCCTATATTTGTACAAAAAATTCTAAGGATCGAGTTTTCAATTTTGAGTGACCTAAACTCAAAATTTCTGTTCGCTTACAGCATTGGATTGGTTTAAATTATACGAGATATCAAATATAAAGCTGACACTATATAAGACTATATTATGACATGAAATGCAAGTGTTATTAGGATATATGAGGTGTAAAAAAGTACTGAATTCTAATGCAAATTCAAAAAGGGAAAGTCCATAAAAACTGACAAAATTAAACGCTATCAATCAACGGTGCAAGTGAAAAACAACAGTCATATTCCTGACTTCGTACAGGAATTTTCAGAAGAAAATTGTGGGTTAAATCTGGTTTTATAGCTAGCTAAACCTCCCACTCGAATGACAGTTGTATATAGCACAGTTATACTGACAAAATTGGGTGAGCAACCCAAACCAAACGTACATTAAAGTGTAAATTTGACAATATTTCAAATTTTCAAAATAAATCAGAAGGACTTTTCAAATCAACATTTCAACAACATGAAGGGAAACACTTCATGATATTTATAAAATGATAATATCTTTTTAAATATCATTTGGATGCTTAAATGTCCAAATTCAGACATGTTTCACAAACTTTCGGATGTTGTCTCTCTGAATTCAACAGTTACAAGGGAATTTGGCCATACATTTCTAACATAGAGACTATAAAAAAATAAATGTGTATAGAGCCATGCCAACTAGAGCCACTAAATAGCCTGTGTCGCTCACCTAGGTCTATTGGCCTCTACAACAAAGGACACTCTCTAATATTGTGGACTAGAAAAGAATTAATGACAAAAATCTCCTTTTTTGTTGTTGATTTAACCAAAAAAAAATCGTCATTTAAGGACAATTACTCATATAGAGAGTCTACTATCGATATCGGAAGAATTAAACTTATGTGTAGATCTTGTCTAGTTGAAAATGTTTGCTTTATTAGTGTCGTTTATAGTTTTCAAGATAATAAGCAATAACGCAAAAAATTGGAAAAACAAATTGTAATTAAAGAGCAAGAAGCCTAATAGAGAGTTTTCGGATGATTTCAGCCTTGTTAACTTATTTGTAGATCTTTTCTTGCTGATCATTTTTGCTTCAAAAGTGTCTATCTATCTTTTATAGTTTTTAAGATGATAGGTAAATACACTAAAATTGGTAAAAATCGTCATTGAAGAGCAATAACACAAATAAGGAGTCAATTGACAATTTCAAACATTGATTTATTTGCAGATCTTGTCTAGCTGAGCAGTTATGCTAAGTAAAGTTATTATCTATCTATTATACTTTTGAAGATGTTAAGCAGAAACGCTAAACAATTGTAAAAATCGTCACTAAAGGACAATAACTCCAATAAGGAGTCGTCTGGCGATAAGGACCATTTGACTTATTTGAAGGAATTGTCTTGCTGACCTTTTTTGCTATTTAAAGTGCCTCTCTATCTATTATAATATTCAAGACAAGAGGTAAAAACACTCAAAATGGGTAAAAATCGTCATGAAAGAGCAGTAACTCCAATAAGAAGTTTTCGGACGATTTCAGCCTTGTTAACTTATTTGTGGATCGATCTTGTCTTGTTGATCATTTTTGCTGATTTAAGTTTCTATCTATCTATTATACTTTTCAAGATATTAGGCAGAAACTCTAAACAATTGTAAAAGTCGTCAGTAAAGGACATTACCTTCAATAAGGAGTCGTCTGACAATTATGGCCATTTGACTTATTTGAAGAAATTGTCTTGCTGACCATTTTTGCGGTTAAAAGTGCATCTCTATCTATTATAATTTTCAAGACAATAGGTAAAAACACACGAAAAATGGGCAAGAATCGTCTTGAAAGAGCAGTAACTCCATTAAGGAGTTTTCGGACGATTTCAGCGTTATTAACTTATTTTGTAGATCGATCTTGTCTTGCTGATCATCTTTGCTACTTGAAGTTTCTCTTGATTTCTAGTTTTCAAGATAATAGGCAAACATTTAAAAAATTTGTAAAATTCGTCATTTAATGACGATATATCCTGTAATAAGATTTTTACTAAGAAGAAAAAATGAAAACAACACGTTATAAATTTCATGCGTCCGCAGCGCTTTTCTGGATTTACCTTCACCATGATTATTGTGGCCAAGTTTGGTTAACTTTGGCATAGTAGTTTCAGAGAAGAAGATTTTTGTAAAAGTTAACGGACGACGACGACGGATGATGGATGCCAAGTGATGCGAAAAGCTCCCTTGACCCTGGGTAAGATGAGCTAAAAAAAGGACTGACGAACAAAAACCATAAATCGGTCTTACAAGTACAGATTCTTGTATGAAAATTCACATGATTTTAGAATTTTCCCTTTTCTCTGTTAAGACAGCGCCGCCTCCCTCCCCCCCCCCCCCCCAAATAAACGACAAGCCGACTTTTGACAACTTGAATGAATACCTATTGGCATGGGACCTTCAAATGATACAATCGTTCTGTCAAATGTTGCATTTACTTGGTTATAATCAGTTATATAAACTTACTAGCGATGCTATCTGTCTTTCTATTGCAAATTTCTACAATCCAATCTCTTTCCATGACCAAGGTCCTTCCAAGGTTGCATAGATTTGAAAATATCGTAAGAATAACTATCAGTGTGAAACATAACTTAAGAAGTCCTTGTTCTGGAAGCTTTGTCTCAAGTTCAGGACGAAAAGTAAAGACAAAGACAACAATCACACAACATAATGCAATCCCAAAATTATTTAGAAATAGGGCTATGCGTGCAGCTACAAAAGATAAACGTATTATTTAAAAGTATGCTAGTGAAAACTGAAAAAATGATGCAGAGTAAAATTCGGATTAAAAGCTGAGGTAACTCATAAGGCTACCACAGTTACACGATACAAACTTCAAAACATAAAACAGGAACAGTTTAAAAATTTACGCATGTCAACTGATCTCATTGCACCTAAAGGCAAACAATTTTACTATGTCTATGTTTATAAATCCCGACCTGCGAAATGCATACCTATGATCTTCGGAAATATTTCTAATATGTATCAACTGTAATAGTAAAGATTCTACGGGTCTGAACTTGGCTATTATGTCGCATGACTGTTTGGCACATAATTTAGAGATAATATTGAGTTTACATGTTTTATAACCGACCAATTGAAATGAAACTTTAATGATGTATTCGGCACTTTAACGTGGAAAGGAAGTATTTTTCTATAGACTTATCTTTACACCCCACCATCAAGGACTCTGTTTCTCTCTCTAAGTACAGCTGAACTATCCTTCCTTGATGCTACATCAACTTTGCAGTTATGACGTCATTTATAAAAAAATCTTTTGCTGAAATGTCATTCGCACAACGATCTTACTTAGAACAAAATTACTTGTTAACATTTCTGATGGTAATAATGTAAAACTTTAAAGTAAAATGTACAGATGTTGCATGTTTAAGGTGAGCAGATATCATCATAGCATGTACAAATGTATAATGAATGTACAGTCTTTAAAATAGACTAGTATATATTGGGTATGTGAATAGGCACAACGACGAAATAGCAATATACCCTTAAGTCTTGCTGTTCTGTCAATAATATCTCCTACTACAGTCGACAATAGGAGTAACGCACCACCATTACTGAACCCGTAAATTGCAGTCAATTGCAATGAATCTGGAGTCACTTCTATAATGAAAAGACCAATACCAAACCACCACATGCGCGCACCCTAAAATAACAAAAACAATGATTGATGTTTGCTTTACGCCACCTTAGCGCAAAAAGGCTATATCGCGGCGAAATAACAAAAACAAAACCAGTAAATAGTATATACCTTTTAATGGATATGTGTGTTAAAATTAACTCTACATAGTTTCATTAATATTTCTGTGCTGCATTCAGAGAAATATATTCTATTTTCAAAATTTATTTGAAAATAGTAGTATTTCAATATAAAGGGAAAACATATATCATATTATATATGAATTTTGAGACAAAAGCCATTTTGCTATGAGAGAATATTAGATTAAAGCCTATAACTGGTCTTAATATTGTAATCAATTTTACGTTAGCATTTTTTTATACATACTTTTATTGTAATTGCCATTTGATAGATAGTAATTTGTGAAATGCTAAAAAATGTCCAAATTCAAGTCTTTGTATTTTTTAATCTAAAATGGTGTTTTTCTATGCATGCTACAAAGCTTTCTTTAAATTAATCTCTAAAATACGTGTTGAAATAAACTTTAAGCTTAAATATGTTCTCTTGAAGTTTTTAAGGGAGATAATATCATATTTTCAAAAGATCAATGATCTTAGATTATCTCCCATGGAAACTTATTAACAATATATTATATAATTTCACATATATTTTTTAGTGAATATAACATAATTTAATTCAAACTGATTTCTTATTCTTACAATAAAAGTATGTACAGAAATTTACTACAAAAGTTTAATTAAATTTATGACCAGTTCAACAGTTTTGTTTGATAAAATAAATTGCAATTTGGTCAGAATTTTTATTAAACTGCAATAGACAACACTCACAGTCTAGTCACAGTAACTTCATTATATTTTCCAAAATGAGGCAGAAGGACACGCCCGAACTTTCCTTATATACCAAATAGCTGTACCAGTTATCACAAAGAAATTATTTTAGATTTATAACATAAGGCAGTTGTTACCTGTGAGAGGGGACGAAGTTCGTGTTCTTCTCAGATGTTCAAATTTGCGGTTAATCGTATGCTTTGCAGCCTCCGCCAACACGGAAATACATAAGTACAAATGTTAAAGAAAGTATCGGCTCTTATTATCATTGAAACAAACTGGCATCATTGTGTTACCTCATCAATGTTTTGATTGGCTTGTAGATTGATATTGATTAAAGGTCAACCTAACAAACACATAAAGTCAAATAGATATGCTAAACTAAAGCAAAAAACCTACCAAAGTTGTGAAGAAGTGTGTAAGATAAACAAAAATCTTGTTTCTTCTTGATAAGCTGTTTAAAACCATGACTTATGGCTTGAAAATTCACCAAGTCTGTAACATAACAATCAAAATTGTTAGAAATAGTACAAGTAGATCATTTTATCGTTTTTAATAAAATTGCTGTAATTTTGAAAGCACTATTCAAAAATTTACATCTGCGTACTATTTTACGATTTACGTAAGCCCAAGATTGTTTGCTACGTTTGAACACAAATGGATATATCGATAGGGTTTATTGCATTATGTGTTGGTACATTGTGATAAGGTCTAATCATTTTATAGATTTCCATTTCCATACATCTTCCGTTTGTCAGATATTTTTTAATGTTTTTATATCTGTTCCCGTCTGCTCACCACGCGGAATTGGAAGTAGAATTTTTATAACAGGATCTATTTCATACTTTAAACCATGTAGACTTTATTTTTCGAACATAGAACGGTTTTATACAGACTGCGACTGTCCAACGATTTTATTCTAACACCGGCTGTTCAATGCTTTTATTCTAACAGCGACTGTCTGACGATTTTATACAGACCACGACTGTCCAAATATTTTATTCTAACAGCGGCTGTTTAACGCTTTTATTCTAATAGCGACTGTCTGACGATTTTATACAGACCACGACTGTCCAAATATTTTATTCTAACAGCTGCTGTTTAACGCTTTTATTCTAAAATCGACTATCTGACGATTTTATTCTAACAGCGACTGTCTGACGATTTTATTCTAACAGCGGCTGTTCAACGCTTTTATTCTAACAGCGACTGTCTGACGATTTTATTCTAACAGCGACTTTCTGACGATTTTATTCTGACAGCGGCTGTTCATCACTTTTATTCTAACAGCGACTTTCTGACGATTTTATACAGACCGCGACTGTCCAACAATTTTATTCTAACAGCAGCTATCTGACGATTTTATACAACTATGACTTCCCAAAGTTGATTTTAAACAAACAATGTTTGTCTATTGGCTTTTGTTGGATCGTCAGAAAACGGACGTAGATAGTATAAAATACACAGTGACACACGTTAACTCACAATGGTGGCGTAGGAATAGTGAGGAAGGATTGCACCAACGCCCAACCATACACCACCCGGCTCCTATGCCAGTGTACAATATTATAGTTGAAATAGAAATCTTATAGCTAAAGTTAACACAGTAAATAATTTAATTAAAATAGAAAGGAAAAAAATACACAATGATAAAAATTGTATCCAGTGTGGTTAAAATAACAATGACATTTTAGACCTATTATATACTTGAGTTCATATGAACATAACTTTTTTACATTGTGACTTAATGGATGGAGAGTTGTCTCATTGACACTCATACCACATGTTCTTATTTATATGTTATATCACGTGACTATCAGTTTTTATGAAAACAATCTGTATAAATTTACCTTCGTAATAAATAAACAGCCTTTCCTTCCTATTTTGGATATGACTTGGTGAAGTTTTGTTGCATATATTGTGGTACACATAATTGACGTATCTTTGAATGTTAACGAAGACTTTTGCTTTATGCTTTCCTACAGCAAAATAACTTTTAATAATACCGGTACACGTGTAGATTGTAGTATTGTCAGTTGTTCGGTATATATCTGAGTTGCTTATAACGGTACACGTGTAGATTGTAGTATTGTCAATTGTTCGGTGTATATCTAAGTTGTTTAAATGAAATTTACATCCTGTATGATGGTTGATAAAAACAACTTATCGAAATAAAAATATGGTTGTAAATAAGGTATGAAATAGACAGACAACAACTTTACCATTTGACACATATTAGTTTATAATTTAAAATTGAGCGGAGAAGCATCGACCCGAACACAAACTTACCTTGAAATATCTTTTTTCTTATTAAATCTTCCAAGTGATCCTGATCACCTAGTTTTGACGAAATAAAAAACGTGTTGATTTAAACTATTAACCGTACACGAAAGTTCGATAGAATGGCAGCATAAGTCTGGTTCTAATAACTAAACCCTAGAAGGATTTGTCCACTAGTTGACTAGGCAAAATCATGGAAATGCAATACATTATATATAAACATGTTTATATTATTATGTTTGACCATTACCTCTTTAAATTTACTTTTACCTGACTGGAATTTGGGCTCAATATCAGTTTGTTAACATGTAAAATTCGATGTTAAATGCATAAACAGCTAAATCTGTGAAAAAATTTCCGTTAAATTATTCAAAGGCGGAACAAATGAATAAAATTGTCTATCAAAATTGTCAAACTCCTTCATTAAAACTGTGCACTAAGATGCAAAAAAAAAGAAAACACAAGGAGGCGACACATAACCCTATGCAAATCATTATATTTGAATCTTTAATGGATACATTCAAAGAAATTATGAAAAATTTGAAACTAAATCAGATGTGTATCAGATAGTAAAGTAAAATAGAATTGAGCTTTTCCTTGAAACTGTTCAAATACTGTTCAGTTCTTAATCAAAACTGATCGTGAAAAATCGGACAACGCGTTATTTTGATCGTGAAAGCAATGCGTTACCAGAACAGTCGATGTATGTTTTGTTCATTGTTTAGGGACGAACGATTACATATAGATGCTTACATTTTGTCTCTAGTGGATAGTTGTCTCATTGGCAAACATACCACATCTTCTAATTTATTTCAGAAAATTAGAAATTTTTTTACGAACTGAACTACTTTACTAGATTGAAGCTGTGATATCTGAATTAGAACGTATACGGATGGGTTTGTTGTTTTTTCTATTTGATGTTGGTGTAACTGACCTTCACCTCATTTTCTGCAAAGCCTTTTGATAAACTCAATTAAAAAAAAATGCGTGTTATATTTATACACAAAAAGAACTTCTACGGTCGGTTATTCACAGAGAAAAAAAAAAAAACAACATATATGTTAAAAGTCAAGCGCTTTCGTCCTTCGCGGGTCTTATTGACAATTCAATACTTAAATAAATTGTATTAATGTATATAAATAAACATATATTTAGTCCTGTTTTCACTTAGAGGCAATGATAACTAGACATAATTGAATTGAATCGCTTCCAATAATCAACATTCTACATTATGTTTCTTTAATACCTTATATTTGAACTCTAATCTTGTTATTGTATATTGAAAAATTGTATTTTAATAAAATTGCGTTTAAAAACATACTTTCAAATCAATTATTTTGTATTTTCAAAACGTAAACAAACGCCTATCATCCTTTATTCTACAAAAGTAATACTAGCGTATGACATTATATACTGACAATAATAAGCCAGGTTAAACCTGATAATATCATCTGATACTCTTTACGGGAGCTGCTAACGTCACAGTATACGCTATTTGTTATGCATGTTGCAACAATTTTTAGATCATAATTAAAATCTTGACTTGTTCACAAATAAATAAAACATTACATGAAACGAGGTAAGAAGACACGATTTATCGTGTTTATAAACTTGAATACTAAATTAATTATCTTTACATAAATAAACAAACATGTAATATACAAATGGACTTTGAAAAGTAGATCACTTGTAAATGCATTTTAAGTACAGAAAAGTTATTTGTTCATAACTGCAGAACCGAAATGTATTTCATAATGGTCGTTCGGCAGTTTTTAAGAATTGAATTTTTCTTTTTGATATTTTATTGGGGTCTAAAAGCACTTCCCGAAGTACATTTTTTATGAAGTGCTCATTCTTAAAACGTAAACACGATCTATGTTTTTACAACCGTATACAATTACAAAAGAAGCATGAAATTTTGACAATGATATTATGAGTTCGTTTCTTTTCCTATGCAGTGTTGTAATGTTGTCACAGAGAGCACATGCAGCAGTCATAAATATCGCATCTATTTTGAAATAAAAAATGATTTTTGGATGCATTGCTATTGTTTTCTGCCAATCAAATTTATCGAATCTGATGAAAAATATATGTAATGTTATCATAAGGGGTTGAAAGTGAACTTACCATTAAATGAATTTTAATGCAAATTTGTAAACGTCTGTTGATTTTGTTATCATCTAAATAACCTCCTTGGTAAATAATAGCCCGATTGTTATCATTCTTTGTTACGGTGACTTCATATAAGGTAAACAATAAAGGCTAAACTATATTAATTTATTGTTTAACGATACCATAGAAGCAGTTTTATCACATAAAACGGGACAATAATACATTTATGACCTAACCCGAAAAAGTGGCTGCGCCATATATCAAATTATATACATACAGAATATAAAATGATGTTGTGTTGATTTTAGTTGTTCTTCCTTATGTCATTTCTGCAATGGCTCATGTGTAGGAAGCACTACCTTGTTAATGAAGTCTGTATAATGTATAATCTATACGGTATGGGGTTTTCTCATTGTTGAAGGCAATTAACGGTGACCTATAATTGCTTTTATTATACTTCATGTTAAAATGGCAGATTTTAGTTGTTTAATACGAGGGAAATAATTAACCTTTATTCCATGGCTAATACTCTATTACCCTTCAAGGAGACGCGTGACCAATTGTGCGCTTAATTAAATACGGATAATAGTTCGGCACAAGAAGTCAAAGTATATTACGTTGAATTTGAAATTTAGTAGATAATAGATTATTCAGTATAATGAATTAGATAACATATGGCTTAGAGAGTGATAGAGCAAAGTTTTACCCCTTCGCCTCGGTTGACAATGTTTTCACGGGGTAACAATCTATTATATCCCCCTCTCACCTATGTGTTATTCATATCATATCGAGACCAATTTAACTCTGGTGGCTAGATGTCCCATTTACAACCACACCACATTAATATCTATATTGCACACGCATTACGCATGAACAGATATATTCAAATGCCAAGATGATGGGACAGATGGATATAATGAAAAATTGGGTATTGACGATAGGAAATCTGAAATCGTCACGTTTGTCATACATCCTAGTTTGATGCTTCGGACTTATAACCTGGTATTTTAGAAGATGTGTTTTATGTCGTCCATCCATGTCAATATCAAGAAAACGTTACAGATATGAATCAGACCGTTTAATTTTGGTAACATCCTT